GGACCTTTGAACCCTCACGATGTCTTAGTCGTCGAGCAGACGTATCGGACTACAGTTGCCGACGTAAGTCAAAAAAGCGCGGTGAAACGCGGCGAAAAACACGAATACAACGCATCCACCAAGGCGCGGAGGGGGGAGCGGAAAACAAGTTGAAGCAACCTAATGGCTGCCGCGTCACGTGATTCCAAGGTGGCAGCGCCCATGCGAGGGAGGATGAAATGGTCTTATGAGAGCGTATGATCTTATTAGAGCGTATGGTCTTATGAGAGCGTATGAGAGCGCGTTTATTGCAGTGTTTGTGTGTTATGCACGCGCACTTTCTGGCTGAACTGTGATTTTTGTAAACTGTGGAAATGTGCATAGTAGTTTTGATGACAGTCCGTTAATACCACTTGCACCGTGGTTAATACTGAGGGAAAAAGCAGATAAAATCAGCGATGAGTCGTTCGCGCTATACATAGGGTTTCGTGTTTTCGGATAAATCCGAAAGACTCCGAAAAGCACCCGCCGGTAAAATTTTGGTCAATTCAGATTTATCCGATAAACTTCGAATTTTTATGTGTCAATGCCCCCCCCCCCCCCCCCCCCCAGGAAAGAAAAAAAAAAGCAGAGGACTTTTTTTTTTATAGTTTGAGCAGTGTAGGGTCAATGGTCCTGGGAAAATGCCACCGTAATTATCTTTCAGATCTCGGACCGTTCTCAAAAGGGGTCTTACCGCTTGCCTCGTCAAGGTTGATTCAGAGCCGTTTATACTGAGAGAGTTGGCAGCCACAGCAGCGTAGTCTGACAACCGATGGACGACTGCTTCCGTCCGCCATTTTGTGGATCTGACTCTCAGGAACTCTATGCGATTTCTCAGGAATAAAGAAGAGAAAGAAGTAACGCCATTTTGTGTTATCGCGAAACCCGCTGGTTCTAGCGGGGAGCAAGCTCCGCCCATTGGCCACACTCTCCCAGTACAAACGGCTCTGGGTTGATTCAGAGCAACAGGTGATTGTACATTCGGGTCACGACAAAAGCCACTCTTTTGGTTTCCCTTTTGGGCCATGTGATTTGTGATTTAGAGAAAGAGGGTATTTTTTTGTAACAGAGAAAGCTATGGGCAATAGAGATTGTATAAAATAGGGAAGAGGGGCAGTTGAAACTTCTCTATTACATCATTAACCGCTCCACCTCGTGCGATAGGTTGATAGAATAGTATGGGATGACCACGAGCTTCTTAGCGACTACCTCCCAGATTTCATTCATTTTAAGGTATCGACGTTTATCGAAGCAACACTTTGGTGGTGCTTTTGTCGCGGGACACAATTAGTATTACCAATGGCCATGGCACCAACGCCAAATTCGACTGAAAAAAAAAGTTTAATTGATATAAGCGCGTTTTATTCTTTATCTGGCAGACGTTTACATCCTGTTATTATTTATTCATTTTTAATAGGAAACACTGCGAAATTAAGCTCCGAATTTCGGAGAATTGGGAATCAAACAAATATAAACGCCGAAAAACTCCGAATCATCGGCAAAAAAAATAAACTCCGAAAAACACCCTCCCCATTTGACGAAAAATAAACCTTCAAAAACACGGAAGGTCGTGGAGTGTAGTACATTACTGAGTGGAGAGGACGTAAAAAAGGAGGGGGCGGCCAAAGTGGAGAGAGCGAAGTGTACGTCGGCCTTTAAGCCTCTTGTGACGGCTTGCGACCCGCTCCGAAGCAATGCAGCTGGTCGTAAAGTTAAAAGTCGGTCTTGTCTCAGTAGGTCGTGGTCAAACACGCAGGTATTTCGTATCTGGCAAATAAGAAGAAAAGAAGGGAACTTTGCGTAAGAACGCGATGCAAATCTTGCGCGAAACAAAATTTACGCCGTCCACGACCGTTTTATGTGATCTTGTTGCCTCGCGGACACTGAAATACCCTGAAAGATAAATGCATCTGCAGCGTTTATGCAGATGCAAAGCTGCGATAAAAGAAGTAGCGGAAAGTTTATGCAAAATCGATATTGGCCTTCTGGTCGGCCTGAAATGCTAACTATCCATGATCAGTAAACATGTTACACTTATCACACGCAGAACAGGTATGTGGATTCATTTACGCGTTTCGTTTAGTACATGGTCTCCAAATTTTTTGGCTAGGGCGCCGGATCGGGTATCTGTCGCTGTCTCGAGGGCCGGAAAATAAAGAAGCAAATATAAATGAGGAAAAACTAGGCTCAGCAACACTTCCTTTGATTTCCTTGCTCTCAAGACTCTCTGACTGAGGAAAAACTAAATGCATAGTCCTAGACAAGAATAAAAATAAAAAACTAAAAGTTAAAGTAAAAAAAAAAAATGGATGAATACATACGGGTGAGTTCATCTCAAATCGAGAAAGAGAGAGAGAGAGAGAGATACTAGAACGAACTGCAAATAAAAACTACGGAAAATATTCCGTTCTTCAGTTTTGAGCTTCGAAAGGGAAGAATGTAGGTCTTTCGATTTTTGTAGTTTTCACTAATGACACGTTTTGGAGTTTCGCAACGTTCAGATTAATTTTTTTTCACCACAACAATCTTAGCTTATCTCTACTTCTTTAAAACTTTGTATAGAAAGGTTAAAGTTCGCTAGAAGTGTTTTTTGTACTGTAAACTCTACTTTAAGTTGTTAATTTAAGTAGAGTTTACTTAAAAGAAACAACACTAAACTTGAGAAGAAAAGCTAAAACAAAATCAATGTCATTAAAAAAAAGAGTATATATATATATATATATATATATATATATATATATATATATATATATATATATATATATATATATATATATATATATATATAAACGAACATATGCAGATAAATGAACCGTACTTAATCCAATGATTCAAAGAATCAAAGTTTTACGAACCCGCCGGAAGCCAAAATAAACGGCGGAACCACACACGCACACACGCACACGCGCGCGCGCACACACACACACACACACACACACACACACACACACACACACACACACACACACACACACACACACACACATATATATATATATATATATTCTACTTTTGATTTTATTTATATGAAAAACTTTGTGTCCGAGGGTCCTAGGTACAATACAATCTCTGACATATATGGTTGCTTCATATTACGCACTGCGTTGGGAAATAAGACACTTGACTCTCCATTCTAAGGTGAAAAGATATGGGCCATTGCCAAATTCATAGATAGATAGATAGATATTTTTTCCTTTCTTTGTGCGTTTAGGTACAGGTCATATCTTGTAATTTTAGAGACAGATTTGGGTTTGGATGAGGTTGTTGCGGGGATCGTTAAAGCTTTTAAAGAAGCGTCAGGTGGACTTAAGTTTACATGGGAAATGCCCGTGCTGAACTGCATTCGGTTTTTGGACCTTATGGTCATGTTTTCCAACGACCATGTTTGTCGGAGGTATAGCCCGCGTTCTAAGAAAAGCCTTGTTTCTTACAAAAGTGCACATTCCAAACTGGTCAAGAGAATAATCGCGTTAACATGTCTTCAGGCAGCTCTTGCAAAAAGTTCAAACATTAGATGGACATCAGTTTTGCTCAGCAAGTAAAAAGGCTAAAAAACTTAAGGTACCCACCTAACCTAATTTCGAGCTGCTGTGAGAGCCTACTTCAAAAAAAAAAAAAAAAAAAAAAAAAGAACTAACTTACAAGGGGGCGGCCAGATAAATAAAGTTAAAAGACGTGTACATGTGATTCCTTATTGGCATAAAGTGTCTCACAACATTAAAAAGATAGCTAGTACATACGATGTAAATGTTGTTTTGTCAGCCCCTTGCAAGCTCTCAAAAATCTGTTCGATGCTTACACGGCAGAAAAAAACACTCTGTTCAAAAAAGCACGCTGTACAGTACACTGAATGTGTGACCAATGTTGTCTATGAGATTCCATTAAGATGTGGAAAAGTTTATATCGGACAAACCGGGCGCTGTTTTAACGATAGGGCACGCGAGCATAATCTTTCTGTGCAGAACAACGCGGGGGGACACCTGGCAGACCACTGCAGGCGATGTGCTGACTGTAAGCCTCTTTTGGCTGAAACAAAGTTTTTAAAGAAATCAAAAGATAAGACCGAGAGAGAGATTATAGAGGCGTTTTATATCAAAAAGAAAGATGACAAATGCGTTAGCATGCCTTCTCTCTTTTTGCTTCAGAAAGAAGTAATGTTTCTAGATAGCTGCTCGTGAGAGTGGTGCTTGGTTGCAGTGTGGGTTTGGCATACGATCTTGTGTATAGAAGTGACAGTGTTGTTTCTAATAAAATCAGTTGTGAGTTAGCGCCCGTCCTGTCGTCTTTGTGTCTTTATTGTCCTTGTTGTGTTGCGCTTTTTAACCTTTTAAATTGGGCTGGGGAGCCGCCAGGGTGCCCACAAGGATGGGACCTAGTGATGGGTGATGACAATGTCCAATGAATAATATAATGAGAGGACACGCATTATAAAGTATAAACCGCATACAAGCGATTTGGCAAGGGACGAGACAAGCGACGGCGACCCGCTTCGCTGTCGCTCGGTCAGTCGCGCGATGAGGCAAACCGCATGGAAGCGGAGGGAGCGAGCGACCAAGACGATGAGCGACGTTTTCTAGAAATCCGAAAAACGAGCGACCCGACGGGCGACAGTGAGAAATTTCCGTCGCCTGCTCGGAGCGGACAACGGCCAGGAAGACCTCCGCGGGACCGCTGGCTGGGATTTGGAGACGAAGATATTCAAAGCAGTAACAAAATACCCGCCTTCCCAAAGTACTGCAAAATGCAACGAAAATGAAGACTGGCTGCGCCATCTGGCTTCAACAACCGCTATTATAGCTTCTGGCGCCAAAACTTGCAAACGTCGTTTCGTAAACTAGAAAAACTGTAACATAGCATTTTCTAACAAGTATATTTTATATATACACAACTAAATAATACAAATTTTTTTTTAGTGAACTGCTTAAATAATAAGTACAGTAAAGAAAGGCATTTTAAAATTCGAAACTGCGGATATTCTTACTCTGCGTAGCGATGCGGGGCTTGCTTTTCAATGCTGGAAAACTAACGGTTAATGCGCCTTCCTCGTTCAATATACTAATTTCTGACTCAAAACCCGAGATTCCTTCGCTCAAATCGCGCCCGGAAAACTCAAGCCCGATGCGAGAACGCGCTTAGTGACTGCGCGCCGGATCTGCGGCGCCCGGGAACATGAGTTCATCGGACGACAGGAAGCGACTCAGCCCCCAAGAACCGCTCATCACCGATCCGTCGACGTCGGGAGAACCCCGGGAAGCCGCGGACGACCACGCCAGACGCACGACACGACGACGCCGGGCCCGTCTGGACGTCAAAGAAACGGCGAGCGAAAAATCTGGCGGCGCGGCGCTCGGCGTAGCGACCACCCTCGGCTCGTCCGCATCTTCCGCCGCAGCTCCGAGCGAAGACGGCTACTGCCCCGAGGAAGACGCCATGAACCATAGTAAGCAACAGCAACAACACCAGCAGCAGGCTCGAGCGGCGGCGGCAGCAGCCGCGGTGTCGCAGGCTCCAACGGCACTGCCACCGACATCGACGCCAACGGGGGCGCCGACGAACCACCACAGCGGCGGAGGTAACCCGCGGTCCCACCCGGACGGGGAGCCCCAAGACCTTGACAGCGAACAGGACGACCCCACCGGTCTGGAGGGGGCTGCCTTCCAGAGTCGGCTTCCCTTCGACAAGATGACGGCTCAGGAGGCGGCCTGCTTCCCGGACGTGGCCCAGGGCGCCCCGCAGACGCAGAAGGTCTTCCTCCACATCCGCAACCGCCTGCTCCAGCTGTGGCTGCAGAACCCTAAGCTCCAGCTGATCTTCGAGAACGCGCTGCCGCAGATCGAGCCGCCGTACAACAGCGACGGCCCGTTCGTGATGCGGATCCACGCCTACCTGGAGCGCCAGGGCCTCATCAACTTCGGCGTGTACGAGCGCATCAAGGGACCCCCTGCCAAGAAGCACGGCAAGATCATCGTCATCGGCGCCGGCATATCTGGCCTGGCGGCCGCCCAGCAGCTCCAGCAATTCGGCATGGAGGTGATCGTTCTCGAGTCCCGCGACCGCGTTGGCGGCCGCGTCGCCACCTTCCGCAAGGGCGGCTACATCGCGGACCTGGGCGCCATGGTCGTGACCGGACTGGGTGGGAACCCCGTGGCCGTGCTCAGCCGCCAGATCAAGATGGAGCTGCACCGGATCCGGCAGAAGTGTCCGCTGTACGAGTCCAATGGCGCCACAGTGCCCAAGGACAAGGACGAGATGGTCGAGCGGGAGTTCAACCGTCTCCTGGAGGCCACCTCGTACCTCTCCCACCAGCTGGACTTCAACTACGTGCAGAGCAAGCCTGTGTCGCTGGGCCAGGCCCTCGAGTGGGTCATCAAGCTGCAGGAGAAGCACGTCAAGGAGAAGCAGATCGAGCACTGGAAGCTCATCCTTGAGATGCAGGAGAAGCTCAAGGCCAACCAGAACCGGATGCTCCAGCTGCGCGAGCACATGGAGCTGCTGCGCCAGCAGCACCGTGACCTGGCCGACTCAAAGCTGCAGCGGGACGTCACGCAGGAGTTTGTGCTGCGCAGCAAGCAGCATGAACTGAGCTGTGCCTGCCGCGAGTGGGACCAGCTCGCCGAGCAGCAGCGGGAGATCGAGGACAAGCTGCAGGAGCTGGAGGCGTCGCCGCCGAGCGACGTCTACCTCTCGTCACGTGACCGACAGGTCCTTGACTGGCACTTCGCCAACCTCGAGTTTGCCAACGCTACGCCACTCCACAACCTGTCCCTCAAGCACTGGGACCAGGATGACGACTTTGAGTTCACGGGGTCCCACCTGACAGTCCGCAATGGCTACTCCTGCGTGCCCGTGGCGCTCGCCGAGGGACTGGACATTCGGCTCAACACGGCCGTCAAGCAGATCCGACACGGCAGCGCGGGCGTCGAGGTCCTGGCCGCCAACACACGAAGCAGCGGCGGCCTGGTCAGCTTCAAGGCGGACGCCGTGTTGAGCACGCTGCCGCTCGGTGTCATGAAGCAGGCCGTGCAGGGCGCGTCGAACCTCCCCAACACAGTCCAGTTCATCCCCCCACTCCCCGAGTGGAAGGTGAGTGCCATCCAGCGCCTCGGCTTTGGCAACCTCAACAAGGTGGTGCTCTGCTTCGACCGCATCTTCTGGGACCCCAACGCAAACCTGTTCGGCCATGTGGGCAGCACCACGGCGAGCCGTGGCGAGCTCTTCCTCTTCTGGAACCTCTACCGGGCGCCGGTGCTGCTTGCGCTCGTCGCGGGCGAGGCGGCGGCCATCATGGAGAACGTCAGTGACGATGTGGTGGTCGGGCGCTGCCTGGCCGTGCTCAAGGGCATCTTCGGCAGCGTGCCGCAGCCCAAGGAGACCGTGGTCACGCGGTGGCGCGCGGATCCCTGGTCTCGCGGATCCTACTCCTACGTTGCGACAGGCGCTTCCGGCAGCGACTACGACATCCTGGCCACGCCTGTGACCCCACCGTCAGTCGTGCCGGGCGCCGCGCAGCCACAGTCGCTCCCGCGCCTCTTTTTCGCCGGGGAGCACACGATACGGAACTATCCGGCCACGGTTCATGGGGCCCTCCTCAGCGGTCTCAGAGAGGCCGGGCGGATCTCGGACCAGTTCCTCGGCTGCCCGTACGCGCCCCCGCGGCCTCAGCCACAGCAGGCGCAGCCCTGAAGTCCGGCATTCCGCCGCTGGTGGGGCCCGTGTTGATAGGACGGCGACGTTAGACGTTGCTCGCGCGAATTGCCGGGATTGCCGGTCACTTTTACCCGTCACCCCATCATGACTGACGATGTACAGATTCATTTACTCTACGGAGCAGTCATTTACGGAATCGTTTGAATAGTGTGTACGGTCTTAACGAAGGTCTCGGTGGCGCTGTTGTGGTATGGCGCGTGGAATGCGTCTCTGACTGGTGTGCTTGGCGTTCTATTTCGCCCGTGCATCGAAAGTGGTTCCGAAAAAGGGAACAAATGACGTTGCAAAAGCCGGAGCGTCAGTGTCGTCGGATGTCGCGATCCTGGTGGTTGGGCGTAGAAGTTTCGGAAAAAATCGCGAGAGAATGCAAGTGTCACCGTCGTCACAACATCTCAACTCGCGGCTGCCGAAGCTTCCGAGGACTGTCAAGCTCGAGAGCGACCAGCAACGGAACAGGCGTCTGCCACATTCTCCACCGCTGTTGTGATCCTACTGGGATCGCAATCGGCGACAATGTGACACTTTTATAACGTGATCGGGCGGATATCCACTGTTACGGACGCAGGAAATGCACTAGTCAGAGATGCGTTCCAGACACCACAGTTTATGGAGTTCAATGTTCCTGTTTTACTTTCCTCCCGTCGATGTGAATTTTCGTGTCCTTCCGTGGCGCAGGTTTTCACACCGGGCACTCTCGTCGACTCTTAATTTCGATTCGCGATTAGCCGGAAAACGATCTGTCCATCTGGCTCACGAACATCCGAGGATCTCTTCCTGTGTGGAGTGATGTTTTTATCATTGTTTTGTAGACCATGTTGAAACGTGTAGTGTAGTACCTGAATATCACGATAGTTTGTAGGTTGTTGGAGTGTTTTAGGTACCCAAGATCCCTTCTTTGTATACAATTGTAGGTTGATCAACTTCCGACACATTGCCCTCGGAATGTGCGAGCAGTCACGATTTCACGTTAGTCACTTGGAAGAGCTATATTAGACGAGCACACCTTTGTTAGGAGGCAGCCGTGGTTGCAATCTTTTGTTGCAACAGGCTTTGCACATGGAGGCAATTTTTAATACGGTGCAATTCACTTACAGCGATAATGAGAAAACACGGAAATTCAATCATTATGACTGATTATCGTAATATTTGGACTAGAAAGTAAGCGTTTCTGGGTGTAGAAATTGATTGTTATAAGCAGTACATTGTTATATCTGGTATCATTATGAGTGAATTGCACCGTAGTGCTACTATGGACAAGTGTCGCATCGGGGGACTAGTTTATTGTGGTGCCCACCGAAATGGTCTCGGATCTTTCACTTTTATCGGCCCAATCATGTTCAAGATCATATTGTTGCATGTCTCTCTTTTTTAGCCTCATTCCTACGTGGTTTCACAATATGCCTTGGTGACATCGCTCATAATGGACCTTTTCCAGTAAGCTTTTGCACATGCATACGCCCTTTCCCTGTCCTCGCTTCCCGATGCTGCCGTTCTCGGAGGGCACCGTTCAGCGCGACCAATAATTATCAGCATCTGCCTTTGCTCATATTTTGTCTTCCTTGATGATTCTTTCTTGAGCTTCAGTAGCATTGGGCATAAAAAGCAACAAAAACCGATACAACGGCACAATGCCGGTGTGTTCTGGCGGCAGAGGCATGTTGGGTTGCCCTTCATTTGTAGTTTGCAGACAACAACCCTGACTGCGCTCGTTAGTTGAAAAAGGTCCATTGTTCAGACCCTCTTCACCGGTTTTCACTAGTTGTGTAGGAAGTCCCACCTCTGTCTGCCCCAAAAGTTGCCTTGTTGCCAACTAAAATGTTATCCTCATTGTGCTACCAGTTGATATTGTTTTCTTTCACTTGGATTTCAGTGGAATATTAAGAGTAGCCTTTAAATACACCCCAGCCGTATTGAATTGTGCTTTTTAGGTGTTGAGTTTACTACATACCATTGCATGGCAAGCTGTATTCATTAAGAATTGAAAAAAGTTATCTCGATAGCCATTAAATTTTTTTGACATTAATGACCTACTATGGAAGACATCAGTGGGGACCGCTTGTTGTGTCCGCAATTGAAACCTTGTCAAATCCTGCTTTGGTTACCGAGCTTATTTTGCAGCATCTCCTGACCCTTTTGTGTCCGATTTAGAAATGTGAAATGGTTCAATATTTCAATTTCAGGTGGCTTAAAGGACAACTCCAGTCAATTCCAACATAATTGGAGTTAATGGTTGATGATATATCCCAAGAGGTCTGTCATCACCTCCATGCTCTAACCACATAGTACTAATCGTAACGTCACATACGAGGCGGCCGGGCGCAGCCTAGAAAGTGAAGTTTAGTGAACCATATGTTAATAGGTTGCGACGGGTTTGTAGATGTAATCCGTGCTCAATATCGCAAACTGTCTGGCTCGCACAGGAGCGCACCAGTGCATGTGCGTTATGCAAATCACGTGGCCATTGATGAGCGCACTGCTAGCGCTGTCCGTAGTGTTTGCTTGAAAAGTACAAAACAAGCGAACGAATCTCCTCGAGCATGACATAGGTAGTGCAAGATGGGCTGTGCCGACACGGTGGTATTGACTGCGCTTTTGGCTATGCTGCGCCTCGCGCGTCAGGAGCAGTAGATTTGGTAATTTTGCTCGCCTCAAACTTAAACAGTTTCATAATCTTTTAAGCAGAATTAGAGTAAAACATTTGGTGTGTGGTCTTTTTAGACGATACTCAAAAGAACTGCTTTGTTTGCTTAACATTGCAAATGAACCAGAGTTGCCCTTTAAGACAGTTTGCTCTTTGCAGCCTTATTTGGATATAGAATACATTGCTTTTCTTTAAAATGGTTTATGTAATTTTCTCATTCATCCCCTAAATGCACATATTAGAAGATAGATTCTGTGGATTAGTGCATAAACACTACAAGTCATTAGCATGTGAACTGAAAGCTCATGCTGCAGTTTTTGACGTTATGAGCTCAATAATTCCCTCCTGTTTTTGAGATGGGTGGATTTTAATGTAAACGGTTTCCTGGTTAGCAGCCGTAATACACTGGCCAAATTGCCCGTTTACAGTAGCGACATAAGGCACCATTTCAGGCCAGACTTGAGTTTGCCCTGTCACGGTCACTGTGTTCGCACAGGGTGTTGCTGTTGGTCACACATTTTTACTCCAGCTCTCGGATTATGACAGCATAGCCAGGCACAGGCGCCCGAGCCTAGCTCAGCGGAATGCCTCGTTTGTATGAGAACTTGTGCATAAGAGCACTTTCCAGAGACCTTTGAATCATGGTCGTGCTTTTGTTGCTGTAGCAGATGCTGCAGATGTTTGCGATGTAGAGTACAGTATGGAATGTTTACGAATGGTGAAAGCCGCAGATTTTTGTGTCTCTGGTCACTCTTGTCATGGGATGGTGATGCCCTTCAAGAAAGTGCAGTTGGTGTGGCTGTGGATGGAAGCGTATGTTTCACGTGCACTCCCATTGTGCCAAAAGTGAATTGATGGAGTTTGCTCTGTGTGGAAAAGTGACCGTGCCATTGCTTAAATATGATGGCTTTTAATTTTTTTTTAACTATTGCACATTGTTTGTAAAATTAAATACCACTCAAAAACCTTAGCAGAGCATTGTTACTTCTTCCAAATTACTGTGCATCTGTTGCATAGGATTTTCCAACCATATATTTTTGTAAAATTTTAAAACAAGAAAAAGAAAACGATGGACATTTTGTGCAAATGCTAACAGCAACTTTTGTTTTTACTTGTTGCTGCAAAATACAGTTTTTTTATTTCAATTTCATGGCATTCGAAAATCCATCTCCTCTCACACCTGGTCTGAAGATATGTTGGAATATTTGGAGAATCATCGTTTGGAAGTTGTTTCTGGGTTTTGTAGAGCACCGGTGTTCAGGAACTGGATTGCCATGCCTGTCTTGGCGGCAAAACTGAGATGTTGGGGCATCACAGCCTAGCTATACAATGTCAATACTTGCAGCTGGGATACCATCTTGTACTTTTTCTAGAACATGCATACCTATTTCAACAAGAAAGCTGCTTCAGTATTGGCAAAGCATAAGGAGTACCATTGAAATATCAAGGATCTTGCCTGAATCCAACCATGCAGAGATTGCCAGCGTGTAGACTTCGTTGATGTCTGGATAGATGTTTCTTTGGGTTAATCTTACCACGTCGTCTACAGGTGACGCAAGATGACCATCAATGTACTGTGCAGTAACCAACAGTTCAGGAGGGCAGGTAACCAATCTTTATTGTCACTCTGGGATTTGTAGGTTTGAATCGCATCACATGTAATGTGCAGTGTTGGCAGGGTGTCGAACTGGAACTGAACCGGAACCGAACCACTTTTTTTATCTGAACCGAACCAATATCTTTGCCGCCATCTTGGAACTGAACTGGAAGAAATATAACGATAACCGATTCAAAACGGTTCACGGTATTTTTTTTATTTTATTCTTTGTTAATATCACAAAGCGGGTATTTCAGAATAAAAATAACTGAAAGACGTTTACAAATCTGTAATGCGAAATTAGAGCGCAGCTCATGAGGAGGAGGAGGGGAGGGTATGCCCCTCCATACCCTCCCTTCCTCCTCTGTACCCTACCCTCCTCCCAGTTTCCCCGCTAAATTTAGCTTGAAACTTGACGCCACGTTACCTCAACACCAATTCAGTTTTTCACTGAATTTAGCGAGGAAAATGACGTCACATGACCTCAACACTAATTCAGTTTCCCCGCTAAATTTAGCGAAAAAATGACGTCAAATGACTGCGTCACGGCACCCATGAACAAATTCAGTTTCTCCGCTAGATTTAAAAAAAAAAAAAAAAAAAAATTATGTCGTGTGACCTCAACACTAATTCAATTTCCCGCTAAATTTAGCGGGGCAGTCACGCAGACGGCGCGGAAACGGGCATCCAAGAGCTGCGCTCTAAAATTGGCAGCTGTATTTGTATGTATGGATAAAATTGTATATACATAATTGCAATGTATGAGAAATTGAGGGTTTTCGTGGTGCTTTTGTATTGGCAGTATGTTTAATCATGTGCCACGGAGTCATGCGACGTCATGTAGTCAAGACATGCTGTAAAGTAATATCACGTCACTTGGTCCTTTAACGTCATGTGACATTGTCATGTGGCACTCACTGCATCAAGTCGGTTTACATTTGAGACACCGTGACTTCACATGACATCAAGACTTTGCACCACAAGTCACATGACACCGTGACATACTCGATCGTCATGAGCCCGAATCAAACATTCGAGCACTGGCTTGTATTCACAGATGATAATAGCCGAGCCCTAACAATGTCTGAAGCCAAGGAGGTTCTCCATGTCTGAAGCTCAGCCCTTGCTTTACGCACTGCCAACCCCAGCGCAGGGTTCAATCCCCAACTCCTGCGCTTTCGTAAAAATATCCACGTGTTCTCAAAGGCAAGTGCCACCGTTTTCACAGGGTTTTAAAAAACTTCTTTGGCGAATGACGACGAATGAGTAGAAAGCCTGTCTTCAGCCGCTTCAGCACGATGCCGCCAGCCTCTGCAACGCTCGCAAAAGTGCGTTTTAACGGCTTTAACACTATTTACAGGTTTCAGTTTCGTTATGCTTTAAATGTTATTTACAAAAAAAAAAAACACATACTTAAAAATGAATAACAAATTTTAAGTTGCAGTTTACAAAAAATATGTTAATTTAAAATACAATTTGGTTTAGGTTATACTAATACTTTATTGCCTATATTTGGCATGGTCGCTTGGCTGGCTTGGCAACCAAAGCCTGCGCTGGCCTGCGCGCGCGCTTTCGTACTCGACCGTTGCTCGCCTCTCTTTGCTCGATCCGAGTGTTTGGCTCCGCGTTCAAGTATGAACCGACCGAACCGACCTAACGGCCCCAACCCCTGAATCTTGGTGTCTGCGACAGAGCTTTCTGTGCGATGTGGAACGCAGTGTGCTTCAATTTGGGCGGCGAAACCGTCAACTTCGGGCCCCGCAACGAACTGCTGGGCGGTAGCGAACTGTACGAGGCGTGCACGCTGTTCACCATCGGTATCGGCGCCGGCGTCAACAGCGTCTCGCACCAGCCACCGGTTCACGCCTTCACGACGAGCGGCTACTTTGCCATCGCAATCGAAAATGTCGTCAACGTCATGCGCCACCAGACCACCGTCCTTTCCCGAACCTTCGAATCGACCGTCGATTGCATCGCTCTACGCAGCGACGTCGCTTCGGGCGTCCTGTTGGCCGGTGAAAGACTCGGAATCTTGCACGTCGTCCTTGTGGAATCCTCAAAGGTCGTCAGCTTCCGCGTGGGAAAGACGCCATCTGACGGTGACACGAAACTGTTTCGCTCTATTGAGGTGCGCAAGGCAGACGAAGACGACGTCTACAACGTTTTTGTGCTTGCGGGGGACAACATGATTGTCGCCACTATCAGCGACGAAATCCTTTCTCAGCTCAATGCCGCCACGAAAGAACCTGACCTGACGCTGTTGCAGGTGCGGGTTGTCAATCTCGGCCAGAAGATTTCCGCCAAAGATACAATGTTTCCGAGTACCGCGGCACGCTGGGTTGACGACGACCTCCTCGTGTCGAGCAGTCCAAGTGACTTGTATTGTTTTTCGATCGGCGAAAAGCGAAGTTACCGCCTCCTCAGCGGTCTAAGCAGAACAGGAGTCTCGAAGATGTTTGCGGTTCAAAGCGACTGTTCTCTCCTGGTTCTAAATGCAGAGAAGGAGCTACTGGTCCTATGTCTCAAGACACTCATCATTAAACGAACCTGGAGCGAGATGGGGATAGACGACTTCATGGTGTCCGAAGATGCTGCCCTGAGCTGCGAAGCCGGAACTGACCAGGGTCTCAAGATTGCTCTCTTGACTGCCCTGAACGAAGATGCGCCCCGCAAGCTGAAAATCTGCAGGTACTCGACGTTGGAGCTGCTCTATTCCCTGGAAGTGGAAGAATTTTGCTGGCTCGCTACAGTTGGTCACGACCAAGAAGATTTCTGCATCGTGGAAGGCACGGCCGAAAAAGATTGGGGTGGCATCGCCGAGCTCAGGGTCAGGGTTGTGTCCGAAGCCCTGCCGGAGCAGCGTCTTGCAAAGCTCATCGGCAAGCAAAAGTTTCTGGAAGCCGAGGAGTTTGCCAGACTCTACAAACTTCCCCTCGAAGAGGTTCACTGGAATCACTTGCTGTTTGTCTTGGATGAACTCGGCGGTCTGCGGCAGAGCCCACTGGATGAAACGAGCGAGCGTGCCAGGCTCGAAGAGGCTTACTCCTTAATTCGGCAGCTTCCCGACGCCTTGAGGGTGGCGAGGTGTTGCGTCGAGACTCAGATTGCCACGCCGAGTGCAGTCGTGGGGCTCTTTCTGTTCCTGCAAGAACACCTCTCTGCTACAGAATGTCCTGATTGTGCGGAGCGCGATGCCCTCTGTGCAGAAATCACGTCTCTTCTCAACAGGGTGACAACTTATCGCCTCTTGCAATCGAGCCAAACTACGGGTGGATGGCTCTCGTTCTCCAGGGCCGATCTACTTCAAGAGATGAGCAGTTGCTTCAGAAATGAGGATGTCCCTTCGGCCTTGCTCATCTGGGCTCGCCATCAGGATCAGTTTATTGCACACCTGGACTGTGAAGCCACGCTTTTTCTTCTGAATGCCATTCCAAGCACAATACGGGTGTCGGTTCTAGTAGGATGGCTCGAGGAAAGCTTCCTGCCCTGCATTCTACAAAATGTGCCCGAAGCTGTGCAAGGTGTCTGTTTGTGGATCGTCAGCAGAGCTCTTAGCATTGAACTCAATGAAAAAGCAGCGTGGCCCTCGGGTGCAGTGAATCTTTTGGAAGTCGTGCCAAATGTTTACAACCAGATGACCAGTTGTGCGGATATTTTACCTCCCAAAAGCTGGCTTGCAGTGTACAGTGCCCCAAGAATGATCCAAAGGGAAGAAAGCGCTCTGTGTAAGCTTTACTACCTTCTTACGAATCTTCGGGACCTAGAACTTTTGTGGACTAAGTACAAATGTCGTGTCACTCTTCCGGAGCTTCAGAATCCAAACATACTAGAGGCAGTCTTCTCAATTCTTGATGAGGTTGTCACCAAGACTGAAGTGGATGTGCTTCTCGAAGGGTTCCTCCTTCCCTACCTTAAGAGGAAGGAGTTGGATGTCTCGGAGACTTTGAGTAACTACGTTGAGCGCACCTTACGTTACCATGAGATTCCGCTGTTACAAGAGGCACCTTGGGAAGAAAAAGTGCTGGCAGTGGCAAAATTCGTACATCACCCCAACCACTGGCTGAAGATTGCTGTGAAGATTCTCAGCCATGCACCTGTACCCTGGAGCAAGGGCATTGAGGAGCTTGCAGAACAAGGGTCGCTTCTCCAGGGCCATGCCATCGAAGAAATCGAAACGGAGCGCAAAAGAATGCAGGTCAACGTGATCCTGCAACGTTATGACATGAAGTTTTTGAGGTGCACACAGCTCAGCGACGCTAGGGTTTTAATTAGGAACATCCTGCTCTCGGAGAAGCCCATGGCTCTGGAAGATGCTCTCACTGTTGCCAAGAGCATGGGCAACTTGACAGAGCTTGAGGTCTGTCTGTTTCACATGGAGCGATTGCTTCTGAAGGGAGATATCGACAAGTTTGCAGATGCCCTCCACAGTGTCCCCCCAGATACCCTGAAAGAGCTAGGCCCAAGGATGGCAACGTTTGGTCGATTGCACCTATCGCGGAACTTTGCGTCCTGTGGGGGTAAAGCTAAGGAGCTGATGGAGTGCTGGCAATACCTGCTAACTGTTTTATATACGAAGCAGGAGATCAAGCTTGAAGATTACAGCTCAATGCAGAACCAGGTGTTGCAAATCATCACTCTGTGGCGGGATTACGAAATCAAGATACCCATTGCCAACCTTGAGTCTGCTGGTGGCAGACATGGTGTGTTGCAAGAGTGTCTTCAGAGGCTGGATTCTCAAAGAAGCGCTGAAGACACCCCACAGCGCACCTCTCGAAGGCTGCTACATCTTGCAGATGTCTTGAAGCTGAATGTACAGTCTGCATTAGAGGCTTTGGTCAGCAAAGCACTTGATCTAGGTAGAGATGACCTACTTCAAGTATTTTGTGATTGCTTGCTGGAAGTACCCCGCCTCCATAGCTCTGTGTTGGAGACGTTGCATAAGATATTGTGCAAAAGCAAAGACGTGTTGGGAGTGATTTCCAAAGTTCATGCAATTGCCTGTCGAGTGTCCCTGACTGTCAAGGGAAGCTTGCTGACAAGATGCACCAAGATTCTGATGTGGGCAGATCTACTCATGCAGATTCTAGATGCATGTGATGCCACAAATGTGTCGCCACTGAGACTTGCTGACCCCTACCTAAGTTGGAAACAGAGACGAATGTATGAAAGGCAAGGTGTTGTCCTTGAGAGAGAAAAGATTGGCTCTAACATCAACAGCCTGGGGGAAGCTATGTGGCACCTTCTCTTGGAGCATAAAATTGAGCTACTCGATATTGTCAAGCAAAAGCTCAAGTTGCTCTGCAACCATTTCTGCTCGAGATCACAAGACGAACTGTGCATCTCCTTGCTGGTCACAGTTGAGCATGCTTTTCATGATAGCCTGCACAGTGCCACCATATATGAAGTAATCAGAGGTATGAACACACAGGCTGATAGTGCCCTTTTCAGTATGCTTGCACGAGCTGTGGCACAAAAACATCTGGATGTGCTTTTTGTGAAAAGCCTGCTCTTTAGCCTTGGCAGCAAACAAGCTATGGCAACGTCACTGGAAACCCTGTTTTCTCTGTGCAATGGCAGCTTTCGGCTCTTAAAAGAGCTTGCTATGGTTTGCTGTTGGATGTCACATGGTCCACTGCAGCAAAAGTTCAAGGCCACATTGAAGGGAGCCTACTGGGGTCATCGACTGACGAGGTCATCCATTTGCTTTGCAGAGGCAATGAAAGGAGATCGCACTGCACTAGAAAGTGTTCTCAGCTCAATGATAACATGCCTCTCAGTTGACACAGAGGACATTGTAAATTATTGCAGGTCATTTTCCCTGAACAGCGAGACTGCTCTTGCAGGTAGACTTGAGTTCTTACTTTGCACTCAAGCTGAAGAGGACTTCCTTCAGGACCACCCTTTGTCCAAAACCCTGACTGATGCAGCAATTGTGCTAGAAGCTCTTCCGAAGGCATCTGCACTGAAGGCAGTGAAGAAAGCACTTGCCAAAGTGAACAGCTACTGCTATGAAGTCCTTCAGTTTGGCTATGACTACCTTGACGGCTGCCGAAATCGGGAGGAACCTACAAGCAGTGTTCAGCGGGAACTTTATGTACTCCAGTTTCTGGCATCTTACAGAAGACATGGGTCGCCATCTGAGCATGAGATGGATGTATGGTATGATGAACACCCATTGGTTGACTTGCCCGCTGTCTCCCGAACACGACTACCATTCCATCTGCTTCTGCAACCATCTTCTTGGAAGTTCATCAACAACGAAATTCACCCTGACACAGCTGGTGCTTGGATGGATGTTGCTGACATTCTTAGGCTAGACAAGGACGACATTCTGTTTATGGCTGTGGAAAACGCTGTTGTGCTATGGAGCTGCCAGAAGCACGGTGGCAGTATATTGGATGTGAACTTCCTTGTCAGCATCAAGTCTCTTCTAGACCAAATGTCAAGCCTGGACAAATTTCTTGCATGCCTGGGAATGATGTTGAAGAAGCTGGCCAAGGGCCCCACTGCGGTGAGGGCTGCCAAGACCTGTGCTGACCTGCCTCTAAGCCGCCTTGGCCAGAACTCTAAAGAAGCAAAGGACAGGAAAGCCAAATTTACGAGGCTATACATGCAGCTCCGAAATGAGCAGATCCTGAAACACCACGGGATTGATACCTCTCCGTACCTTGGCCTCTGTTCAAAGACCGAACAGCTGCTGGAAAAGCTTCTGGAGTGCAACGCATGGCACAGCCTGTTTGCAGACACCTCACACATCTACAGCTGCCTCAGCCAAATAGCAGAAAGCTATGCCCCTGGTTCCTTGATGTTTCCTACTATTGTAGAGCGGAAGATTGAGAAGTGGCTCCAACGCTGTGCTCCCGAGAGTCCTCTTGACCAGACATTCCAAACTTTGACTTTTGAGACCTCTTCAAGGAATGATCGGGAGGACAGTGCTGATCTCATTGCCTTCATTCACCTGATCCAGTACATCCCACAACGACTCGAAGACTTGCTGAATAAGATTCTTTCAGCGGGGAACAACCCTTTAGGTCTGCAGAGGCAAGTGCTGGCACGCAAATGCCTTCTGGCCGGCTTTGGAGACTCGACAGACAGATGCACGGCAATAAGTATCGGTGAGCTCAGGATGAACTCGTACAGAGCCATGCTGCAGAGGCTTGGTGTCCCTCTTGACATACAAGAACTCAACCAGCAGAGTGCTACAGAACTGGCGACCAGTCTCCTCGGTGCGGACTGTCGCAGTCAAGAAATTCTGCGAGTCGTCTCTGCGCTCTGCATCGAGTTCAATATCCAGCTACCTTCCATCTGGGATGCACTCTTGTCAAGTGCGACTAAGCTCAATGCGGTAGAAGTACTCTGTCGGGCTCTTCCTACTGCTGGGCGCTTTCCCCTGCTCTGGCAGAGTTCAGAGTTTATGTCTGCGTGGAGGTGTGTCCTTCTGGCACCGTCTCACCTATATGAGGTTTCCGGTAAGAAAAACAAGCTTCTGCAAGCATCCCTGGCCCTCCGCTGCCCCAGCGTTCATCGTCTACCGTTCACATTGATGGTTGATGACTGCAGAGATGAGGGGGGCATTGTGCTCTTTGTGGTATACACGCTGTTGAGAGGCCTTGGGGACGTTACCCAACAGGTGGACGAGCTCTTTGGCTCCCTTCCAACAGAGGCGTTTACAATACTTCAGGCCCACAAGGACCATTTTTTTATGAACCTGTTGCATATTGGGAAGGTTTTGGAGAAGTAATGTGGTTCAGTTGTCTTGCCTTGCAGCACACTCGTGCTGCCTTTTGACACTATTTACATATTGTTTGTAATGCACAAATAATTTATAATACTTTGTCAATAAATAAAATGTTCAACTGCAATTACTGAGTGTTTAGTGCAAAAAATATACACTTACGCTGCTCGTAAGGTGGAAGCACTGCAACAGCTGGGGCGTGACGTCAGAGCCGCTAAGGTGTCATTTTGAAGATGGATTGAATGAACGGTGAAGGTGTGAGTGTGCACCCTAGAGTCTGCACAGGTGTTTCGTATTGCACCGAGTAAAACACCGGACAAAAATTCCAGTGTTTTGGAGCCAATGAGGGTGTATTAAGTAGAGAGCATTTTGTGAGCCTGTTAAAAATTTGATAAGACAAACTAGAACTGCCTTGTGGTAATCGAAGAACATTTTGAAAATCGCGTGCCCAAGTTTGAAATCCAGGGAACGACGAAACTGCTTGTGTATGCATGAACCGTTCCCTGTCGGTGTGGCTACCTGAATGTCTTGTGCAATGTTATTGGACAAACATAGCCCTGTGGTCACTGAAAAACGCATCCAAAATCGTGCACTCGAGTTTCAACCGTGTAGCTCCACCTAATTTCACGCCCATGGTTTCGCCGGCTAACACCCACCTAGCTTTGTTGGTTTTATTGTTTAAGATCTTGCTGGCATAATTAGCATAAATGCCTTGTTTTGTTTTTTTCCATTATCAGCAGTCTCATGTTTATGTTTTATATGCTGTCATGGTGTTGCAGGACTCACGGTGTCACCTGGCGTCATTAAGTCGCGTAATGTCACTGTGCAACATGTCTTGACACGACTATGTTGCGACGCGGTGTCGGCTGATGTTAGGTAACAAGTGACGTGATTCGCAATGTGACGTCATTGTGGAATCTTGGCGGAGTGCCGAAAATAGTCTGCATCGATATAAAGCGTGGTTGTTGGCGCGAGACCCGCAAAGTGTCCCACTATAGTCGGATACAACATAAGAAAGACGGTGCGAGGGAAAAAAAGGACAGAAACTAGGGAAGCTGAAGTGGGGAGGGGCAACCTCCTTTCCACAATAGCTTTTCTTGTGCGTGCCATTTTCCTTCCCACACAAAGAAGTGTATTAAAATCGTCTGGTGGTAAAATTAGGGCAAAGACAAGGGAGGAAGAACGTAGAGACAGGGTGGGAGGCACTCACTTGATCGAATGACGTTTTAGCGAACGCCCACGTTTCATCGAATGACACTTTAGCGAATAGTCGGACGCCGCGAAGCGGCGTTTTCGGGTGGGCCAAGTGAGTTCATATTTTTGTAATGAGTTGCCGCAGACTGTCGCCGCGAAGCGGCGTAAAGCGCAGCGCGACGGATGGGACGGATGGGTTAACGCGCGCCCCCGTTATTCGCTAAAATGACCATTCGCTCAAATGTCGCTGTTTCTAATCATAGTAATTCTAAGACGTTTGAAAAAAAAAAAAAAGTTTTAGCCACAAAGCCTGCATATACAGCGGTTACAACTATCTCATTTGTGTCACCTCACCTCATTTGTGTCCTTTGTGTCAGTGTATACTGAAGATGCCACCTGCATAGGTGGCGAAACGTCTGTACCTTTTGTTATTAATTTGTTATGTTAAGTCGGAGCAGAGCCTCCTATATAAGTGTACAATGCCCGTCAGCTCGTGGCTCCGGCAATGCAAAGGCGGCCGGCAAAAAGTGTGTGTGGTTCCCGCGTGGCGGCGCCAGCTAGGCGTACATGTTGTGTTGTGCGGTGAAGCCCATGGCCCTTCCCGAAGGGAGCAGAAGATTCGCCGGACGTGCTCGGCGGCCAAATGGCCAAATATCGGCGTGCACGGCGGCAACTCGGTGAGAACCCCATGAGCCGCTGTGATTGGACTCGAACCCCGGATGAGGAGCAGTATCTGGGTTACAACGCAATCTTAACCTGAGTTGTGCGTAAGTAGGAAAAGCGCTGCGGTATTAATAATTTCGGCCAGCAGGGTTTGCAAGCTCGAACGTCAGAAAAGAGCAAAATTAAGGTCAGGCAAGGCAGTGAAACGTCGGTCGAGAGTTCGGCTTTCTATATTACGCAGTCGCGCTGGTCAAAGGCTTTCCATATGATAATATTGCATCGTGTCTAAATTTTCAGCATGTTAAATTATCTAAATGAAAAAAAAAAAAAAATGCTACGTCGTGAGCAGTGATATGCAAGAATCGAACTGTGTCTAAATAAGGGACAGCAGTTCTGCTGAAAGAAGTTTTGCAACAACATTTTGTCTCCCTTTTTTATAATTGATGCGTTTCAACGCTTCAAAACAAACCCTAGCAACACAAAACATTGCTGTAGTGTTGTGCTATGTTACCGGTGGAACGTGATCGAGTCACGTTGCAGTGACGAGTGCTGGAAATCCGACCAAATTTAAGGGAAAACCGACTTGTAGCAGGTGCTGGATTTATTAGCGGGAGTAAAGGCACCCAGTAAACTCATTGGAAACAAATATAATCTTTATACATATATCATATAATTTGCGCAGAAAGACCAACTGGGACACAAAATCACTAAATGCCAAGGCCAAATAAAATACATATGAACAGAGTTCCGCTTGACTAAAGGTAGAAAAAGAAAAACAAAACAAAAAAACACTGCTTTAATCTACCTTTGCGTGCACTCTACCTCACCTTCTGAAACTTCCGAGATAGAGGCTTTCGTGCAAACATCTTAAATCTATCGTTCCTGTCTGTGTGACAGAAGGCATAGTTAACAAGGAGCGGTCTGAAGAACTTTGTGCAGACAGGATGGATCAGTTCACGGCGATGAGCCTTGTTGTTCGTTGGGCAGAGCAGCAAAGGAGAGTCATACACTGCTGGCAGTGCAAACTTCACAAGAGTTTCGAGGGGCTGCCAATTCCTGAGGTTGTACGACAACACATCCGCTGCAAACATCCTGAGGACATTGAGAAGGTGGGCAAGTTCATCTGAGGGATACAAAAGGCCTCCCCGGTCCAGGTGGTTTGTGATCCCTTGCAAGGCACTGTTTGTCTTCGGCTTTGTAAGAAGAGGTATGCAGAAGAAGCATGAAAAGTGTTCTTGTACAACACGGGCAATGTAGCCCCCAACGTGCGCTGTCGCCGACAGCTCGAGGCTTGGCAGGTATTGTACATTGGGATCTGACAGCTTTTCTAAGATTTCCGCTGCACTCTGTGGAAGTTGGAATGGCGTGGCAGCTGACACTGCTGGTGGTATGCACCGAATTGCTGAAGTCATACCCGATGAGGTCGAGGCAGCATGTGACACATTGCTCTGCTGGGAAGCTGTGATGAGACCAGTCTTCAGGATCTTTTCAATTCCTGAGATTGCAGCCCGAACGCTAAGCTGGTCATTGCACCCTTGAGATCGTCTCAATGAGCCAAACAGGGACTCAATGGCGTCGCTGCTGAACTTCCTGGTCAGTACAAATCCAAACTCTTCCTTGGTGAGAAGGTGTTGTACACATGCAACTGTCGAGTATGTTGTCAAGAGAAGGGCTTCGTAGGTTTCTGTCGTCAGGAACTGTGATGGGCTTGCCGTGCTCTTGATCTGCTCGAGATAGGCTGGGAATGAAAACTCGAGCCATTCCAGACGAGGGTCGTCTGGGTGATCATACTGGCGCACATCTGGGTAGCGTTGGTGTATGTGTTGTGTGCAGTTACTGGTATCATGCAAAATGAACCAGCGGTACACAGAGTCCATGAAGAAGATGGTTGGCCCTGCGTCCGCATACAGTAGGTCACTCGTATGGCCAGCTTGTTCCTGGAGGTGCTTGAGCACAGCTGTCACTTCAGGGGAGAAGAGCTGGACTGCTCTCTTGGCATTCATTTTCTCTATGTTGCTAGGGAAAAGATGTTTGCGACTCAGGAACCTGACTGGCTTGACAGCCGTCTCTCTCTGCAGCTCGTACAACTTCTTGAGGTAGAAGGACTTGATCTCATTGTCCTTTCCAAAGTTGCGTTCCAGGAATTGGGACCGTATATTCTTCAAGATGTGAACATAGTCAAAGCTAAGAAACAGAATCCTCTCCGGGTCATTTGGGTGCAGGATATGATGTGTAAGGAGTCCCCCACAAAGCTGCTTCATTGCATTGACATTCACTCGGTGATTGTCAGTTACAATCCGGAGTACTTTGAAGCCAACGTCTTCCACCTTGCCCAAGACATGAAGCAGAAGCTTGGCCAGTTCTGTCCCTGTTAACCCTTTGGTAAAAAAGTAGGCAACAGGGATCCGGTATGGAATGCTGAGCCCATTCATGAGAAAGCACAGCAGCGAATTTGCCAGGATGGGCTGCTTGGTCTTTTCAGTCAATGGTCCCAGGTCCACTTGGCCCACAAAGACATCCTGCTGCTTGTTGTACTGCAAGCTCTGTTTGATCTGCATTTCATCAATAATGAGAGAGCATGTCCTTGATTGTGTGTTTGCCAGGTTGTGTAGTTCTGTTTGAAGCCGAGCCTTCGCCAAGTCGCTGAAGCCAGTTTGACCTGAGGCAGCTCCAATGTAGCTTTGCAGAGTGTTCCTGCTGGGAAGTTTAAAAAGCTCTTCAGACCTTATGTGTTCATAGGCCTTCGTAGAAATGTGTCTCAGCAAAATGCAGTGACGGATGGTATGTTCTGTCTACCTTGGGCTTTTCTTGTGGTAGTTCTTTACTTGGTCGACTAGAAACATAGCCGATATGTTCTTTTCCTTTGCTTGTTCACGGATGTTAAGAAAATTTGTGACATCATCTTCTTCCCTCAGGTTCCGCAACTTTTCCAAGTCTTTTTTGTATCTGTCAACCGTGTTCTTGAGTCTCTCCACTTGGTTTCGCAGGGTGGTGACTCGTCGGGTCCATCTACGTTTCTCTACGGTTAGTTGTGCTGACATTTTTCGAACGTTTGCCTGTGTTCCTTGATGGGTGAACAGCACTGGCTGTTGGCATGGCCTGCTGTCTGGCACTTCTGATGCCTGCCTGTTTTGAGGCTCCAAGGTGCTCGCTGGAGATGTCCAGATGATTTGGATTCGTTCAGCACCTTCATTGCACAGAAAAGAGGTCGGTGGAGTGTCCAGTGTAGAGCTTGATGTCGCATCAGTCACTTGCGAACTGCCTGTGTCCAGGCATTGCCTCTTCTTGGGAACTTCTGATGAATATGGAGTGCTGCACTTCCTTCTGATAGCGTCCTTCATCTTAGTGATATTTGAAGGCGGCATGCTCCAAAAGATGCTTGGGATAGCGCCTTTCTTCAGCTTTCGGCGTTTGCCCTCAACATAGTCGGATGGCACAAAGTGCCGACTGCAAACCATGGAGTAGGTTGATGGCAGCCAGTCATCTCTCTTGATTGCTTGTAGCCAGCTCGCTCGTTCATCGGGGTCCGATGGTATTTCGTGGAGTGCAAAGTTCCTTTCTTGACCTGGCTTCCGTCTGCTTGAACCACAATGTGGTATGCAGCAGGTCATGCCTGAAATAGGACGTCATGATTAGGGCCAAACCATCCTTTTCTCTTCCCTATCTGAATATAATAGTGATCACTCGTGTATCTGCAATTAAATGCTTTGTCATCTTCTGTGTGTAACATTCTTTACATATGTGAACTTCGACTGATAAACTGAGCGCATTGTCGTAAAAGGAGTATGTTCAGTGTTTATTTGTAACATATTTGGGGTTCTGCGTATTGGATTTCATTTCTGAGCAAAATGCATGCAGAGTTTTTCGGAGTTTTAGTTTGTGGTACATGAAATTCAGAGTGGCTTTTCTAGCCGAAGTGAATGAAAGGTAGAAAGCAGCAGTTTCCAAATTTAGTAAAGGAGCCTTTTCATGTGTGAAACATATTCGATTGTGGTTGTAGGGAGGCTAGCTTATTTTTATTACAAAAGACTAAACAGCAATTTTGTGACACCTACAATTGGAAATTGACACTAAAAACGAAGTGAATCGTAAGCTGGCTCGCGGAACCACGGTGATATAAAGGCCTGTTGGGTTTATTAAAGCTGGCAGACCCAAAAAATTTCGAGTTTTTACGACAAATCTAAATTGACAAAATTTATAAATAACAAAATTTTTTATCGGCAAGTGTTTTCTGGTTTTTATTGGCTTTATTCAAAAACGCAGAACCTATTGCAGGTTTAAAGGGACACTGACAGTGTATTTATGCTTGCCAAGGTCTTTATTTGTACATTACATATGAGAGCCCAACTACCCGGAAAACGATTCGCTGCTCAAAATTTGTTTTCTTTCCGATCGAGAACTGGCCGGTTTGAGTCGCGCTTTTACTCTCTTCTCTGTGGCCATATGCCGTTTTTTATGGTTTAGACACAACCACCAAAGATCAGAGTCGTACGTCATCGAAGGCAGGCACACAATATTAGAAATGGAAAAGACATATGATGCCCATTATTTGTGGCTTCTAAAAAGCTGCAAATACGTTGTTTTAAGGGGGAAAGAAGTATCACAGTCACCTCTCTCCTCTTCCTATATTTCTTCTTCCTCCCCAGTTCATTAAAACTTGTTGGCCTAGTTGCTTCATGGTGCAGTCTAGTAGCTAGTGTTTGCGCGACAGAAGGAAGTAGAGGGGCTTGTCCGTGTCTACTCACTTATTGTCCCTTGTGTCGCACAAAAACTTCCTAGACTCCCCAGTCCAGTTTCGGTTTCGGTTTCAAGCAGTTGCGTTTTTTTTTTTTTTTAACTTTATTAAAAATATACGTGACGCTGTAGTAACATATTGATTCGATAGTCTTCTGATGCCATAATAAATCACCTGGCAAAAAATAAAAATAAAAAATTTTGGGGGGTGTCAGTATTCTTTTGTTTTATAATGGTTTATTTAACACCACTTGCGAAGTACACATATGTTTGTGAATAAATGCTTCGAAACTCAAGCTGGATTTTCTCGGTTGATTTTTCAGAATGGCAACGTAACCACTTCCTTAAACTATCTCCCAGGAGTTTGTTTTTCGGCACGTATATGTGTTTGTAGTCATATATATTAGCAAGTATGCTAGCGCTAAATGACGCTGATTTATTTCAATATGATGACCTGCCTATGGAGATACTATGTAAATGATGCCTAGCACGTACCAGTGCTGATATATGCACTATTTTCGCTCCAAACAGGCTTCTAAAAATACGAAATGTCACCACATCTGTAATAAAGCTAAATTAATCCTCATACTGATATGTGGTCTACGTGTCAGATGAGACCTAAATAAATCGCAAAAAAAATTCGTATTTGCGAGCTACAACGCTGTAATTTATCACGCAAGTTCGGCTAGGTGGTGAATTTAGTTACTTAAAATATCAAGAAAAATACTTCCCTCAGTCAAAAGTTACAAGGGAAAATCAATAAATTACCATGTATCTCGATCTAAAAAAAAAAAAAAAGAAACCGTGGTTGTAGGCCATTGGGGTGCTTGATTTAACAAAAGCGTGGACGGGACAGCCTTGATATCATCCCCCGTTTTTGTCTACCAAACGTCCCAGTGGCCCACAAGATTGTGGCTTCACCTTATGTCGGCCCATAGAACTTTGCTTGTTTTTTTTGAGTGGGTCTAGTCTGTCCTTTTTTTTTTATTTTCAGAAATAAAATCCACTACCGAGCCGAACTTCTGCGGGCAATTACACTGTCGTAGCTTGCAAATCCGATTTTTTAAAGATTTATCTAGGTCTCGTCTGACATCTGGACCACGTACGCTGTATAAATTTCGGTAATGTACGAAGCCCAAGAAAATGATTTCTTTTTTTATGTGCTACTGGCAACTGATGAAAGCAGGCGAGACATAGACATGAAACCGATATAAGACATGAGATGTTTTGACGAGGGGAGAGAATGGCAGATTTTATATTTTCTCAAGAGCCGCGAGCTGGTATATGTGCAATTTTAAAATGACAGTTGAACCACCAAAATATAGCATTCCGTAGTTTTCTTATACAGGCGTGCTATAAAATTATTTGAGACATACGCTACTTCTCTGGAAAATTGTTTGACGGAACATTAGGACGTTTTCGCGTCTAGAATGCTCTGTTTTGGGGTCGCGCATGCAGTTGCGCCGCTATTTACCGGGCTTGTGAGAGCACTAAATGGTAGCTTCGCGGTGATTATTTGCGTTCATGTTCATTATATTATTTAGAGTTATTCTGTCACTCACCTGCTAACAGTCGTTGCACGCCGTTTCCGTCCCCGCCCGAGAAAGCGCCGAAATTCCGTTTTAGCAGACGAAGCGTTCGGCGGTCGGGCCGCACCAGCGCCTCCTGGCTACACTTACCTTGGTTTAGCACAGAAGTCGTTTGGTGGCGCCACTTACCCGTACACGGCACGTGTACCGCCCTGAAAGCGGAGTTGACAGGCATAGTACACTTATCTAGGAGGCTCTGGTCGGAGTAAACCTTTTCAATCATGAATTCACCCGGCTTTTGGAACATTTTTGCAGTTACAACTAGCGCCACCTGCCACAACGGCTTTTGTCAAGAGTTTTTCCACAAAGGGCCGAAGCTAGTATCGTAGGCCTTGTTTGTTTGTTATCGCAGCGGTCGTGCATTTCGCATTATTACCGCCGAAGATACTTCAAAGCGTGTGATGCACAGAGTGGTATTTGCAGTATGGTCTGTTGTTGCGTGCCTCTCTGTAAGTCCGAATACAAGAACAAGAAGGATGGGGGACTCTCCTTCCACGAGTTTCCAGTGACCCATGTCCGAGACCAATGGATCAGGGCCATTTCGCGTAAAGGTACCCCCCATTTTCTTCCAAAAAGTAATCTGATTCTGGTCCTGACGCAGAGCCCAAAGTATACTTTTACAACATGCTTCGGTTTGACGGCACTAGCTGTGTGGCAAAAAAGGCCAGGGTAAAAATTAAGTCTTAGAGCACGATCGGCTTCTATTCAGTGCAAGAGGCAATCTTTAGCTCTTGAGAGCGTTCAAGTGCCGTCCGAAAATGTTAAGCAAAAGTCACGCTTATTCTGACATGTGTACCATCAGCAGAATTTGGTTTTAATATAAAACCCGAGTAGAAAAAAATGTTGCAGGAGCGAGCAGGATGTTTTTTTATGTAAGTTTGTGCCTGCGCTGTGCAGGCGTGCGATTTCTTCAAGTTTGACGAAGTTGCACTCTCTCGAAGTTGCGGTCGTGATTTGAGGTGAATTTGAGTTCTTCTCGAGTGACGGAAACGTTCTCATATAGCGGCAATACTGCCCCCCCCCCCCCCCCCCCCTCAAAAAAAAAAAAAAAAAAAAAAAAAAAGTTATTTAATTATTTTGAAGGCAATTGTATTGAACTTAAATATTTGTGAGACCGGTTACTATTGGTTGTGAAGAAAGTTTTATAGAATCTGAGTATAATCGTAATTGGAAAGTTTGTTACGAAAAAAGGGACTAAAGTTGGCATACTAATTTCGTCCACAAAGTGCCAAAAGCAAGATATTCTTTACTAAAGGACGGCATTTGTCATATTGAACGGGTTAAAACAGCGCAAAGAAAGGCGAAGGACCAGTAAAACAAGACACACAGACACAGCGCTGTGTTTCCTTTTACTGGTCCTTCGTCTTTTTTTTGCGCTGTTTTAACCCATTCAATATGACCATCAACCAACTCGCCCAACTTTATACCTTGTTGACGGCATTTGCTTTGTAGGGGCATTGTAGGACGGCACTCGAATGCGGGCGCAAAGTGCCTGTAGGGCGGCACTCTGACACTGCGAAAATTTCTCTAGACACTGCGAAAATTTAAAGTGTCATCCTGATCACAACTTTCTGGCTGGCTTTTGCAAATAATATACATTTCAAAATGAAAAAAAAAAAAAAATAGGCAAACAATATTGTCGAGTTGGGGTTGAAGCCAAAAAACGCAAGGAAGCATTACATCGCTTAAGACCTGTGGAAACCTGATTCCCTACCAGCTTGCTATTCGACAAATTGGGGTTAGTGTTCTACAATCCTCACAATAGACCACTTGCTAAATACCCCAAGCGCCCCGGCCCGCATTCGAGGAATTATGGGAGCGGTGTTCCTTCAGCTGCCTATTGATCGGTAATTTTGACCAGTTCTATGGTTACAATGTTTTGAGTGTAATTCAAAGTCACCCTAAACAAGCATGTAAGAGCTGTTGGACTTGCCATATCACTTTTAAAATTTCTGGTCAATGTCAGCGTTTTTGATACTGTACATGCGATCCACCTTTCAACCTGACTGAGCTGCAGAAACCTCTTACAGTATTATCATATTTGTGATTGTTGTTTTATCAGGAATTGCTTAAGAAGCTGAGATTTCACAACAACCAACACCAGGATTTAGCTCGGAGTCAGCGGGACAATTTATAGCATTTTTAGCGTTTCTAACTTAATATAAAAAATTATCAACGTCTTTGAAGCTGTACGAGAATGATGATAATGTAAGAGATTTCTGAAGCTCAGCCAGGTAGAAGGGTGGACAGCATACACAGCGTTGAAAATGCTCACATTGACGAGAAAGTTTAAGTGATCTTGGGCTCTATCCGACGCTTGTTCAGGGTGACTCCGAATTACACTCAAAACTGTGTAACCATGGAGTTGGTTACACGATTACCGATCGCCTGGGAGCTGAAGGAACACCGTTCCCATGATTCCTCGAGTGGTGCCACATAACCAAGATTTCGTTTGCACGTCAAGAGATCCCCGGGTGATCAAAGCTAATCGTCAGCCTTCCGCTGCGGCGTTCGAGATGCCCTTCATTGGCTTGGCTTGTAAAACCCCCAAATTTGACCTTTCAAAATGAGAAGAGATAATGTGCCCATCTGTGTCTCTTTCTTTTTTCTTTTTTTTCTGCTAGAGGGGGCATATGCTCCACCTGTTGTAGGGCCCTAGTGCAGTGTGATCACACATCCTGTGCACCAACAAAAAAAAAAATCAAGAAAGGTAGGGGGCTGGGTTTTTATTAGGGCTTTCGGTAAAGGTTGGAAAACACTGTTTTTCAGATCCAATTTCTCAGACTATAAAAATAAAGCTTTATAACTATTTTTTTTTTTTTGTCAAAGCAGGTGTGGGCAAGCAGGCAGCTGAGCTACAGCCTCTCTCTCCTTATTTCTGTCTTAAGCGTCACGTGGCACGTGGCGGTAGTGAGGTAGAGCGCACACGGCTTTGCGTGTGGACTTTTGGGGCTTTCGCAAAAGGTCCATTTTGTAAATCTGTGTCACGTGCCTCCCTCCCCGCTTGCGCAGGTCCGGACAACGCGTTGTGGCAGCCCAACGGCAGATCAAAGGTGTGCAGTCTCCACTTTAAGGATGATGACTACAAGGAGTGCAACAAATTCCGGCGCCTGCTGAAGCCCACAGCCGTGCCCACCATCTTCCCAGGCTACCCGTGGTACGAGGAGAGCCTGAAGAAGGCCCAGCAGCGCGCTGCAGGGAAGCGCTCCGCCGGCTCGACGGACTCCGAGATGGAGCAGGACATGAAGCCGTGCGTATAGATCCAATTTGTTTCTTTTCAAAATCGATCGCAGCGGACGTTACGTAGGATTTTGTGTTTTCGGATTTTATTTTTCGTCATATTTAGAGAGTGTTTTTCAGAGTTTATTTTTTGCTAAAAATTCGGAAATTATCGGGCTTTATTTTTGTATGATTCCCGATTCTGCTAAATTCTGAGTATAATTTCGCAGTGTTTCCTGTTAAAAATAAATAAATAAGTAGTATCCGGGTATGCTAGATAAAAAGAATAGAACACACTTGTATAAATCAATATTTTTTTAGTTGGACTTGGCATTGGTGCCATTGCCATTGGCAAAACTAATTTGTCCCATGACAAAAGTTGCACTCAAGTGTTGCTTCGGTAAACGTCAATACTACCTTAAAGGGACACTGACAGGGTATTTATGCTCGCCGAGGTTTTTAGTTGTACGTGACATATGAGAGCTCAACTACCCAGAACAGAATTTACGGCTCGAAATTCGGTTTCTTTCCGCCCGAAAACCGCCGATCAAGAACTGGCCGGTTCGAGTCTCGCTCACTCTCTTTTCCGCGGTCACGGGCCGTTTTCTAAGGTATCGATGCGACCACCAAATTTAATCAAAGTCGTGGGTCACTGAAGGCACACACTCAATATTAAAAATAGAAAAAAATATGAAACCGATTTTTTGTGGCTTCTAAAAAGCTGCAAATACGTTGATTGAAAAAAAAGTTCCACAGACAACCGGAAGCAATCTGTGCGTGCGTCGTTTCGCGTATCGTGGGACTCGCAGGGACGGCGATGGCAGCGGACGACGGGCGTGGGACCTCTATTTCAGAACTGTCGTTCGCGGTATCGGCGAATTTTGTCTGCCTTTAAAAGAGAAATTTGGGACTGATCAAAAGAACTGGTATTCATCCCGTACGACACGCCCGATCACCAAGCCGATTTGCACGAAGACGTCGCCGAGCCGTCGCTCCCTTCTCGTGGCTGAAGACATCGCTCGCGCAAACGTCAAGCACGACGTGTCTACTTCGAGTTGAGTATGCACGCGTACGATTTCTTTACTACGTGAGAATGTCGCCAATGCGCGGTGCATCCCGACTTCGACCCGGGAGTGCTTTTGCTAGAGGAAAATCGGCAGCAAACTTTCCAACTTACAGTTTATCGGCTGAATTATTACTAAGGGAAGAGATTCCCCAATTTCGGTATGCCCCAGTAGCTCAGTGGGAAAGACGGTCGCTTCACACGCGGTAGGACCGGGTTCGATCCCCCGTGAAACCTTTTTTTTTTTCTTTTTTTAAAATATTTTTTGATGTCTACATTTCTTTTTCTTTTTAAGCAATTATCACTGAAGAAACAAAAAATAAGAAACAAATGTTGTGGACGACACGTCGCTGAATTAAATGGTACGGGATTTCCTTTTTGACACCTGCGAACTCAATGTAATCACTTTCCACAAAATGCAAGGAGCATATAAATCAGGTAGCGTCCGCTTTCCGAGGTGCCCATAAATGGTCTACAGGAATTGCAGCCCGCCATTGGTCCCGATCCCTTTGATCTTTCGGAAACTGTCGCACAATGCCACTTCTGTTTCGGACGCAGGGCATGTGAGCCAGCTCTTCACGCAACATCTTGGGTGTATTCTTTTCGGAGCCGATCAAAATTCACCACGGGCACTCACTACTCATCTCCAACTCCTCAATGTACAAAACAACTCATCTTGGAGTACAGAACAACGAGCGGAACATACATAACTGCAAAAGAATCGCTCGGTGAACAGTTCCGGTACGCCGGATGTCGTCTGCTACGGGAAGGAGGAAAAAAAAAAAAAAAACACGGTCGGGTGTAGCCACGTGACTTCCGCCAGTCACTCTCTCCTCTCCACTTCTCCGACCTCCGTCGGGTTTCGGTTTCGAGCAGTTGCGTCTTTTGGCTTTATTAAAAAAATACGCTACTCTGTTGCAAAATATTAATTGGGTAGTCCTCCGACACCATAATGAAGCGCCTGGCAAAAAATTAAAAAAAAATTTTGGGGGGTGTCAGTGTCCCTTTAAAATCAATGAACTCCTGGATGTAGTCGCTGGGAAGCTCGTATCCCATCCTATTCCATCAACCTATTCTGCGGCCGTGCTAGGTGGAGTGGTAAAGGATGTAATTGAGGAGTTCCCCATTTTATGCAATCTCTATGGTCCATAGCTTTCACTGTTACAAGAACACAACCTTTCCTTCCTCTAAAGCACAATTAGCATGGCCCAAACTGGAAACCAAAACAGTGGCTTTTGCCTTGGCCCTAAAGTACAATGACCTGTTGTCCTAAATGAACCATGACGAGATATGCGGTAAGACCCCTTTTGACTATGGTCTGAGATTTGAAAAATAACCGTCTTTTCTAATTATTTTCTTCGGGGAGGGGGGGCGGGGTGGTGAGGGGGCATTGGCACACAGAAATTCTGAGTTTATTGGATGAATCCGGATTGACCAAAAATTTTACCAGTGGGTGTTTTTTGGATTTCTTCGAAAACATAAAACTCTAGTTATGAGCTATTGGGGCCAAAGGGTTTCACATGACTTTGCACACTGCGTGTGATTGGAAGGTCGCATGGCAGTCTACCAGCTTCAGATCGGCTCTGAGGGCTTGTAGCATCCGCTGCTGTTTGTAATAAAAGCCGACAAGCAGCAAGAAAGGAGGAAACTGCCCCTTGATTACTCTTTTCTGCAGGGAGTTGCTCAGAGACCCACTTCTGTGGAGATAAGAGGATAGAAGAGTGCGTGAGGGAATTGAAAGAAGGAACTGGGGACGGTTTTCTGCCCGGTAGAAGACGGTTCTGTAGGTCGGCCTTGAAAGGCCGACGACCAGACTCGAGATTCTGCAAGGCAGAAGATTCTTCTCACCATGAGGTGAGAAGCGAGGGGAAAGTGGAAAGCGCAAACTGGTGGTCGGCCTTTAAAGGGGCACTGACACCCCAAAGGTCTTATTTATTTTTATTGTCTAAAACGATGCAAGTTGCAGTCATAGACACGCAAAAAAAACCGCATTGCGAAAAAAAATTTTCCTGCGCGTGCGCGCGCCTTTTTATTTTTGGCGTTTGATTCTCCCGCCTCTTTCCTCCTCGCTTCTTTTGATTCGTGACGTCAAGAATCATGAAATTTAGAAGCTTTGTAGGCGACATCTTTATAACATTTAATAACGGCCATCCTAAAACATGTTTTTTAACGCAATTGCGAACGCACCACGGCCCTTCTTTTTGAAATACCAAAAATCGGGAGTTCGTTGTGGTGCTGTCTCCTGGATTTGTATCCTCCAACGGAAAACAGGCGACACCGCTCAAAACCGGTCCACTGCAACGCCGGCGCTCGCTCCTTTCCTCCTCGCTTTGGGTCACCATGGCAACAGCAGGGAGTCGTGAAAGGAAGTGGACTCGCAGGACTCCGCAATATTTGACGTCAAGGCACCGGCGCCGATCGCGCGGGAACTTCGAATTCGGCATTCAGAAATTGTTTTTTTACTTCACAAATACTGAATTCTCAAATTTCAAATTTTGAGGGTAATGTCCCGGCATCGTTTTCAATCGTTTCGGATAATAAAAAAAAATATGATTTTGATGTGTCAGTGCCCCTTTAAGGTGAAATGGAATACAGCTTTTATGTGGACTGCGTAGTGCTTTCTCTTAGCTATGCTGCTGCTCGAGTGCTTATCAGAGTTGCAGTACTTATTCTGTGCGGTGCCAACATGCGTTGTGTAAAAAAGTTCTTTACGTCACAATCTTAAAAGGTACAGAACGGAAGAAGAAGGGAACTAGGCAAAGTCATTGTTTCTATTGGCCTTTATCTTTTTGCACAAAAAGATGAATGCAGCATTATGAAAGAGCGGCACGAAAAACCATCGCATGCCCGCCAAATTTAGCGAACTTTTGCCCCACTAACTTTGGAGTTACTCCCGAGCTCAGAAAAGCTTTTGAATAAACACCCAGCACAATTCAAGACACGCTGCACATTCTCTTTTTTTTTTTCCAGATTTATTTTATGATTAGGACTCATTTTTTTGCTGTGGAAATAACAATACACCGACCTTGACTGTTGTTATGGCGTGAACTTAATCTACTTGCCCTGTGCGCCCTAAAAAACCCAAAATTATGATCTTAGATTTTTTAGGACACTTAATAGAGGACGAATTCAAAATGCACATTCATGCAACAGTTTCAGTGCTTTGCTTAAATAATTTGGGAGTTAGTGTCTCAACCTTTGTGAAGCAAAGAACAAAAAACTGCTTTTGCCTGCATGCCCTAGTTTTTATTTTAAAAATGGGCAAAGACTGAGGTTTTTGGCACCTCTCAACTCCTTCACCATCTTCCGAGTCACGTGCGCTGTGACGTCAATGGGGTTTGCGGGGCGTTCCGGTGAGGCTCTCTCTCTAGAGCCATCAGTGTGCAGCGAGAACTCATTCGCTCGCGACCGCGTGACCATGTGCTGGCGGGCGCAGCGCGAACAATATGGTGAAAGGAGAAAAGTCTCATCTGGGTTCGGCCATACCGGTACGGCTCTGTCCCCCTCCCCCCTTCGGCTTTTGGCGGCTGTTCGCAGTTGCAGACAGAGCTGACGTTTTTGTGGACCTATTATAGATGGCGCCACCAAAACTCCGTATAATAAAAGTTTTGTCGATGGTAGCAGGTTTTTGACGCATTTATATTTATGTTGGAACGACAAGATTTATAGAAAAGTTACCTTTTATCGAGCAGGTGTTTGCACAACTTGCTATCCTTCTACAAGATTCCCCATTGACGTCACGCCGCGTTTTTCTCATGGCCGCCGCTCACGGCTGCAGGTTGGGGAATATTCTAATTTTTGCCTCGCGATTACGCGGCGGAATCGCAACATTTTGAATGACAAAGGTGTGTTTTCTGTCCTATGTGACAAGGTGAACAATGTCAAAAGTAGAAGATGCCAATTCTTTCGACATTAAAATCGTTGCACAGCTCCTTTAATCCAGAAGGGTGGTTGGAGGCTACCCTTCTGGATTAAAGGAACTTCATTATACCACCATCCAAGAGGCACTTTTTATAGAAAAAAATATTTGACATTGCTGTGCCCCGTCCTCATTCCTTATGCCTAGTCTCACTTGAGCAACAAGCATCCACAACCAACCCTGAGTGATCGAAAAGCTTCTAAAGGTACAGTGCTCACCAAACTTATCTGCAACATGCCAACAGTGTCTTATCTCATAGGGTCTCCTGGTGGCAGCCAAAGAATTGCTTAGTGATGTGCTGTATGAAAAGCTTTGAGCTTGGGGAGGCTGCACTGTGGACACTGCAGCAAGTTTGCCGGCCGGCTAATCGATACTCATCGCCACTTTTTTGTGCGAAGATGCGTAGTTGACTGTTGAATCAGTCACTGATTGGATGATTCAATAAGTAAGCAATTTATGTTTCTGCTGAATGAAGCAGAAAGCATGGCTCGCCTTGCAGTCAAAACTGCTGTGTTGTGTTCTTCCTGGTCCAGCAGCGATTTCGGCCTTGAGAGAGCGACCTCCTCTGTTCTATTGATAGCTTTGTACATCATGGCACAGTTCTTTGGCTGCGGCCAGGATGGCGCTTTCGTAAGATGAGACGCTTTTAGCGTGTTCCGGATAAGTTTGGTGACCACTGTGCCTTTGGCTGCATATGCTTAAAGGGGCAATGCAACAATTTAAACTTCGATTGCAGTTTTTAATTTTTACTTTGTTTATCTGACCAAAAGGGATCAAGAAATTGCCTCATTCTTTTGAAACATTGTGATTCTGTGACGGAATAGCAAAGCAAAGAACAGGAATGTTATGTGATTTGCAGCCGCGGGGTGCCGACTATGGGAACGAGGCGTGACGCACACCTGCAGACAGTGTGAACAAATTGGCAAGACGCGCCATTATGTGCTCAATCTAATGCTATATTTTATAAATATTGTTGTTTCAACATCTGTAAATGTGTCAAAAACCTCATGTCATTGACGAAGTACCGGGCGTCCGCGAGAAAACCGAACCCTGTTTCTCGCATCGCAAAAATAAACTAGACATCGCAGAGAGTTCAAACTCCGTCGGAACAAAGCCCCAGCCGTTCGAGCTAGATGCCAAAGTTTCAGTACCAACCGTTATCTTATTCAAAAGTTATAAGTGATTTTCTGAAATTTTCAATGAAATAATGGCCCATTTTTCCATTGAAAATTTTAGGAAATAACTTATAACTTTTGAATAAGATAATGGTTGGTACTGAAACTTTGGCATTTTGCTCAAATGGCTGGGGCTATGTTCTGACGGAGTTGGAGCTCTCCGCAATGTCTAGTTTATTTTTGCAGAATGAAAAACAGGTTTAGGTCTTTTAGCAGATGCTTGGTACTACTATATTCAGTTTTAACGGCGCCATCTGCCCGAGGTGAAAAACACAATTCCTCCCTTGAGCCTGACCCCATCGCTATTACGTCAGTCGAGCTTCCTTAATAAAAGGTAAGCTCTCCCCCCCTCTCCCCACTCCCCACCCTCCACATTGCTCAGACCAACCTTTAAGGTCGCCATGTAAATTGCAAGCAGAGGCTAGGGGCGCTGAAAGAGAACCCAGCCGGATTCTCCTGTCCCCAGGGGTATGTCACTGCGTACGTGTAAGAATTGAGAGTGGTTTGGAAGCACCGAGAAACATCAATTGTTTGACATTCTTTTTAGAAAGAACTAGCGTGCGAAGGCAAAATTGGTTTTCAGTTTCTTAATTTAGACATGACAGGGAACAACTGCCACAATTATTTGACCTCAGTCCAAACATTGCTGCACGGACCCTTTAAGGTTGGTCGTCGGTTGTTGCTGTTTGTTGCTCAAGTGGGCCTAGGGACTTTATGTTCATCCGTAAAGTCTGACACAGTGTTGTTTAGAGCCTGCAGGTGAGCAACATGCAATCTCGAGGCAGCGACGTGTACTGGAATTTTGAGGCTGAACTTGAGCGTTACTGTTGGGCTTGCAGAGATCTCAGCGAAGGATATCCCAAGCCCGTGAAGACATACAACAAGGGGCCGGGCAGGCACAAGGTGCTGCTCTTGGACGTGCCTAGGAAGCCCGTGGCCACAATTGCGTCAACGCGAGTGGTCACTGCTCCCAGTTCACAGGCCAGGTAACGGCAGAACCTAGAAAATATAGTCTTTTTTTTTATTTTGAATGTCTGCAGTTTAAAAACAAAAAAAAACTCACAAAACTGGATATTGAAAAATTTATATTTAGGTCTACAAAATATCTGCAGAGTCTCTAGGTCCAATAACGTTGACACACTGACATCACGTTACACCTCAAATTAACGCCTAACCTCGCAAGAGCCAATGATAAACATTGTGACCTCACGTTACATCATGAGTCGTGTGACGTACGTACTGTGCCACAGACAAACATGAGGTCCGAGTTGGCTTCTGCTAGGACGCAATTTTGCATTAACACTGATTGATTGCAGAAAAAATAAGAAAAATTTTAATCGGTCAGTATTGATGCAGAATTGCATCCTAACGTAAGTTAACTCGTATTTCTTATTCGTCCATGGTTGGCAGGTACGTCATGTGACTCGTGGTGTAACGTGAGGTCGCGGTGTTAACAACGTTAATGGATCTGGTGACGTCGGGTGTCAGGTCGTGGTGTAACGTGAGGTCACTTTGTCAACAATGTTATTGCATCTACAGGGTGTTCCCGTGCAATGTCCGAGCTTAAAATGAAGTGCATAAATCAGCCAATAAAGTGAGCACAATGAAACTCTTCACAAGGGTGTCTTTAGGCGCAACGTTTATCGTATTCAGATTTGTGAGCATAGGTTTCCAGAAACCAAAACGAGAAAGAAAAACGCTATATCTATGCACGGGGAAAAAAAAAACTTAAACAAACCGTCTGCTTGATGCTGCCACTCACAGATTGCGCCACCATGCCTGAAGAGGTTAGCCACATGAAACGTAGGAAGCGTTGCGTGAGTGGTTTGGTCAAAAAAATGCTGTGGCGCTGAATTAAAAAGAAGAAAAAAAACCAAAAAACTTCACCGCAGCTCAACATGTTTGCTGTTAAGTGCAATGCACTTGTGGAATCGCTGTTCATAATTTTTGAGCACGGCTTAATGCTTACGGTTTGCAGTAGTGCCAAAGACTGCTGCAATGCGGGGTTTCAGCTCTTCGTTGGATGCTATCCGCCTCGTGTACACTGTCTGTCACCTTGATATGGCCCCAAACAATAAAATCACAAAGGGACAGGTTCGGTGAACGTGGGGACCATGGCATCTTGAAAGACCCGCGGCCCATCCAATGACCTGGAAAGGTCGCATTTAGCCACTGTCACACTGACGTGGCAAAGTGCGCGGGCACCTGGTTCTGCTAAAATGTGCACACTTCATTTTGCATATGGTGTGCTTCCAGCTCCGGGAGTACTTGCTCCTATAACATTCGGAGGTAGGCATCAGTGCTCACAGTCTCCAAGAAAAAGGAGGGGTCACCGACCCCTTCTTTTTCTGGGTGCTGGGTGTTCTGTCAACCAGTGAGGGTTGTTTCTGGTCCACTAACGAGAGTTTTGGCGGCTCACATGATCGTCGAGATGAAAAACGGTTCATCTTGGCAAAATGCCAATCGACGAATTTTATCTTTGATGCTCATTTTTTGAAGAACTTGGAGCTTTAGAGGTACAGGCCCTGACGCCGCAGAACTTTCGAGACAAACATTTTCGAAATGTGAAATAACTTTGCTGCTCTCTTGAGTGAGATGAGGGCCTGTTTCAAATGCGCCAATGACTAGCCAATTTTGCACTAAAGACATTTCTGAGATTGTCTGTTCTTGATGATAACCTATTCTTCGGGATCTTAGCATCCCAGCAATCGAAAAATTATGCTTGTGCGACGTCTATTTCCCTACTAAAAATGTTATCAAAGTTTGTCCCACGCCCCTTTCTGGGTGGAAAAATCGGCGCACAGAATTCAGCAGAAGCGCTGGCGGCGGGACTACTGGCGTGTGTCAGCCAATCGCAAGCGGTGGTGCCTGCCGCCAGCGCCTCCGCTGGATTTTGTGCTCCAGTTTTTTCCGCTCAGAAGGGGGCGTGGCACAAACTTTGATCACATTTTTAGTAGGGAAATAAACGTCGCACAAGCATAAATTTTGGATTTCTGGAGTGCTTGGAGCCCGTAAGGTAAGTTATCACCAAGAACAGACAATCTCAAAAACGTCTTTAGTGCACTTTTAATGGTTTTGTTGCATGGTGGGCGCTTATGAAAGGTGGTTCAAAACTTCCTTCAAACGACTGAAAATTTCTGCGACTCACAATACCAGTTCCCTACCAGTGTACGCTGCTCAAAACTAAGCTTTGGTATTTAAAAAAAAAAAAAAAAAAACTATAAAGGGAGCTTTAATTTTAGAAAACACGAAAACTGTAGTTTTCGTGTTTTCGCGAGCACCAGGATCGAGCCGTAGTGACAAAGCAGGCGGTAACTAGGATGTTTTCTGCGACGACATCTACTTTTCATGTTGCTGAACAAATTTTTTTTTTTTTTTTTTTGTTTCGTCCATAATGTCACTTTTTGATTTTGCAATATGTAAGGTTTAGAACATGGAATTACTGTTTGAGATGGAAACTTGAAAGTTTTCTTGTATTGAACACCTGAAAGCAGACCCCAGCTGCGCCGATGGTGGCACCATCTGTGATTGTTTGTAAGTTTTTTTTCCCCATGCATAAAGGTATAGCATTTTTTTCTTTCTCATTTAGGTTGCTCACGAAATTTGAGTATGATAAATGCAGCACCTAAAGACACCCTTGGCAAGGGTTTCATTGTGCTCACTTTATTGGCCGATTTATGCGGTTCATTTTATGCTCGGACATTGGTCGGGAACACCCTGTAGAAACATCGGGTGTCAAGTCTCGGTATAATGTGAGCTTGTGATGTCAACAATGTCATTGGATCTAGTAATGTGCGTAAGTCATGGTGTAACGTGATGTCATGGTGTTAACAACATTATTGTACCTACCGTAGTTACGTTGGGTGTCAAGTCATGTAACGTGAGGTCACGGTGTCAACAACTATTTTGGATTTGTATTGTTGGGTGTCAAGTCGTGGTGCGACGTAATGTCATGTGACACTGCAACATGATGTGACGATACACAATTAATTGGAGTGTGCCAGTAGAAATACCATGATAAAAATCAACCAGTTTTTATAAATTACAGTTCTGCCTATGACGATTTGATCAGTAAATCGAAATACAGCTGCAGTTCTTTTCCAAGAGGTTTCATTTGCTTCCTCTGGATAGTTAGCTTGTTCCCAGTTATTTTTGGTGCTTCAGTGCTGAATAAAGGTAAAGGGGTAGAGGGACTTTGAATGCATTTTTCTTCATTTCGTTGCTTTGCTATAAATTTTATTCTGGTCAATCTGTCGTCTCATAACAAAACAAGAAAAGGCGCTTTGTAAAAATTAATAAGAGTGTTTTTACTTTATAATTGATAACTCAGAGAAAAATGTTTTTACTTTATTGATATGACTAATAAAAAAGGAAAATCTTAAAACTTCGTCGAAGACACGGAAGGCCTAAACGTTTCCTGTACATTAATAATATGGACATAAATTGCCTATTACGAAACCTTCTTTCACAGTTGTACTCTCCAGATGTTCTGCTCTGTTTCTATACTCCGTTTCACCTTACGTCGGGCCGCAGTGAATGCTACGAGCCACTGGAGCCAATCCAAGGCTCTGCGAGCTTCCCGTGACCTTGGAGAGGAAGTGCCACGACTTGCAGAAAGCGCGTCGTGGCACATTCCGGGATGGCTTGTAGCATCCATTGCAGTTGGACGTAAAGGAAAACGGAGTTTAGCCAAGGAAGAATGCTGGACATTGTGTTATTTTCCTATAGACCAACACGCGGCCCTGACGTCACGCAGCTGCGGTGGCGCTGTCGACGGCACGGCGCATGCGCAGACGTTTCACTTCACGTGAATTCAGTTTCTGCGCACGCGCAGTGCTCACACCTGGTGTGGGCAAACGCGGGCTTGTTTGTAAACAGCGTGTCGGTCTATTGATGGATTGGCTAAGCGAGTGAGTGTACCCCTGATGGAAACCATCCCCTCCGCAGGAGAGCAGAAGAAGCCATGAAGTCCTCCGCGGCCGGCTCCAGTTCGGCTTCCAGCTCGTGGGGACCACACACTTTTTTTGTGCTTGGCGGCGAGGGAGGCTCGGCCGACGCTGCTGACATGGTGACCAGGTACGCCGTCTCCTCCATCCTCGGAAAAGGCGGTGGTAGATACGATTAGATGTTTTTATCAAGATCTTGGCGCTCGCGATAAGGGTTGTGCTGCTATGGTGACCGACCGACAAGGTAAGAACAACAGGGAGGAGCTTTATTTGTCCCGCTTCCTGCCCGAGGTTGCTACCTTCGGCAACGCTTCAACATCTTGTGCACCTGGAGCGCGCACGTGCAGCCAAGGCACGGAATGCGTGTTGGAGGGCGGGCGTCCGAAAGGCACACCGCGTTGTTCTCGCTCTGTCGGCGACCGTAGCGGCGGACGGTGTAGTTGCGATTTGCAATTCGTCTTTGCACGCTCATTTTTCGAAACACTTTGACAAAACTTTACGTTCATCTTTGCGTGCGAAGAGCAGAAATACCCGCATCTTCGATATAGAGGTGGATTTATTTCTTTTGGCCGTTTAGAGAGTGTAGATTGAGTTACCACCGTAAAAGGGTGGCCTCGATAACCTTGCGGCGCGTCTGTGGTGGGGGTGCGCGATCGGCGCACTGTCCATTTTGGTCTTCTCCTTTGCCACCACGAACGCGCTAGGACCTCTTTAGTACGCCCCTTCGGCGCGCCTTTAACGATAGCTTTTCGACCGAGAGCCATTTTATGCATCATGTGCTTGGTTTTGCTGGAAACAAAATGCTAATCTGTCGCCGTGGGAGTGGTTAGTTAGCCACTCTCACGAAATGCATACATTTACGCTATGGTTGAGTTAAAATATTCATGCTCAGTCAAAATACCAAAATATCATGCATGGTTCAGTCAAAATACCAGTTGTCGCGCCTCCAGCATGGGCTACCTACCTTCAATAACGCACCTCGTTAGCCTCGAGCGTGCACGCACAACCAAAGTAACAAGCGAACGCATTCGAAAGAGTCGTTCTCACTCAGTTGGGGACTCTAGGGGCAGTAGAACTCGCCCTGTGTGAACACAAAGTCCTCGCGGCATTGGCAGGTCTCAAATAGTTTGAGCTTCTGGGTGCACCGCAACTGGGGGTTTTCTTGTTTGGTGGTGGGAAGGGAGGCTAGTTCCATCCATCTTCGTACAGTAGGCTCGCGATAATTCAAACTTGGATATTCCATACTTCTGGTTAATACAAACAGATTTAAAAATTTTGGTTTTCCCGCTGTGTTTTTTGATGTATACATAAGCTGCTTGATTCAAACGGCATTTTCGTGTAATTCATAGTTTTGGTTCTCGCGGCCCCGTTGAGTGCACTTCTTTCCGAGCACCGGTGCACTGCAGAGAGGCAGCACCCGTGGAGCTTGCCTCCGCGGGTGTTGCTTTTCCACAGTGCACCGGCGCTTGGTAAGAAGCACACTCAACAAGGCTCAAGCAGGGCACCATGAGCTATGAAAACGGGCACCACGCAGAAATTTCCATAACAACTTGCACGGACGCTGCGACGTGGCGGCATGGCATGGGTCAACAGAACAGTGTCCGCGCTAGATGCTAGGAAAACTGCTGCGCGGTGCCCGTTTCCATCGCTCGTGTGTCCCCGCTTAATAGTTCACAAACGACAACTTCTTGGCCTGATGAACAAACTTAATTTTGTTTTGAGTTGTCATGTCCGGTCTAAACAGTCCACGATAAGCAACATTTTTGAGAGATAATCTTGTCATACATTTCAGAAATGTTTCTTGTGTGGCGTGCCTGCTTATGATCACTATGCCTATGTAGAGGAAATCATCAAATATCTGCTTTCTATAAGTAGTCATTCATATGGCAAATCATAATTTTATCTTGCATCACACCTCGTTCAAGCGCCCACTATTAACATTTCCCAAACTTGTGAATTCTACAAATCATACGCCCGATTTGACCAGACAAGCGGCCTATGTCTAGATTAACCCAGTTTTCAGTGACAGTGGGGCGCGCACTCCCCCGTTATTTTAAGGGAAGTGGATCGCACTGTAGATGAATTTCTGATAATTGAAACAAAATTCGTGGCTTCCTGGAGTTTGAAGTAATGAGAGTCTGCTGTAGATGCAAGGCAGAGTGGTGCAGCTGACGACGGGAGTTCAAACCACCGCTTTGCCGAATTTTGTCTTTTGGCTATATTTTAACCGTAGTTCCCATTTGATCCGTACGGTTTTTGCATCCGCATACCTTGACCGTCATGAATATTATGACATTTTTCAACGAAGCAGACAAAAGATAGAGTCGTCACGCTTCAGAACGACCCTATCTTCGTCACGAAGGGAATGTTAGTGCCAATGAATAAGCTACGCATAGCGTATCGGCCCTGTGTTTCCGGATTATCTTGTGGGCGCCGCCATATTGGTGCTCTCCGTTAATGGGCGCAGTTGCTGATTGTTACAATTTGAAGATGTAACTTTTTCAGCATTAGAAGCTGAGGTGATATCGCGTCGCTCTGTTGCGGACTGTTTTAACATTTCTGGAGGACCGATAAACATTTCCCGCAATTTCAGATAAAGCTCCAGATAACTGGCAACAATCATTAGGGTTTGTTACAAGTGCCTTTCTTGCGGGAACGCACGGGATATGCGCCACGAGCTGCAAGAACAACATGGCATCTTGATAGTTCAGTTCAGCGCTGCTTCTCCATTTGCCTCTAAACTGCACAAGCCTCGTGCATTGGAGTGTTTTTTGCTACTTACAAGACAAGCACAAGCATATTAAAAACCACAAAAAAAAGGAAATTTCAGCATTTTATTTGGGACACGAGTGTCAAAAAAAAAATCAATTTTACGCAAAAAAAAAAAAGCAATTTTAGGGCAGTATTGACGTTACAAGATTTATTTTAAATTCTGCGTGCAAGTCCGTGACGTCACAGAATGGTCACACACTTTTTCCACTTTAATGAGCTGGTCATACACTGTCTTCACCTCAACGTGATGGCCAAGCCGATCCACATCCACATCCATGTGCCCGAAATGCTGAGAGAGAAAACAAGTGGAAAGGGGGTGACTACCAACTAAATCACGTCCCGCGCCGACAATATTGCTCTAAAAAAATTTTTTTTTTCGTGTAAAATTAATTTTTTGAACGCGTGTTCCAACCAGACTGTTTAAAAAGACTTTTTTCTCCCTAACCTCAAACTAAAATACAAGCCTAAAATATCTGATGTGAGTCAGATCAAAATGTCTAGGTGGATTTGATTGAGGATTACAGTAAGCATATGCGATTACAATTTTTGCTTTAAAGCCATTCACAAATGCCCAGCTTTGGTCCTGTAGAGCGACTTCTTGTTGCTACAGACCTTACGGTAGCATCTGGCAATCGGTCGAGACCCAACCGGTCTGACCTAGAGCCACTGTTATGCTTAGAGTGCCGTCACTCCTACCTTGGGGGCATTGCCATTTTTGTTCTTGGTGCAGAGAGAGAGAAATTCGCCATGGTTTCCTTTTAACAGTGCAACCTCCCGAGCTTTGGACATGGTAAAAAGAAGCTTATGTGAAATAGTTTTTTTTTTTTCTGTTGTAAACTATTTCAACATTTGTGGAGAACGAAAAAGTGTTCCCTGTTATTTCCAGGTAAAGCCTGGGATACTGTAAAACCCCCAACGTTTGCGAGCCCCCAATTTTCACGAATTTTGCAACTTGGAAAGTTTGATGACTTCAGGGGGTGCGAATATTTCTGTTGTCTGGGGAGGCGAATTCCAGCCTTTAGAATTTGGGAAATTTAATGGTCGCGAATCCCTGCTGCCCACTTCTCAAAAATTACCGCATCTCCACGTGGTGAATGATGTTGATTGGGGCGAAGCTTGGGTGGTGGTGATGATACTGATTTTGGTCATAGGTAGTGCTGATGGTGCAGTTTTCATTCATGTCAGTAGAAGAATGTGTGGTTTTCTTCTTTTTCTTTCTGTAAAAAGACAGATAAGATGGCAACTCAGAACCCCCTATTTTTTTTTTTTTTGGCTCTCGGTGCTGAACTTACGAGCAGGAGCTCATGAGCTCACGAGCAGGGGCACGCCGGGCGGTGGACGGACATACGGACATGGCTAGCCCCTAAAACTCGGGGTCACGAAAATAAAGGGTTTTACAGTACCTGGCAACCACAATCTGAAGCGGGCAAGTTGGCTAGAGCATCGTCGCCTTGAAGCGTAGCTTATTTGGTGGTTCTAGCGTAATCGGAGGAAGGCACAACTGTGCCATGTGGCCGCCTGCAAAGTCGTGCCCCTAGCCTGAAGCCGGCACATTGCCATTCTTTTTGCAGGTACGAGCTGACCACGATAGCGGCACCCTTGGAATCGGAAGAAGCAATCCTGGAAACAGTGGCCTGCGAAACGGTGGTAACATCGGACGACGCTTCTACACCGATAGACGAGCCGCACATGCTCATCCTCCCCGACACGGCCCCATTCCTGTACAAGCCCGCTGCACTCTCCAAAAGCGTCGGGCAGCAGACGGCCATGACGAGCCTGGCGCTGGCGGGCATCTTCTCGGAGATCATCAGCCTGAGGACAAAGTGCTCCGACAGCAAGGACCAGCTGGGAGCACTCTCGAAGGAAAACTGCGACCTGAAGAGAAAGTGCGAGGAGCTTCAGCGGAGCCTGGAGGCGCTCGCCGAAGAGAACAACAAGCTTAAGAAGAGGCTCTGCACCGAAGCTGCTGGGCAGGAAGAGGGTCAGGCAGCGTGATTCTAAAGTCTTTCTTTTTTTTTCTTCTCCAAATAAAATGTTTTTATCTGGCACCTGTCGTTTTTAGGAATGTCTTGAGGGGACGTAAACGGATTTTTGGTTTAGGTTTGCTTGTGGGTACGGTGCCCAAAGTGCATCTCTGGCCCATGTGTCGTCCCATTCCACCCAGGATAGCCAGAGTGTCGTGCTGCAGGATGTTGCGGTTGCGACGGTTGGTGCTAGGAGTTTCGGCAAAAAGTATGGGTAGACGTGGGCGTCGCTGCCTTTGCGGTGTCCCAGCTTCTGGCTGCCGAAACTTCCGTGGACTGGCAAGCTAGAGCACAACCTGCAGCGGAATGGGAGTCTGCCACATCCAGCACTGTTGCTGCAACACCGCGACACTTCTACGACGTCGGGCAGAAATCGAGGAACCGCTTTTTAGAATTCGACAAACACACCAGCGGGAAACTCGTTCCAGGCACCATTCGCAACTTTCACGACCTATGGGCCCATCAAAATGGCTGTCGTCTGGATGGTCGTCGTAGAAGAGCAGTACGATGCGTAAGTAATCATAGCTTTGCTATATACGAGCAGTATTAGAGCCTTACTTTATTTTTTCATGTCAGGAAAGTGTAGGCAAGCACATTTACCGTGAAGCCAATCGTCCAGGAGCTAGGGAGCGCGATTCTCACACTGCGGTACCACCATTGCTGAAAGTTCCGAATATTTTTGGGTTATGCATTCTCTTTAGTGGTTTCTGTGCAGGATTACTGGATGCCCAAGTAAAGTGATCTTCTCTTGCTTCACTTTTGTACGGAGTTTCAGAAGTTGGCAAGTGCCATCTCGTCGGGATTGCTAACGCATGCAGATAGAGGAAAATGTTGTGCATGGCATTGGTCCATGTGGACTGATAAGGGGGGCAAGATTTGGCTTGTGCTTTCTCGGGTTCGTCTTTTACCACGGATTCTGTGTTTTGTGGTGTTGAGCAAAAAATTTTCAATTATCGGGGCTCGTGTTGATAAAAACAGGACACGATTGGGGGTTTCCCCAACCTCCGAGGAACATGCGCATGACTTGAATGCTTGATAAACGTTTTGGTTCTGATCAGAGGGAAATGGAATGAGGAGTACATGTTCGTCCGCTTCTTTTGCAGGGGTTGCGGCGACGTGAGAACGACGCAGAGTTCTGATTGGCTCCGATTGAAGGATAGCGGGTAGACCTCAAAGCAGGCTGCCTTGAGGTCTACCCACTTTATTAGTTATCGTCATATTTTTCATTACATGCCACAATAAACAACTTTTATAGTGACCCTTAACCCTTTGTTGCATAGTGGCCACTACAGTGGACAAAGTTTTTTGATTTTTATATAAAGTGCTAGGCTGCATAACGCCCATTGGTACGGTGTCCACTTCAGTGGACATATGTGTTTTCGATTGCCACTCGTAGATGGTGCCACCATTTCACTGGTGTTAACATAGTCAGCATCCAAGATGGCAGTTTTCACAAATTCCAGGGAAGGCACATGCATCCTCGCAAAAGCGTTGTAAACTGTTTCAAAAACTTATTTCTCCTCTCTTAAACATATTCATGCCTTTGAGGCAGTCTTGAGGTTTAATCTGTGTAAAGATGAGTGTTCAATTAGTCTTCATTGTTCAGCATGTTATGTATTTGTGGCTTGTCCACTCTGGTGGACACCATGGAGAGCAGCATTACGGGGCCATGTGCTACGCACAGATTGTTTTTTTGGTCAGCAGCACTGTAAATATACTGAAATGGTCGAATTTTCTGTTGTAATGAATCGGGCACCATAATTCTACATATTCCAAGAAAAAATCTACATTTTGTTATTTTTGTTAAGTTTTAGGGGCAAACGATCTACCAAATCGCCACTATCTGATTCAGAAATCAATGTCCTACTTAAAGACGGTCTGCCGTCAGGAAGCGATGATGATCTTTTAGAGAGCGAGGATGATGACATTGATTATGCCATAAAGGACGATCAAAGCACGTGCGAGGATAGCTCGGAAGATGCCAGCCAAAGTGATGACAGTGATGACGAGTATCCCGACATGGATAAAAGACGTCGAGTTCAGAAATAAAAGCCAGTTATGGTCATGGGACGAAAGGTATCTTGTGCCCCCAGTGCATGCTGTCCACTGTAGTGGACGTTCTGTAATTAATAAACTACATTCCTGAAAGCTAAGAATAAAATCCTGGGTCTCGACTCTCAACTCAATACCAATGGTTCCAAAAACGCAAAATTTTGATTTGCATGGATGTTTTTGAAGTATGCAACAAATGGTTAATTTCTCGAGTTGTGCCCACAAACTATCGAGTTTGGCTCCTCTAACAGTGTGGAATATCAGCTTTTCTGAATACCTCCACTTCTTTATGTGCAAGCTAGGTGAAGGGTATATCAAAACACCATTTGCCGAGTCCTTAGAAATTGTCTTGGTGTTAAGAGCATGTTAGAACTCAATTTTTTTTTCTCCCTTTTCCAAATACAAATTTTGAGTGAGTTGGGGGTGTTTAGAAAAAAAGATGTGTTTGCTCCTGCATTACACTGCAGACTTAATGCCAATTTACAATAAAGGAACAAGGTAAGTGTACCAACTAAAAATGATAAATTTAAAAATAAATATGAAGAAAAATGCAGCTAGCGAGACCTCAGCCATAGAATGGACATGGACAGCAGTTATCAAATTAAAATAGCCCACTCCTTGCATTTGTTGTTCTCCGGTCGTCTCAAGCCTTGTCTGTACATGGTTGTTCCGATACAGATGACGTGCAAGAGAATTGCCCACCTGTTGGAGTGTCCAGGTCGCCGTCACCACTGCCCCTCCTCTCCTTATTCCCTTTCACTAGTATTTGGCCATTAAACGTTTTCAATCTCGCTAACTTGACGAATCGAAGCCGCCCCCTTGCAAACGTGCCAGTCACCCTAAGCGTCTTGGAACTTTGGGGGATTTCCTGGGTCAGATTGTGAGCAGTGCCCTCGAGTTCCTTTGTCTGGCAGGCTTGAATCGACGGCGTTGTGCAGATAGGATTCCAAGTGTCTCCGAGGAATTCCTTGCACAACACTGCTCTCGGGAAGCGTTCTATGGTCGATGCCAGACAGCCTCGAAATGTAGACGAATGCTCTGTAGTCTCGGCGAGAAATTGCGATATTCATATACATCTTTAATTCTCCACAGGCTATGGAAAGAAATGAAAGTGGGCGGCACAAAGGAGTTGAAAACGTCTGGATACTCGGTCTTTAGACTGAGTATTCTTCAAATCACTGCCTTTTCCACAGGATGAGGGAGTTAGGAAAGTGGTGGGTCATGTATTGTGCACAGGTTTGTGCACGAGGGGGAGGGGGGGGGGGTATGAAGGCTGGTATATTTTGGAGTGGCAGGACAAAATCTAGGGGAGGTGCCTGCCATTCCTCTCCTCCCTTTGGCGCTGTCCCTGCTCTCGTCCGTTTGCTGTATGTGCCCTCCCCGGGGCCCCCAGTCGACGCCTTGGCCACCAAATTATTAAATAACGCCCAGATTTCCTCACGGGAGCTGCCATTTTGGTGCTGCAATGGTCATTACGACTTGACAATGCAACTTCTTGGGGCCAGATACACCGTCAAGGAGCTCAGGAGGCGTTTCCCGCGCTTTCGAATAAAGCAAAGCGAGTCGCAAAGCAAATTTGGTTGCGCAGCACGGTGTATGTGCGACGCTCGTATTTGGGACTGCGAGCCAGTTCGCTGATCGTTGAATGTCATTTGATGGAAGTCACTGAATTTCGCCGTGCGGCAAACGTACAAGGCTCCAACTATGCTCCGTTTCAAATCGGACCGTAGCCGACACTACGACTTGATGGAGCGGAAAGTGCTCGTCGTGACACTCCTCGTTCTTGTGCGCTTGATATCGCTGGCTAAACAGATTCCGCAGAGTGAATGCGGCATGACCCTGCACTTTTTTTTTGTGGGTGAATGATTTAGCTGGTAATGGCAAACCCACAAAGATAATGAATGCCGCGACGATGCACTTTTGGCGCTGCTCAATTGGCCCAAAGGAATCGTAGCGTCGCCTGCGGAGCGGGCTTAAAGTGAAATGGAAAAGCTGAAATCCAAATAGAGTTCTCACGATGGACCTTGTCAAGGCATGTCTGGAGAAATTTTATTTTCCAAAGGGGCAACTGCACCTACCATATAAATCTCTTGCTCGTTCCGTGAAATGAGAAGAAATTACTATCATTCAATCTACGTATAATCGCATGGCAAACTTTCGTGGCATAGCTAATGGATCGTTGAAAGTCGAACCTCGGGACAGGGTATGTACAGCGGAAGTACTGCGTCCGAACGAGTAGTGGACACCTACCGACAATAAGAAAAATAATTTGTATCTTCAGTCTTGCACACGGCGCGTCGGTTTACCCGCAGCGAAGCCGTGCCTTGCCACGAAACAAACCCGAGTGGGCAATTTTCACCGCTGCCAAACATTCTTAAAGTTCCGTCCCGGGCTCCGTGACTTCCCAGTTGTCCCACCGCCGACCGAAAGGGAACGCTTCGCACCCTTGTTGTAGTGTACCGAAGTCGCTCGGTACCACGGTCGACCCTGAAGCTCCTCTTGCATCGCACATACGTACGGAAGACAATCCCTCCTTGCTTTACATATTATGTTCACATTGAAATATTACTCAAAAATCGCACGCTTGGCCGCCAAGGCCAAATCATTCTGAAAGTCACAACTCAAAGTAAAAAGAGAAAGCATACAGCGAAACAAACTCACGGACAGAATCCAGAAGCCAACCTTGGTTGCAGTTTCAATCTCTCCCAGACCTCTTTTGAGAGACATTAGGCACTTCCGACATTTATGTAAAACCCCCTTCACGCAAAATTTTAGTTGAGAACAACGGCCCCGGCAAAAGACCGGGTGCACTACCCGACCCGCACCAGAGCACAGGGATAACCGCTATGCGCGCCTTCGAGAATATCTAACGTCACTTCCCTTTCTTCCCGTTTCTTTTCTACACATTTGGCAAGCAGGTCCCTCGAATCTTCTTCGACGACCGCAGCTAGTAAAGTATTTGACCGCAGATACCCCAAACCGGAAGACGAGTCTTTCGCTGTCACGCACGTCCGATTCCCCAAGTTTCCTAACCCTCGGCCAACATGATGAAGGACAGTGTCTGTTTTTCCAGGGCTTGTCAAAGGCGAGCTCCCCACAGCCTTTGGCCGTGATGAGACACGAAGTTTCCGGCCACCGCACGGCCACGAGCGATGCTCCGACGACTCGGGGCGCGTCCCCTGGGGGCAAGAGACGGCGCCTCGGCCCTACAGGGTCTTGACTTTGAGCTGCTTCATCTTCGGGGTTCTCCGCTTCAGCTCCCGGCGGTGCTCACGCTCCTGCGAAATGAGAATCCCATGTGGGTTGGTTACGCCGCTTCCAAGTGCAACTGCCTTCCTGCATGTGCAGTGCTGCAGAAGACTCAAGGGTGCCTTGGGTATGTGCGGCGGCGTGGGTGCATTCCGCTTTTTGGAAGTGGGGGCGAGCCTGTGTGTTTTACGGCGCTTCGTGTAACATTTACGTTGCTAGATGAGATGATTTTTTGTGACGCTGTAACTTGATGAAACATCCCCTGGCATGACCCATCAAAGAAGTGTAGATGTCAACTTGGAAAAAAGGGGTCACAATGCCTTCTGCTTTCCATCATTTAGCTTTTACTTTAATCTAGTCTTTGGAAGATTTTTCACTCTACGTTAGTGTTTCACACCACCCATGAAAATGGCAGTGGGTTTTCAACATTAAGCTATATTCCCAGCAACTCCTTAGCACTCTCCTTTCAGTGCTTTCGAAACCACCCTTAAATATGAAACGAAAGTAGAACTGTGACATGACACCTGATGACATCTGCCCATATAAGGTACATCAGTCCCTATAAGGGCCACGTTCATGCCACGGCTGCAATCCCAATCTTTGCCAGTCACATCAATCTGTACACGAAACTGCGCCCACTTAATGCCTTCTCTGCTGTGCACCGGTGTACGGCAACAAGTTTCCTTACTACACATGCTCTAGAATTAAAAGACAAGATTGTTGAGTGCATGTTTACGCAGCTAGAGATCAGGCTGCCTCGGGAGATGTGGCAGCTTGCCTGCTTGCTACCGCAAGGCTATTTGGCCCGTGCCGCACAAATACTGACGTGACGCTTGCACACCAACAATTGCAGACAAGCACGACGGTATGCTGTGAAACACTGCAAGTGGAAGTTCCGGCTCTCCAGGCCGTACCCTAGAATGCGTGTGAGGGAAGAGCCCCGCGAGCAGTTTGGGGTACGATGTTTTGACCAATGCCACGAGTCTCTTCAGAACAAATTAGAGCTTTGTCACTAGCATTGTACAGTCACCGACAGTTTCAGAAACGCAGGGCGTGCCAAATCTCTAGTTCATATCACTCCACAGCCAATGAGATTGTGGCATTACCTGATAGGAACGTAGAGGAATGAATCCTGAAGCATGACCACAACAAGCCCTACGTTTCTTAACCTCTCAGCGACTGTAGTCGCTGCTCATCTGCGGACTGCGGCCAAGATAGAGCAATGCCTTGCCTCCCACTTGCGCTGCTTGTCGGGGTCCTCCTCGTTCATCATGCGCTCCTTCTCGACCCGGCGGCGCTCCTCCCGTTTCAACTGGGCCGCTTCCTGCCGCTGGGCATGCGTCGTCTTCAGGAACTCCTCCTCCACCTTCAGCCGGTTCTTATCGCTCTTCAGCTTCGCCTGCAGCAGGGGGGTACGCACAGAAGGCAAGCTCCAGTTCCAAGGCACGCAGAAAGAAGACAGCTCGCACCAAACACCTCCGAATGTTTTCAAACGCCTTTATAAGGAAGGCCTCTACTACTATGAAAACACCCGCTTAACGACGTTAAAGGCAAGTCCTCGCCCGCTTCCTCCGAGTTAAACATGTTATTATGACCCTTACAACGAATTCCTGCATTACAAGTATTCCGCTTTAGCAAATAGAATATAGCAAAGACTGTTACGGAAAACATGCGCATTAGTAAAGTAGCAGCATCACGTTTGTAAGACTTGATGCTACTACTTCGTAATGATGTAAGACAGACAAGTTATTTCTGCAGTGGTACACAGGTAAATCTCTGCCATTGCCGCAGAAACAGAGAGTCATAGCTTATTTTGTTTTTCTTGAACTTCATTTCTGTTCATCGTGTACAGCTCTCTTAAAAAATAATGCAACTTTTTTTTTTCAGTCTTTTGAGTAAAACACCTAGCTACGTCTGCCCCCATCTTAAAAGGCATTAGAAATTGTGCATGCAAAAATCATTTCTGCCACTTCCCAAAACTCAACAATAAACTTAAGAAAGAAAAACAAGTGTTTTGCATAAAAGCATTATAGTACTTTCTTTGCTTCATCAAGTCTTGAAATTCGAGAATTTTCTCTGAACAGCCTCCCAAGAGCCGGGCTTGCATAGGCGCAACAATTATACGCCGCCGACAAAGACCACGACGAGCCATGCGCACCTCCTTGCTGAGCTTGAAGCGTCGCACTTTCTCCACGCAGTAGAAGACGAGCTGCATCAGGGGCTTCATGTCCTCCATCGTCTCGGGGCTCACGTGACCCATGCCTGGCACTGCACCCATGGGAAGGAGCTCCCGTCAATGCAAGACTGATCCGGTGTTCTCGAGAAACAGCAACAGATCGGGGGATCATGGGAGACCATCTACTGTTTTGAGGGTTGCCACCTGCTTAATTTTGGACCGGTACGACTGTTGTTTTTTTTGATAGCAGGCTGGTTGCTCGCCTGTATCTAAAACTGGCCGTAATTTGCCGGCTTTTTCAACTATCCAAAGCACGTAAGAAAGCTTGCTTGAGAAACGACTGCATCGTTTGAAATCTCTAAGCGGGCGAATGAAAGAGAAATGGGAGAAAGCAGAAAGCCAGCGCCTGCTGGGATACAAGAAAAAGATGCGACTACTACGTGGGACTCCCCGCCCCTCCCCCAATAGCTGTCTGTGCCTTTAAAGGGCACTGAAAATAAAATAAAAAAATGTTTTTTTTTAAACAGTCTGGTTGGCATGTAAAAAAAAAAAAAAAATTAATTTAAACGAAAAAAACAAACAAAAAAACTTTACAGCAATATTGACGGCGCAAGGCGCGATTCAGTCAGTAGTCACCTCCTTTCCACTTGTTTTCTCTCTCGGCATTTTGGGTGCGTGGAGGAGAGGTGGATCGGCTTTGTCTTCACGTTGAGGTGGAAAGAGCGAATTATCATCGCGTTGAGCAAATAACCATTCCGTGACGTCATCGACTTTGCGCGCAGAATTTCAAATAAATCTCTCGCCATCAATATTGCTCTAAAAAATTAATTTTTTCATATGAAACTTATTTTTTGACACGCATGCCTTAATTATAATGTTTAAAAAAAAACTGTCTTTTTCTTTTAAAGGGTCCTTTAGGAGGTGTTGAATGGTTTTACGACTTTTAACTATTGTCGGCATTCTAACTGTCACGCATAGTGCTATCGCCCGTCCACAATGGCGGGCATGTACGTCCACATGATATTATAAAAATGTGCTTGCTTCATTGCTTTCAAACTCTGTTTTCTTTTTATGCGGTACTTTTTTTGTGGTCTTTGCTCGAACACGAGGATATGCTGAAACATATGTCGGCTGTCTCCGGGAAATGCTGACATCTGTAGCGAAATTGAAGCCTGCGTGTGTCCCAAAACGACAGGTGCAGTGCACAATAGAAACGGCTTACTGAGTGCTCACTCATCACTACTGCACAGGATGAGTAGAGGTGCACAATTTGTTCTTGGCACTTTTTCACTAAATGGTATGTATCTATGCATGTCATTCAGTTCGGTGTTGTGTGTTTGTGTACTAACATGTGCTATTGTATTATTATGTAAGGGGTGTTGCACAATATTTCAGCCAAGGTTCACAAATATTTTAGGAAGACGAAACCAAAGGAAAGGAGCAAGTTTGTTAATCCTTTGGAGGAAGTCAGACTATTTTTTGTATTTTTCCCAATTAATTAATTAAGAGTAATTAAAGACCTCCTGAAATATTTAATTTAGAGCAAAAGTTCCGATGACAAAGTTTTGAGTGTCATCAGAAACGTCCAATTCGGTGGTTTTTATCAAGAAACCTCTAGCATGGTTCAAATTTCAGGGCATCGAAAAAAGCGCTCAAATTATAAAAAAAAAACATGAAAAAACGCGGATCTGTCAACAGCGCCCTGTCAACAGTGCTCTCTCTTCAGCATGCGGGCCTAGTTTATCAAGCCAAGGCTGAGAGTACTGCAATACAAGGAGAACATGCACAGTCACATGTTTTTTTTCGTAATTCGCGGACCTTTTTTGAAGCCCAGATTTCAAAAACATGTTAAGACTGAATTGGATGTTTCTGAGGACACTCTACAACATTGTCATTGTAACTTTTCCTCTAAATTGAATATTTCAGAAGTTCATTAATTAATCTCAATTAATTTTGTTAATTGGGCAAAATACAAAAAAAAAACTTTTTGTATTTTGCCAGTTTTTCAATTAATGTATTCGCACCTTTCTGGAAGCCACAAAAAATGGGTATCATATTTTTTGTGTATTTTTAGTATTGAGTGTGCGCCCTCGATGACAAACAACTTTGATTAGTATCTTTGGTGGTTGTTTCTAAACCACAGAAAATGACACGTGACCATGGAGAAGAGAGTAAGGGCGACTCAAACCGGCCAGTTCTCGATCAGCGGTTTTCGGGCGAAAAGAAAACAAAATTCGAGCCGCAAATTGTGTTCTGGGTAGTTGGGCTCTCATATTGCATGTACAAATAAAAACCTTGGCAAGCATAAATACCCCGTCAGTGTCCCTTTAAGTCAACAGTAGCAACGTTTGTGGTTGGGAGAGTCGGCCCTTGTTACAAGGAACATAAAACAGCATTAAAAAAGAACACATGGTCTCTCTCTCTCTCTTGGTTTCTTCTTCTGTTAAGCATTTGCATTTTAGATCAAAATAAAATGGCAGTTGTCAGTCAGTGCTGTGCCTGTGTATTTCTCCAACTTGTCTCTGTGCCTCTTTTGCACAGTCTTATTTTCTGTTTAAAGGGAAGCTACAGAGCTTCTTGGAAAAAATGAGTTAGAAGTGAATTCTAGTGTATTTTTACCCCATGAACCCGAATACCTAAACCATTTGCTGCGCAAGTATTGTTAAACGCGAGAAAAACGTGAAAGACAGTCGCTGTCCGTGACGTCATCGATGGCTCTTTTGGCTGCCCAAGGCTAGGGAGGCGGGGCTTCAGTCCTATTTTGAAATTGCTCTTGTGGCTCTCCGGCGCGTCGCATTGAAATACAATTTTGATATATGTTAACCTAAAGGCCAAATGAATGCAATTCAAGCATTTTTTCTCAAATGTAGAAGTGCCCCATCTTCCCTTTAAATAAACAAAATCAAAATTAGGTAGGACCTGTAAATAACTGCTGCAGAATTCTTGCCGTGATTGCATGACAACCAAAAGAGCTCAAAATTAAACTTCCTCTCTTCCAATTGGAGCTGGCTGCTCCAAAACTGGAGTGCCTCGTCCTACTTGTGATCTCTTCCTGAAGCACAACTCTACATCTGGAGTTCTTGCAGTTTCCAGAAGTCCTAGAAGTGCAACGGCTTACTCGCCCGACACCGCTCCGTTCACAAAGAAGCAACCTTTACAAAAATATTGTCAAGTGATGCTTAAAGCAATTCTGTTTTCATGCTCAAAGTAAATTTGGAAGGTTTCTTTAGACATCTATATTTTTCGCCCCAAACTTTCCGCCCAGCAAACACCTCAAAGAGAGGTCGCTCTAGTGACTAAGAAAAGTGGCCGTCAACGCAAGGCGGCCATCCGCCAGGGTTGTTAGACTCCCTCCACACTCACCGTTGAAGCCAAACAGAAGCACCTTCTTCACCTCAGGCAATTTGGTGGGCTGAGTGTCTCTGGAAAGCAATGGTGTGACTTAATCTTCATTGTGTGGCAACCAAACGTGAAACCACATGCAAGAGCACCTGTTAGAATACATAACTTAATTTAACATCCATACAAGTTAGACATATAATAACTACCTAGGTTGGTTCATGTGCAATGGCCTCTTTTTGCATGTCAAACAGGTTCCAGGAAAATAGGAGTATTGCACATAGAATGCACATTTCAGCTCACCAAACCCATCAGATACTTCAATAGCATATTCCCCAATTATTAACTGACTTCAGACTTAAAAGTGCATATTTCCTGAACACATTAAGAATTGATTTTCATAGAACAAAACTGATATACCTAATATTGTATAAAAGCACACTTTTTTTTTTTAATAAAAGCTTTATTTTTTTGCTTTTATTTATCATTTAGACAGAAATAAAAAGATTGGTAGGCAAAAGTTAGGCATGCTTCAAGTATTAAGCAGCAAACAGATTCCTCCTTTCCTTGGGCATCACAATTTTGAAGAAAAAGGGGGTGCTTAGAATCAAGTAAACATGGGGAAATTTTTTCAAAGCATTGCAGGCATAATTTGTGATGTTTAAAAAAAAAAAAAAACCTAGTACATCTATCTGGCTTTACCAGCTTTGTTGATTTCAATTCATCTTTAATAAAAAAGATAGCACCATCCTGATCAGACAACGTCCAGCAGAAAACTGGAACATACACAGAGACATAAAAGTGTGATGTGGGAGTAGTATAGCAAAATTTCACTCACTCCTGAATACGAGGCCCAGAGTATTGGTCGGACATGTGAATGTAGTCGATGCAGTCCTCATACTTCTTGATGATCGACAGCACCTGGGGAACATTTCATACATCATGTAGAATGCTCACTGAACAGGCAGGTGTCTCAGCAGATATTAAGTTTTCAAAAGATTTTACCGTAAAATACCGGGAGAGTGTCCAGCCCACTTTAACTGGAAACTTGATTAAACTAGACATGGGCTCTTGTCTGATCAAATCGAGCACTAATCGTATAATCTGCACAATTTCAAATTTAAAAATGTAGACAGCGGGCGCTTGAACAAAGTGGGCACTTCCGCGGTATTTTATGGTAGTTTGGAAGTTATGATGGAGCATTATTGCGGTGCTGCTATACAGTCAGTAGGGCACTGCACACCCGTGGATTATCCGATATCCGCAACCAACCGGATGTGGATAAAAATGAATAAGATTTGGTGAATCGTGGATCGTATGCGGATTCCAGGGGCTGCGGATGTAGATCGGACGCGGATATCAGCAGGTCCGGATCTACATTTTAGCCGAGGTAGACCATAAACGTGTGTGAACCTAAAGTGTGGAATGAACAAGTGATTCACACTATGAAATGCAACTACAGTAAAACCTTGTTATAAAAAAGTTGAAGGAGCAGTCGTAGTCATTTCATTATAACCATTAGTTTGTTATAGCCACTGTCCATTTCTTCCCACTATTAGCAAGCAAGGGGAATTATGATTATTTGGTTCTACCCATTAGTTTAGTTATATCCCATTTTGTTATAACGAGGTTTTACTGTAGCGCGGAGCACCACCTCAAAAAGGCTTGCATCCGCATTGCAATGAGTGCACGAGAGAAATTCCTATACACAGAGTATGAAAAGCACTACTCTTATACATCTGGTTCTCTGCTGTGATAGCACACTATTTTGTATTGGCGAAGTAAAGGAACATGGTATTTAGTTTCATAAATATCCATGCCACATTTCGTAAACATGGAACCTGTTTGGAGAACTTGGAGGACACTCAGGCCACACTGACATAAAGTTGTTTTGCCTCAGCCATGCCATAACAATCCAATCCAATCGTCATGTACGACGCTACCCGGACCAAAATTTCCCTTCAGCATGTGGTACGTAGGCTTCCCTGTCGAACAGTTGATCCGGCTCATCTTCATTTCTGAACTTGGACCATATTAGAACCACTGCTTCTGATACCGGGTTCTCTTCGCCGCATTGCTTCCAGACGGTATTTAATTCTTTCAGTAGTCTTCACTAGTAGCAAGCTGCGAGGGTCGATAAGCAGACGAAAAACTCGTCTCTGCATGACGTGTCTTGGTGCACTGATACATACAACGGAGCAAATTTACCTTGGTGGTTTCTAACAGGCCTGTGATTGGACCCGGCGGCCTGTAGCATTGGGCTTTAGTCCATCGTAGGATGAGACGGTGTATAAAAGAAAGGTGCCAATTGGGGTGAAAATTTTTCTTTACACCAAGGAAGACCTGATTCTCACTGAAGATCACTTTAGAACGTTCCATCTCGGCAAAAATGCTGTCACTAGAAAAAGTAAGAAAATAAAGGGGCGTCAATCGCTCCCGAAAAGAGTTTTCCTGGTTGGCGGGGAAAGAGCGGAGAACGTCGTTCAAGCAAAGAAAACACAAACCGAACACACAAACCGTAAAGTAAAAGAAGCCTCCTTCCCTCCCGCTGTGCTCACGTCTTACCACATATGTATGAGTGACCACTGCAATGAGTGACCGCCTTCCCTCTCCCACTTTTTTATTGTTTGACTTGAATAAAATGACAATGTCCTCTGTTAATCATAGGTTTAGAAAATATGCGTCTGCTTGAAGTACACGTTACAAAGCAAAAAGATATGATAATTTCCCTACTTTTAAGCTTATCTTCTGGGCAGAGTGTTACACACTCCCAGGACGACCTCATAATCGCAATAATTTTTTCCAGTGACACGAAGTGTTTCTGGAATGATCATCACTTCTAAAGTAAATACGATACAACAGAATATAATAAAATTACTATCAAAGTTTTTAAACTCCAAATTCTTTGCACAAAAATTTTTTTTTACGGCGGAAGGGCTAGGTTTCCCAGGGTTGTGTCCGGTATGTCGACACAAACCTACCTGGACAGCTACCGCCATCTATAAGCGACGGCGGCAAGCACACAACCAGTATAGTTTCCGCCGTCGCTTGTAGATGGCGCCAACCTTTCCAGCTATAATAGAAGAATGGACAGTTGGGCGCGCTGGTGGGAATTCATCATAGGAAACAGCGCGAAAAACAAACGACGACAAAGAAGAAGCACACAGTGTATAGAGTACAGCTCCGCTGGTCTTCCTTTTTCACGAGAGTGGAAAGGCTGAACGTTTTTTTGATTCACGCTTATTTATTTTATGTAAAATTGTGGGTCGGATATATTCCAAAATCTGCGGATGCTATTCGGATGCGGATACAAAGTATGCAGATAAAGCAATTTAAGAATGCTGAGGATGCGGTTCAGGTGCGGACAAAAAGTTTGCGGAGGCGGATCGGATGCGGAGGGTCAAACACTTACCTGCGCAAGGCTCTAAAAGTCAGTATAGTCCAGTGAGGTTACTGCGAATTACTTCTTACAAGCATGGTGCACTGGGCCTCTGAAGCATCATTAGTACACAGTAAACAAAAAGCTCTCCTAAATTGTTTTTTAGATCCGAAGGTGCAGCAGGATTGTGCCTCAGACAATGCCTCAGAGTTCCAGTAATCAGTAGTAATGGTGAGAAATGCCCTACCTAATGCATGAAAAATGAGAAACAGTCTAATGAGAAACAGTCCGCGAGATCAGTTTCTTCGAGCAGGGTAATGGTGTGTCGTCTCAACTGCTCATGAGTGGCAAGCTGAAACAGTCAAAAGTTCCGAACTGTCGGAAAGTGACCCCAAATAACTTTAAATTTCAGTCTTGCTCTCGACACTAAAGACTTGCACACCTTGGTGTCGAACTTGAATACACTCCCGCTTTGTATCGACATTCGTGAGCATAGTACAATGCTCAGAAAGATCCACATTTTACAACGTATTCCAAATTCTTGCTTCGTAGAATTATTTAAGTCCACGCATTGCCTGGTCAAGCAGTAGCTGGCACAACTTGCAGCTAAAACACACTCACAAAACGGTGCATGCACATGGCCAATCCTAACCTTGGCATCTAACATGGCGTTGGCCACCTCTCCCATCTCAGACATGACCATGAAGCCGGCCGGCAGCCCATACTTCTCGGGCTTCTTCTTCTCCGGGCAGTAGGTGCTCTGCAAGGACACACCGGTCTCGGTCATCGGAAAAAATCTTTGGCAAGGGACCTAACCACCAAAGTTTGCCGAGAGGAAAAAGTGTGATACGCTCCTAGCTTTGAGCAACAGACCTCTCAAACAGGGCACGACAAAATTAAGAGTACTCAAGAGAGAGCACTCTACCCTACTTACAATTTACTAAAAAAGAGCATAAACGGTTACCCGAGATTTAACTGCGAGTTACAATAGCATACCTACCATAATATCTGGAGGGACAGCCCACCTAAAATTGAAAGCAAATCGGGTGAAAATAAAGAGTAAGCTAACTTTCAATGTGCGATAAAAAAAAGTTGAAAAAGAAATGCTAGTTTTAGATTTTGTGACCTGCGAAACTTGCGATTGCAAAGACGACTGTCTTTCCCAGTCAGCAAGATGAGCTTATCTCTCGTCATGGCTAAGTAACACCATTTCTGCCGAGGTCACCATTGGCCAGAGCCCTGCAATTACTATAAGTGGGCTATCTTTTGGTGTTTAAAAGAAATAGCAAATCGTGCCAAACATAGGTGGGGGTTATCTCTTGGGGGTGGGGCATCTCTCGGGGTATTATAACAGTAAACAAAACTTTACTTAAATTATGCGGCGACTTTTAGATATCTGAAATTAGGTACTCCACTGTCCTGGCTTCTTCCAATATGGCTAGTGAGAAGCATGCAGTCAACCCAAGTCCTAATCTTATTTTATACTGTGGGTCACGCAATTCAGGTTGAAAAGCTCAGATATAATGGAAGCAAGAGGAGAGTCCAAAGCTTGGCCATGGGCTCTTTCCATGACTCACCAGATCGGCCAGGCCCTTCATGAGCTTGGCTCCGGTTTTCTTGCAGGCCACGCACATGACGAAGTTGTCCATCGAGGCCGGGCTCATAGTCACTTTCACCACCTGTCGTCCCAAGCAAAGCAACACAAACACTTTTTTCTTTTCGCTGGAAAGACACTCACGCTCACACCTCACCAAGGCAGCTCATTGGGAAATTTAGACACATGTCTATTTTATGATCAGTCTCACAAGTTTGCTAGAACAATGGCACAGTGATCAAGCCTAAAATTACATGTCGGATCTAGATCGGATCTAGACCAGATATAAACTGAAACTATGTTTTATCACATAAAGGCAATAAGGCAATCCATAAAGAAAACCTAGCAGCCAGTCATTGCAATGATTACGTCCAATTTTTCTTTCTGCATCGAAAAACAATGGGAACTACCGAGATTACAAAACTACCGCGAGCATGTGGGATAACCCGCAAAACGAACGCTTCCCAAGAACAAAGCACCAAACAGGATTAATAAAAGGGGAAACTCGGGAAACTAAAGTGACTGGTGCTGTCTTAAGCAATTTTTTTTTTTTTGGGGGGGGGGGGGGGGGGGGGGGGGGGATTACCTTACTAAGACATTGCATTGTCCTTGCATCTCGAGTGTAATGTGGACAAAGTTGTATTGCTCTTTCGAAAGCATCTCTTAAATGCCGATGATCCAAGATCCTCATGCCCGAATTTTAGTGCAAGCAAAAGATCCAATGATACAACCTGCCATGTTCTTGTTATCTCTCCCGTCTTTGCCCCCTTCGAGGTTAATATTAGACCCTGCACTCCCTCCAGGATGTTCTGTCCTTCCCATCCATTTAGTGTTCTTCACCGTCCTGAACGAGACAGCGACTCACGATCTGGTCTCCCACGGGACGCACGAGACGCGACAGCAGGCCTAGCAAGTCCTGCCGCTTGACCAGCCGCAGCTCGACCAGCATCCCTTCGAGGCCGGCGCGGCCACTGCACCACAGCGTGTAGGCGCTCTCCGAGTCCTTGACCAGCCCTCCCCCCGACGGGTTGCCCTCCTCGAGCTCCTTGCGGCCGTCGTCCCCTGGAGAACCCCAACAATGGGACATGGACGCGCATCAGTTATGACCTGTGCTTTTGGCTCTCTTAAAATCAGTAGCTGCCCCACCAATTGGGAATTCTTTGTGTGGCTCTCTGTAAATCATTGACTGCTGCCAATTTTTGGAATGGCCAGCAGTTCTTGTTACTTATTTTATGCGATGAAAAGCTTAGTCTACTGGGCAAAGGAAAGGCAAAACAATAAGGAAATAAACTGCCGTTCAGACGTCATCTGACAACCCGTGCGTGGATTGCGACCAAACCGGTAATACAGCCAAGAAAAAGTATCCTTGGAACAAGTGAAGAGGCGACCAATCCCCCACTTCAGTGGTGAGCAGTGGCACCAATCGAGCTGGGTGAATGGGTGCCGGGGAGACACACCGACTAGGGAGAAGTTCTCCTCCAGGAGCGAAAGGTGGCTGTTGAACCAGGTGCTGGCCAGGCGGTGGTTCTTGTTGCGTCCCGCCACAAAGTTGGTGAAGTAGACCAGCAGGCCAGCCAGCATCAGGAACTCCATGTAGAAGCTCTCCCAGTTGCTGCGCAGGTGCAGGGGAACCTGCAGCAGAGGCACAGACGGGAGACAGTCAGTGCAGCTGCTTTCCGTGGGCACTGAAACACTACTCGGTACACCGGGTGTTAAAGGGGCCATGAACTGATTTTTTTTATCTTGCCGAACTCGTGCTAAGAACAGAAGCATTGGAAGTGTTGGGAGATTGTGTGTGCGTGTGAGTGTGTGTGGGGGGGTGGAGGATTTCCCTCCCCATCCCCCAAATTAAAATTGTTTACTAGAAATGTCTGACATGGCAGGGAATACTATCAACCCTCCTGTTCCCTACTGTTCCAATGCCACTGAGTTAGAACAAACACTATCTTCATAAAGCACAAAAAGAACAATAATTTTAGTTTACACACACTGGTTCTTGCAAAAAAAAAAGTATTAAGATTCACATTCTTTTTTTCTCCTTACACTTGACTATCCATTTTCCTCTCCCCCCATTTTTCTTCAAAAAGAAAAATAAAGTTTCACAAAATAATGCAGCAACAATAGTTGTGTTTCTAACTTAAAGGGCAACTCCGCTCAATTCCGAAGATTTCGGGATAATGAGTGATTTCGAATTAAAAAGCCCTAGTAAAAGACACTTCGTCGTTTGCTTCGCGAAAAATGGGATATATATTTTCAGATCTAATTTTAAACACGAGCGGAAATCGAAACCGAAACTTCGGCTCCGTCCGGCAACATTGGCCTCGGGCCGCCAAGTACATGGCCATCACGTGGTACGAGATGTCACGTGATCCTCGGCTCAACGACGGGCGGGATGGGGGCGGGCGTGCGGCAGGCACGAGTGTCGTCTGCACCGCTCTCTTCGCCACGTTTTGGTGTCTACGGCATTCGACGACGTCTGCACAACTGCGGCATAAGTCTGCGACTCTGCGCATGTGGTGTCCATAGTGTGGACGAAACTCCGAGAGGCAATAATCACAAACGGTGAGACGACGACGGTGGTTGTGACGCGGAACAGGGCGGTAATGGCGGGACCACGGCGGGCGGTTGGTCTGCTCCCAAGAAGCGCGCTGTGCAGGCGCGTACGCCAATCACGTGGACACCGCTGAGCGCCGAGAGGCAACGTTGCTGACGTCATGCACTATGCTCGATCGGAGAAGTAAAAACAAGCAAAAGGGGGCCATGATGATGACGTTTAGCTCAATGTTGGCTCCGCCCTTGCCGTAGCCTTGACTGCGCTGTTGGTTGCGCCTGAATTCGCCTGCTCGAGTCAGCCGATTTCGGCAAATTGGCGAGTTGCAAAGTTTGCCGGACCATTTAAGAAACATTTAGACAGAACTGCGTCGTAATATTTGACGTGTGGTCTTCCTAGGCGATACTGAAGAGGACTGCATTGTTTTTTCAAAACCAAAAATGAAGCGGAGTTGCCCTTTAAGATGCTAAGCCAGGGACGAAGCACAAATCTCCGTGAAATTGGGTTTTGCCCCAAAAGGCAGCAAGTGCTATGTAAAACAGTGCAAGTGATGGGAGACAAAGTGGTGTGCCTTGCCTTGGCGATGGTTAGGTCCGGCCTGTCCCCCGAAGGCTTGGCCTTGACGGGTCTGTCCTGGTCAAGGCCCTCAAACTCCTCCTCATCCTGGAAGTGGTCAAACTCCTCTGCCTCTTCCTCCTGCACCGGGGGAGCAGACGACGCGTCAGAGCGTCTAGTGCCATGCAACAAGTATGTCAAACCGAAGATGCGATCCATGCGGATGCGTAAAACTCGGTGCAACGTTAGGAATCATAATTTCTACATATATTGAAAAAAACAGCGGCGACATTTGATATCCCGTTGGGACAGCTACACTGAGACTTCCAAATATATATGGAACTCTAAGCAACGTTAGTACACCCACATCCACCTTAGCTGAGGGTACACAAAGTTTGTGTAAGATTGCGTTGCTCACTACAGAACCAGTTAAACATTGAAATGCTAAGGCCTGTTTACACACTTGCATGTGACTATGACAGAGTGAGACAAAACCGAATTTTAAGCCTCTTACGACGGCTTATAACCGGCTGCGCAGCAATGCAGCCGGTCGTAAGTTGTCACAAGAGGCTTAAAAACAGGTCTTGTCTCAGTTGGTTGTAGTCATACGCACGTGTGTGAACGGGCATTTAAGAAAGACACATAGTTATTCCAAGCGCTTTGCAAAATATTGACGCGGAGTATGGATACCTGTCTATCCAACCGTTCAAGGCCAAGTCCAAGTCCGATTTGACAAGTCACCCCCTCAAAAGTTGGGTGTGCATTTCTGGTGGTTAGTTTGTCCCTAACAAAAGCTGAACGGCAGCTTATTCCCGAAAGAACAACAGACGAAAGGGCAATGGCATTGAAATCCCAGGCTCATGTCTCCAATTATCTCACACTCATTAAACTGAATCCACTTGCGATTTAGAATGAATGTGCACAGCCACTGGACGTAAAAAGCTGCCCCCATAGGTGGTGGTGTGCCTTTTTCTGCTTTGGAATGACATACAGCAATTATGCGAACCTTGGGAGCCACTCCATCCTAACCATGCAAAGTCACGTTTTGTTGGTTTTACAATTATCATGCAATGCCGTCCAGTCAAAACCGTATTTAAGGCTGTGGCTCAGCAAAAGTATGCGTCAAGCTGCATAACATTTGCGATCATATGCAACCTCTTGCATGCAAAGTGCAGCGATAAAGTGGGCCAGCAAGACACGTAAAATACGCACCGCAGGAACACATCATGCCGCTCGCTCACATGCTCACAATGCAAACCAACCATGGAGAAATCTCCAATTTTTTCTCACTGGTGAAATCTAGTATGTTGATGAGGTCACCTACCTCTACCGCAGCTTCATCCTCCCCTTCTTGCTCCTTCTGGGGCAGCGGGACAGCTCCCTGCGATCCCCCCGGAACCCCCTTCTGCTCTTCCTCCTCGTCAAACTCTTCAAACTCCGCAAACTCGTTGTCCTCCGGGTTGGCACTGGGGGTCCCACGGGGACACAGAAGCAGCAGCAGCAGAAACGCTAGGGGATGCCTCAGAAACCCGTTGCAGATGGCCATGCCTGCGTCGACAGAAGGCACGGCGGAAGCTATTGTCACCGACTAGATGAGAACGGCAGGGAATCTCTTTCAAGCATCCGGCCTCCAGCAAGTGCACGTTGCCTTCCTCTGTGCTTTGGCTGCGCATGCACGCTGAGGCTTGCGAGATGCCGAAGCCTTATCGAAGGTAGGAAGCACGTGCTGGAGGCGGAAAAACTGAAACTCCTCCCTGTCACTTTCATCCTGTTAGCAACTATAATTGGGAGTGATCTGAGTTTGACATCAACATATTCGTAAGGAATACTTATTCCGAGTAAGCGTTCTGGATCTGCTAGGCACGGCAAAAATTCTCGATTGGTGCTCCGGCTTTCACGACTAAAAATGAGCACGAAGCACTAAGCCAAGACTGATCAGGTTAGCAAGGAACCACTTTTATTTTGGGGCCCCTTGTAAGGCCCGAACGATTTGGTGGTACGAGCATTGGTACCGCCATCACACGTCGTAGAAAATGCATATTCAAATTCATTACTCAATTTCTCTATAACCATTCATTTTCTTTCCTCCAGTTTACCTTTGCCGTGCCGCAGCTCAGAGTGATAAAGCCTGCGAGTGTTTAAGATAACGCGCATGACTTGTCAGCTGTTAATTTGAAAGCACTGCACTGACTAAAAAAATTAAATAAAAAATCGGTTTTATGAACCGATTTTTTATTTAATTCACGATTGGCAACGCAATTCGTGCATTGCAAAGGCACATGCGAACCGGCAGAGCGGCGCAAACGAACGTTACTTTCCAGCAGCTGTTTGCAGCAAGCTCTACTCGTAGTTTAGGGGACATGGAAAGTTAACAAGCAAAATACAGAGATACACAGGTACACGGTCGAACTTGATTAGCCAACTTGAAGGCGGCCAGATTCTGCGAGGAAAAAGTTCGTGCGGTGCAAGTACGCTTGACGGGGAAGTACACGATTCAAGGACACAACACTCGGCGATTCAGATCTGAAGCTTAGCCAGGAAGCAAGGTCGAGGATTCAGTTAACCGCGCCTAATATTACATCGTGCAATCTGCGTCTCTGAGGTCAATGATTTGGGTGGACGAGAAATGCCCCGGGTGGCGAGGGAGGAATCAGCTACACAAGCAGGATGTCGATGTGTTTCACCTGAGCACGTTCACGGTGAAGAACGCGATGCAATCGCTGATTCGAGGGCTGAAGTTGAGATGCACAGAAACCACAGCGCGTACTCAAACAGTGACACGATGAACGATGATGCACGACTGATCGCCCGAGGAAGTGCCGAAGTGTTGCGTGCTGCCGTGAACCGTGAACAGCAAAAAAATAAGCGTAGCCGCTGGAGCAGTCAGCCACGATCGAAGTCAAGCGGAGCCAAAAGTAGTCATTTTCAGTTTTTAGGCGCCAAATTTGTAGACGCTTGAAACCCGAGTGTTCCGAATTCCGACAGAGTAATTTGAGTTTATTTTGCTCAGGAGCTCACTAGAAATGTGAAGGTTTCATGGCTTTTTCCGCGAACCCAAATGCTGCGAGGTCGAGATCAAAACTTAAAAAAAAAGAATGTGTGCGCGCATGTGTGTGTGTGTGTGTGTGGGGGGGGGGGGGGGGGGGGGGGGGGGGGACGGACCGAGAAACACGAATTCACATGAGACAAAAATTATTACAGCGGAGCTGTTAAAGGGATACTTCAACGAAATTTGAAATATACCCGTCGTGTCCAAAAATAGGTTGAATATGATCCACAATACCCGTAAATGACAATCGCACGTTTGCATTTTGAGCCTGGTGGCTGTATTTTTTGTTATAAACGGCTCCCTCGGGCAAGCGCTCTGAGAACAGCCAGCGGAGACCATGTGACATCCAACGCAATCGTGACGTGGTTCGTCTCGGGACGAGCAAAGCTACGGCGAGGCTGACGTCGAGAGGATGGCCTAGTCATTCCAACCACCGAAGCGGCTGCTTTTGTACGAATTTTGAGTGACGGGTTAATCTTCTATAATCTTGTCGAGGGACAATAGCGACTTCTGGGTCACACAAAAAAGGATTGTCGGGAAGAGGGGAGTTCCTCCTTCCCCTCTTCTCTCGTCGTGGCCGGAGGCGAGACAGTTACCGTCGCTACCTGTCAAGGTTCCTAGACGGGCATTACAAACGAGGCGTTAGCGACATCCACCAGGTGCTCTTTGCTAATCGTCTAATTCGTTTTAAAATTCCCTTTCGTGACTTTTTTAAGAAGATATTGGTGTGTTCGATGTGATACTGCTCCTTTGAACACATATAGACCAAAAAATAAGCACTGAAATTTTGTTGAAGTATCCCTTTAAGGGCTAGGTTCCCCAGGATTGTGTCCAGTATGTCGACACAAACCTACCTGGACAGCTATACCGCCATCTATAAGCGACGGTGGCAAGCACACAACCAGTATGGTTTCCGCCGTGCTCGTAGATGGCGGTAGCTGTCCAGGTATAATAGAAGAATGGATAGTTGGGCGCGTTGGTGGGAATTCATCGTAAAAAACAGACGACGACGAAGAAGAAGCACACAGTGTATTGAGTGCAGCTTCGCTGGTCTTCCTTCTTCACGAGAGTGGAGACGCTGAACATTTCTTCTACAGGCGATGTGACATGGCTAAATGCTACAACGGGAGCTGTACAGCCGGTTAGGATAGGTTAGGACAGGTTAGGACCGAGCACCGGCAAAGCGCACCGGGTGTCCCAAATAACGGCCAGGCTCTTTAAATCGACCGCAAAATTCGGTTTCTTAACCTATCGCGCTACGATTTTGTGCAGCGTTGCCCACAAATGGTGCATTTTTTTTTTGTGAAATTTGCAAAGAGCGAATTTACCTGAGAAAAAAGTAAAGAAAGAAAAAGACTTAACTCCTATGGAAATGCAGCGAAGCCATCGGACTTCAAGCAATACGGCACCGTTGGTCACGGGAGACAAGAGATGGCGCAAGTGGTCGTGACATCAACTGCCACCAACGAACAAGTATACGGCATTGAGAGCCGGCGTCATTAGCAGGCAATCTTTTCGACTCAAAAGCTGCGCAACCTTTTTTTGTTGCCAATGCATTATTTTAAAACGTCCCATAGTGCAACGCGCGGTTACGCGGACTGCGCCGCCGCTCAAGCCAGAAAGGGGCGCCTAAGAGCTGCGCTCTAAAAAATGTCAAACAGTTGACGTTTTGGGCACCTCCAAACCACCCTCAACTTGTACACTGTCTTCCGAGTCAAGTGCGCAGTGACGTGCAATGGGAATAGGCAAGGACCACTTGGGTTCCCTTTCAGAGTTTCCACCAGCATGCACGGCTTCTGCAGGTTGGTCTGAGCGATCTGGAGAAGGGGAGAGGGGGGGGGGGGGGCCTTTTTGTAAGAAAGTTTGACTGACGTAGTAGCACAACGAAATGAGGCTCAAGGGAGGAATAGTTTCTTTTCACCTCGGGCAGCTGGCGCACTAAAACTAAATATAGTAAAACTTTGTCGATGACATGAGGTTTTTGACGCATTTACTCATGTTGAAACAACAATATTTACCAAATATGGCATTAGATTGAGCCCATAATGGCACATCTTGCCAACCTATTACATTATACCCATTGTGCGTCACGCCTTAGTTCCTGTGGCCGCCACCGCGCGGCTGCGGATCGCAAAATATTCCCGTTCTTTTTTTTGTTATTACGCAACAAAATCGCAATATTTTTAAAAAATGAGGCGGTTTTTCAGTTCCTTTTGGTAAGATAAACAATGTAAGAATTTTAAGACTGCAAATTCTTTCAAAGTTAAAATTGTTGCATCGCCCCTTTAAGAACCTGGACGTCTGTGTCTGCGGTTATTGTCACCTCATTACCAGCAAGAAATACGTTGCTCAACTGTACGTGGACTGCTGAATGCTTCTGTTTGCACCCTGTGCGCATTGCCATAGCGGCCGAGGCAGTGTTTGGTGTCTGGTAGCGTCACGCTGCAGGGATTTGCTTTTACCTTTCTCGCAGAGTTTCTGTACTTGTGTAGTGTATGTAGCACACTTGTGTCAATGGCGTTGCGGCGGCAGCGCCGAATTTACCCAGCTAAGATGCTGCAAATCCTAATGCAGCAAGTACGGGCACATCCCTTCCTTAGCAGGCAAACCTTCGGCTCAAAAATACGCTTGTTTTATTGCCTGTCAACTCGCCTCGCTCAGCACAACGATAGGCTTCAATGGGAGACGCATCGGGGTTCAATCCTCACCCCTGCCCGTTTCGATCTGGATGAGCATCGTACCAGCGTGCGGTCGTGTATCACAACTGCGTGATGCACGTTAAAGAACCCAGGCTAGCGGTTGTGCTGCACTGGCTCAATTGCTCATCTACAGTTGGGAGACTCGTCGCCCGTTGAGGCAGACCAAGTTCTAGGCTGTATGAACATACACACAACCCAATTTTGGGAGGCATATCGCTTTTGGGCTCTTCACCCATCCACTCGTGAAATAGTTATGGACATCCAGGGCCTTGAAGGCCTTCATCTGTTGCAGCAACAGTTAGTTCGTCGACATAGCCAGGTAGGATGCACACGTCCGTCGTGGCTGTATGAATTGACGCCGTCGCACATCTTCACTTTATACTCATACCGAGCACGTGTGGGGCCCACAAGCTCTTCGAAATAGGAAGGGCAGAACTCATGGTGAATGGCTTTCGCCATCGTGCTGTACGGGCGATACGGATTCCGTAGTGAAGTCGCAATCGAGCAACGCACATGCGGCTGCGGCGGCGGCAGCGTCCGCATCTGCTTCTCGGTACCTGGCAATGGCGGCTGGCGGGCGGGAGTAGAGGAAGTGACATCACGTGAGAACTATGTATTTCGAAGATGATTTTCTGCAGCCCACGTGCACCAAATTGAAAAATATACTCATATTCGTGATCCTGGAGGCCAAATGAAGACAATTTAAATTGTTTTCCCCTTAAATACAGAAACGCTTTGGTTTGTCCTTCGCTTCTGCAAAAGGTTGGCGAGGAGGGTGGACCACCCTCCCCTGAGTGACTACTGCGGAATTCAGGCTCAACTTTCGACCCGTCTCCCGGATCACGAAATAAGTAACCGTTGAAGTCACAGGCGGTGTCACTTCCGGGCCCCGCACAACCACACGACTGCCCCCCCCCGCCTCCCCCCCCCCCCCCCCCCCCCCCAAAAAAAAAAAAAAAAAAATTGTAAGGTGAATCTTTTTTTAATGAAAAAATTGATATACACTATGGCCTGTTGCAACTCAAGAAGGAAGAGTGAGGGAAAGGAAGGCCAAGGAGGGGAAAGCAGAAGGAACGCTGGAGAAGAGGGGGAAACTGTCTGCTCCCTCCTCCCTGGCCTTCCTTTCCCTCGTCGTACCTTCTTGAGTTGCAACGGACTATAGTTAAAAGTAGTATCTGGTGACATATCAAATATTGGGTCAACAAAATAGATCTCTGGGAAACGTTTCGACCGTAACATCATTGTGAAATGCATTTAAAGATGCTATATTTTGCACCATTTTATATGAAGTAGATTGTTGGTAAATAATTTGTAAATCTGTTTCTAAAATGTGTTTCCAGCTTTTTTTTTGCATAGAAATCTTTTATAGTACTTTTTCAGATTTGCTATCAAATATCAAATTTCTTTGTATTGCTAGTAATTTGTATTAAATTACTAGTAATACTAGTAATTTAATAAACTATGTGCATGCTTCGGTGCGGAGTTGACAGCTAAACAAAGTAACGTAGTCGAAACCTTGGCAAACTCCACACCTTGAAATTTTATATCTCAAAAGAAAATGTGCTACAACATTCACTTAGAGCTGAATTCTCCTCCCAAGAACACGGCTTTTGCATATATGTTTCACATAAATATACAGAATATGACCCGGACCTGTACGATCTAACATGGAAACACCCAATAGTAATAAGAATACCTAACTTTTAATTATTTCTGGAATGTGCGCATTTGTGAGCAGCCGGTTTAGAAACAGAAGAGCTCCAAGAATTATGTAGCAATAAATGGTATGTATCAGGAGCGTCGCAACGTTGCTCTCAGCAACATCACGGAGCTGCAATAACAACATCCCTTGCAGCGTAAATTTTTTTTTTTTTTAATGCATTCGTTTTTATTGTTTTCGTGCTTGCAGCTGTCTTTCGTTTGGACGGTCGTGGTTTGGACTGGAGTAGATTGGTTTCGTGAGGCCGCCACGCGGTTCCTGCTGTGCTCTTTCACTCCTTTCGTTCGCCCGTTGCGTCCACTTTACAAGAGAGAAAGAATCTTCTGGCATGCTTCCAATGACGCGCTGTGGAAGCGGGGAGAGCAGGTAATAGAGCACCCACGGCAGTGGCACAACGTACGCGGTAACGTAAACCCGAGGCTCAGTGCTGCCACCGTTTGCGCGAAACCGCTGACACACGGGAGGACAGATTGGCTGAAGACAACAGTATGCGGATTGTAGGCGGCGACTGAGGAAAGCTGTGGTGGCTACATCCAAAACCACCGACGCCCGAGAGAACAAACTGGCTCTCCGAAGACAACAGTGCGGACCGTTGCGATGTTACAATTCCCAGTGTTGGATAAGGTACATCTGAAAGGCACTTCAAGTAAAGTACAGAGTAAATGAGACGTTATGTACCTCAAGTGAAGTGGTAAGCGCACTGGGTGCAATGTACTTGAGGTAAAGTACTATAAATGCAATGTGCTTTCAAAGTAAAGTACAAGTATTTTAACTTTCATGATGCCCTTTCATTCCCCAAGACAATGATTCTTCAACTGGTACGCATTGCCCAGGGGTAATCACAGCTGCATCACCCATTTTCGAAAACAGCGGCGAATATTTGATAAAGTCAAGTTGCCACAGAGTAGTTATTTTTATAAATGAAGCCAAATTCAGAAGTCCCTCTTCTGAATTTAACGCCGCTTGCACTGGATTGTTGCACCCAAGGGGGTTAAATGTACTAGGAGAGAGCACGACGCCAGCCCCGCAGCTTCCGCAAGCAATCCTCTCATACAGGGATGCCTCTCCTTAATGAAAAAAAAAAAAAAAAAAAGTTTGCAAGGGAGCTGGTGATATTTAAGCATAATGTGACACCTGAGATTGGGGTGCGAAAAAATAAGGAACTTTCAAGTCAAAAGAAGAGACAAAAGAGAATGTTTCAAAACATTGCGATGTTCTCCTCTGTTGTCTTTTTCTTCGACTTGAAAGTTTAATTTTTGCGCACCACAGCCTCAGGTGATTATGATTAATTTTGCTCTCCTAATATTTTAAACCTCCTCCTTTGCGCTGACCGACCGAGAAGTCGTGAGAGTTCAAAAAGCTACGGGGAAACCGCCCCAGAACAAACGGAGCGATGCGTCGCTTGCTAAGTTTTCTGGTGAGAGTAGAATATCCCTCCCAGTATTTCTTCAAAGTTGACAAAGCATCATTTCGTGATGCAAATTTAACAAAACCAAATTTAGGGAATGTACTTTGAAGTCGGGAATTATACTTTCCTTGGAAAGTACAGGAAAAATACTTTAAGTACAAGTACATGCTCAGTGAATGTACTTCAAGTACAAGTTTCCTAAACCTACTTGAAGTAGTACAAGTACAAGAAACTTAATTAAAGTACTTCCCAACACTGGGAGTTCCCATCCTTTGTCGAGCTGGACCCCTGCACTAAATGCCAGGCATGTATCCAGGGGAAGGGCCCTTCCCCCAAAATCTTTCATTTTGCTGGGGACTCCTCTTCCCCCTTCCTTTCATACAGCATTTTGTCATGGGCGGGCAGATGCTTCGTCACGGAAGCCATAAAGATGGCGGGGGTGCCGCGCCTGCGCAGTGGGGGAGCGTGATGTCACCGCTGGAGGGCCGTGTGCACCGAATACAATACCAACAGCAACAACTTGAATACGTGTAGAAACATTACTCGAAAACATTTCACCCGCAAAACAATGCCTTTTTCATTCCTACACATAAGCAATCTTAAGAGTCTTTGGCATGTTTTCTTTTTTTTTTTTTAATGTTTAGCCATAAAAAGTTTACACATGCTAGTTGGGTGGTTGGTTGCGTGGAATGTGGCAATGTGGCCGTAGCGATGCCAGCATTGATTGCTTCCATCTGGTAAGGTTTATGTGAGCGAAGCGAAGTCGAGACGGGCGAGGCTGTGGCAACAAGGCTGGCAAGGCCCCGAGGAGCAGACTACGGACCGCGATCAGCTCGTCGCAGTCTGCCATGCGTCCGGAAGGTTTTACCAAACAAAGCTCGAAGAGCGGACGCAGTGCGCTATGTGTCAACTGTGCACGCCGGTATAAGGCACCCGCTCCATTTGGTAGGTTTAACGAGAGCAGCGTGAAGGCAAGACCGGCGAGACGTGCGAGACTTTGATGAGCGGACGATGGACCATGACAAGAGGATGAGCCAAGCAGAGCCACTGAGCGCCGAGCCAGCCGAGCAGTTTGAAAGAACGAAAGCGTGTGGCGTTGCTGGGACCAAGACGGGGCTTTGCAGTGTGAACGGCTGCAGAAACCCTTCGTGGCAAGTCTTGTTCACCAGTACGCCGCTGTTGGATTACGTCCTGAAATTCGCAGTAACATGGACTTATAAGTGGCTCTTTTAGATTTCCGAGAGCCACCGAGATGCTCAAACAATGAATTTTGGCCCTTTGTTGCAACCGTGAGTGGACTTTATCGAAGCAGAGTTTTGTTCGCTTCAAATTTGATGACTTTGACAGTCGTGCCAGGTGTGCCCCTGTAAGTCAGATTAAGTTGATCCAACGTTGGTCATGATACAAATTAATAAAACATCCTAGTCAAACTAAACTGCATGGTTCAATGTTGGTTGCGATGCATACCAAGAACAGCTTCAACCATATTGTGAACTCGTGTGAATGCTTCCAAAACTATTTCACACGGACGTGCACAAAATAATTGCTGCCAAATTCATAAGTACCGTAATATCCCGAGTCATCGCCCACCCCCTTACCGCCTGAAATTCGTTAAAAAAGTGGGGTGGGCCATGTCTCGGTGGGTGAGCACAAACACTTCAAAAAAAAGCAGAAAAAACCGCCTATTTTTCTCTGCGTATCTAGCGCTGATGCACAAGAGATACATCAAACTCAAAACTAGATTTAGTTTCATTGTTTTATAGAAAAAAATGCTCACGAAAGAATATTTTATTATAGCGCAGTCCGTTGCTTGCATACGCGCTAGAAACACCGCCGATCTGCATATAGCGCGAACGTTTGTTCCGTTAAAGAATGTCACCACTATGTTCTCCTAGTTAGTAAAAAAAAAAATAAAGAAAAGTCTACAAGAAAATAGAAAAACCGACCAGGCGCAACGAGCGAGCGAGCGAGCGAGCGGACCAGAGAAGCGACCGCGAGAGCAATGAGGGGAAAGCGGGAAAGCCGGCGGTCGCGTTGGCAAATACTTTGGCGTCGGGCCAAGTCTGGCGCCTTGTCAATTGCAAGCTCTTGTGCAACTTTCTTGTTTGTGCGTACATACGTGCGTCCGTGCACGGCGGGCTATCAATGCAGGGTTGGGATGCTCTGCAAACGTCTGTGTAGGACGTTCCAGCAAAGCTTTATTTACGCTTTGGCTTTGCCTAAAATATTGCACAACCGCGGTCGCGACGGGCGGGAAGAAGGAGCGGGTTCGCAGTGACCTTATTCGGCGGAGACAGACTTTGACCTAACACTCCGCGGTTACATTAACAAACTCTTATTTTGTTATCTCCATCGTTTTCTTTTCGCACGGATACACGACCACTTTGGGGTCGCTCACGGAGGAAATGCGTAAACAAAAAAGAAGTGTCTTTCCCTCCTTCGTTTTACTTTGTCACGGACGTCCTCCAACTGTAAGGTCCGCGGCCGCGTCATTCGGGTAGGATGAGTGTTCGCGGATCGCAGAGTCCGCGCTAGGGTATTTGAAGGGGTGGGCGATGACTCGGTGTTTTTTCGGAAATCGATATTGGCCCAAAAAATGAGGTGGGCGATGGCTCGGGGATGGGCGATGACTCGGGACATTACGGTATATAAATTTCTTTCGATGCAAAACACATTTCTCAAGCTGAATTAAAGGGAAGATGGGGCACTTCTACATTTGAGAAAAAACACTTGAATTGCGTTCATTTGGCCTTTAGATTAACAGATATCAAAATTGTATTTCAATGCGACGCGCCGGAGAGCCATACGAGCAATTTCAAAATAGGACTGAAGCCCCGCCTACCTAGCCTTGGGCAGCCAAAAGAGCCGTCGATGACGTCACGGACAGGGACTGTCTTTCGCGTTTTTTTCGCGTTTAAGAATACTTACGCAGCAAATGGTTTGGGTATTCGGGCTCACGGGGTAAAAATAAACTAGAATTCACTTCTAACTCATTTTTTCCAAGAAGCTCCGTAGCTTCCCTTTAAGTTACGCACAATGTTAAAATGCTGGTTTCCACTTGCACAATAATAACAGAGATTAAAAAAATAAAAAATACCATTGCAATTTATTGTTAAACAATTCAGTAAAAGCCAGCGTGCAGTCAGCTGCCCGATCTCGCCTCAAGATAAGTGCCACCTGCTTTACTGCTGCTGCTGCTTGATGACAGTTCGTCGTCAAGTTGCTCCTCCAGAAGCAGCGGCTCAAGTAGCTGCGACGACAAGGATTGCTTGTATGTCCTGCATGAATTCGACTGCCCTTCCGGACCTCCGCAGAAGAGGTTGAAGATCGAGACATACTTGGACACCGTTCATGAGTATACCGATGAAGAGGCAAGTGGGCTACGCTGATGCACATCGCTTATCGACACACATTTTTCACATCATGATTAACTTCACTCGTATGTTGAACACATGTTATTAGTGCCAAAATCTGGGACTAACTTCGAGATCCAGGACCGTGAGAAGGGTATTCTTGGAAAGGTAAATGACGGGAAGGTATCTGCCGATCCCGAAGGAGTGGTCATGTTCCACGAGGGTTCCGGAGGCGGAGCGACTCCATTCAGATTGCGCGCTCCATCTCGGATCTGGTTTACTGATCCCAGCGCGCTCCAAAACCAACACCATTAAATTAGCAGTACGAGACCTGGTGGCCAATGACTTGGAAGACTATTGAACTTCCAAGTCACGGCTAGGTGGTGAAAGTCCGTTGGACTCGCCATCCTCGGATGCCCAATGGACTTCCAAGGATCGGCCAATCATTGGCCATTGGTCACTGTCTGCTTGACAGCAGTAAACAGAATGCACCAGACAAACGGAAGTGAATATAATTTACTATTAAACCGTACAAAGGAGTTTCTAAAAACAACTCCGTGTGTACTGCCAACAAGACCGGTTTTCTCCTGCCTTGCTGACAGATGTTACTTTATGAACTGTCCGTTTGCGGAGACACGTCAAGCTGAGTCGCCTCTTCGTCGAGGAGCATCTCGAGCTCTCTGCAGAGGTCGCTGGCTGCGTCGCCCGCCAGCTGGCAGTAGTGGAGGCTGGCCGTCCGGTTGCCCACCGAGTGGAGGTAGCGGGCGTAGTCGAGCCAGACACTCGTGGCGAGAGCCTGCTGGGGCCCCAGGTCACCAGAGGGCAGCAGCCCCCACTCGATGCATGCATCCAATAGCAGCGCGGCCCGCTCCACCATCCGGGAGGTGTGCAGCACTTCGATGCAGCGAGTAAACTGGCCGATGCTCAGCAGAGTCAGCAGGGCTTTGCCCTGAAAGGACCACGCTCGTTAAGACGTTGCTCGTAGAGTTGCTAAAGGCGACGTGCGCAACCTAAAGCATCGCTGTAGTCGGCCTTCCACGATTAGCCAAATGCTCACTATGACGTCCTAAATACAATGAATTCTACTTTCATTATTGGAAATAAGAAGAATGTCAGACTGTCGACTCTGACGGTGTTGGCTTAAGGACTTGATGACTGCAAGTTTCCATCATGCTTTTTACTCACACAATTGAAATTGTTGCTGGCAGTCGATAGTCCTGGTCGTGACATTACGGATGGGAGCCATAAGAGGGAGCTACCAAAACTTATCATCGCCAATACCATCAACTTTGAGAAAATTTAAAAGCCGACAGCGGGAGTAGCATCTCACAGGAGCAGCAGCCGTTCTTTGGTTCCCTTTCGGACTTTGATAGGATTCTTGAGTACCAAAGCTCCTTTTGGGCAGTGTACTGCCATATTGAGGCCACTTGTCAGCGGAGCTTGTTTTTGTCCACTCCGTTCTGAGTGAGCCAATTCAAAATTGCAGTTAGAGATTGTTTTATAAAAACGATTTCTTGTACACTGACATTTCGTTAGGCCTGAAATTGATCACTGCATCCAGGAGCGGATCATTCTTCACTGATCTCAAACAAAAGAACTTACAAATAAACTGCATTTCTTTAGTTTTGGAACAAAGTCTTGCTTTCACAAACTAAAAAGAGCCAGGCAAGTAGGCGCACAGGTCTGCACTGCCTCCACTAGATGCAGCCACTCAAGGCACTAAATTTTGCCGGGGGAGAGGGGGGGGGGGGGGGCATTATTTCGGCCATTTTTAAGGCAAGAAAAAGGAATTAAAGATGACTCTTTTGAGATTAGCGAGCAAAGTTAAGCAACGTTGAGTAGGTAGTGAAGTTAAGCAAAGCTGAGTAGGTAATAGCATGACAGATCCAGAGACACCGATCTTCATGAGAAATGCTTTCGGTGCGATGACATATTAGGGCGACCAAGGGTTGGCTAATTCAGAGTAGGTCAGAATTTTCAGGACAAAACACGTTAACTGCGCAGCCAACCACAAGAAAGTGGAAACAAAAAACTTTCAGCCTTTCCACTGTGGTGAAGAAGGAAGAGCAGCAGAGCTGTAGATTCGACGGTGGCTTTCCAGGCGAGCGATCTGCTCTTCTTTCGCAAGGGAATCTGCAGCGCTCGACGCAGTGGAACTCTAGGCGATAGCGGCCTCGCGGCGGTTGCTGAACTTTCTGCGCTGCTGCGCACATTGCCGATCGTTGCATTCTCGCTCTTCTTCCTCTGAAGAAATGTTGCCGCCGTCTATGAGCGACGGCAGCAAGCAGACAACCGGCAAACACAACACTCTGGATGGCTACCGCCATCTATGAGCGACGACGGCAACCAGAGTGTTGTGTCGACCACGGGTGTCGACATTTGTTTAGTACCCGTCACGATCCTGGGAAAACTAGCCCTTAACAGCTCCGCTGTAAAAGACAAGCGGAAAAGAGAAAAGGAATGCGGTACTCTGGAAATAGGGTGACCAGATGTTCCATTTTGGCCGCGACAGCCCCGTTTTAGAGGTTCGTTTCTGCTGTCTTGTATTTTTGGTCTAACAAAGCCTCATGTCGGGTTTCCGTGGGAACACGCATAGAGGTTGCAAAATCAGTACTAAGTGAATGGAAGAAAACCGAGAGGATGTTTACTTGTCACGGACATAATGTTATAAAAAGAAACACTACAAAACATACTGCAAATGCATCTGCTAATACATTTTGTTCACATAAATGTGAGTGCGGGAGACTCTTCTATTTTACTGAATTCAACGTCTTTTGGTCGGCAACATTTCTTCCCCGTTGCTAAAAGATGGGGAAGAAAAGCACTGGTGTTTTCAATCAAGAACTTTTGAAAAATGTGCATGTTTATGCTTATGTAATGCAGAGCTTTTATTTCCTGACTCTCCCCCCCCCCCCCCCCCCCCCCCTTCCTTCTAACTCTCCTCTTTTACTACAGACACTAGTAAGTCGCTTCTGACTGGCCGTAAAAGGGGCATACTTTGCGCAAATACAGTCCAATCTCGTTAATTCAAACTCTTTTAATTCAAACTTGCGGATAATTCAAACTAACATGCAGGTCCCATCCTATGCATGTCTACGTAAGAAAACTCCCGGTAAGTCAAACTCTGCTTTATTCAAACAAATTTTCGGTTCCCCTTGAGTTTGAATTAACGAGATCCGACTGTATCGCTTAGAATGAATCGCGGATGTTTATAACCTATAAAACATGCATTAATTTTTCTTTTCACGCAATTGTAAAGACAAAAAAATTTTTTTTTTTTTTTTTTTCAGCCTTTTTGCTTTGGTGAAGAAGGAAGAGCAGCAGAGCTGTACTATGCGCTGCCATCTATAAACGACGACGGCAACCAGACAACCGGCAAGCCGGTTGCCTGGTTGCCTCTGTCACTCATAGATGGCGCTACCTGTCCAGAGGGTTGTGTCGAGATTTATTTGTCCACGGACAAAAAAAATGGGGAAACTAGCTTTTAACAACTCTGCTGTAAAAAAAAAAAAAAAAAAAAAAAAAAAAAAGTTAATTTTTTAGCTTGCAGCCAGAACAAGCGGTCATGTGACTTGGAGCCGATTATATGCCTGTGCAAAGCGCAGGACACGCGCTGAGTTCCAGACATTGTCAGGGTTCATCAGCTATTGTCGTCATTGCAGCAGTTGGACACGAGCAACTACCCGAAGGCTTGTCAAGCCATTGATCAGTGTCACGAGCCCAAATTGAGTGCTCACGCAATGTTCGAGTCTAATCTACAAGCCATATTCAAATATCATAGCTCGGGAAATTATGCCAACACTGCAACCTCTAAGCTACGCCATCAAGCTTTGCGTTGAAGAAATTGAAGGTAAATGCTTGCTTTTTTGACGTTGAAATTACAACGCAACAAAGAGGTTACTAGGTAGGTGGCATTGAGTATGAGTATACTTGGGTACCACTAGTGCAGGTAAGCTTGTGCAAGGTTTTCAAGTGAATGTAGCTGTATCACCCCTTGAGAGATTCCTCACCTTCTGGTGCTGCTGCAAAAGGTAGTCGGCCCACCTGCGTACCACTTCACCGCACTCTGTTTCTCCGAGGGTGCACTGCGAGGGGCAACAGTGTGGTCAGCTTGGATGCTCGAAGGACGGTGCCCACCACATGTCAGCAAGTGGTGCATGCAAACGGTGTTTTAACCCAACTAGAACTGTGGCGTTCGTAGCTTCCGCAGCCGCAACGAGAGGTGAAATTGCCCCTACTTTTTACTTCACAAGGCGCGGCATAGTTTTCAGTGAACACGCAGCTAAGAGGTCGATGGGTATGTAGCTTTAAGTCTATCAATTCATAAATATATATGGGCAGTGGCATACTGCAAACGACTTATTTTCGCAGGTTTGATACTTAATGAGTTTGGTCTTTAAAAATATTTCACTAGCGCGAAATTTCGCGAATTGGGGTGGTATATGCCATGAATTTGTTACTATAGCAAAACAAACTCGTGGGATCTGTTTTTTGCAATAATAATACTCCAGTCGCAAAATTCGCGAAAATTATGTCTACAGATTTTAGAAATAGGCATAGCCGACCAGTCACGATTGGAATAATAAACGATCAATCGAGACCAGCAGAGATCCACTCCCCAGCCAGCCAGTCGTAATCGGCAGACCCATTACGATTGACAAAGACCAACATTGTTCATATAGTTGTGACTGGCAGAACAATCCAGAGTCAGCTTGGCCAGTCAGCCGTGATCGGCAGACCGACTGCAATCGGCAGAGGCCAACCTTGGCCATCTAGCTGTGATCAGAAAAATAATTTTCACTGGCAGACTAATCAGCTAATCGCGACCGACAGAGACCCGTCTTGGCCAGCCAGTCGTGATCGGCAGACCCACTGCGATTGGCAGAGGCCAACTTCGGACATCTAGCTGTGATTGGCAAAACCATTTCAATCGGTAGACTAGCCGACTTATTACATTAGGCAAAGACCCACCTTGGCCAGCCAGACTGAGTCGCCCCACTGTCCCGCAGCCTGGAGGTAGCGGCAGGCATCGAGGCCCTTGCCAATGAGGCACAGCAGCTGCACGCCGTCCCACGTGCGGCCGCTGGCAATGAGGTTTGTCGCCACCAGCTTCACCACCGACTGGGCCTTGGTCTCCGTCTTGAGCGATGCAATCAGGCATGCCCTGCAGGGGAAAGACGCACCACTCTTGCGTCTCGTCCCTTTTCCGGGGGTTCGATCCAACATCCCCTAGAACACAAGGTCGTGGTGCTTGATTTTGCACGTCACCTGTCGGAGGCTGAAGCGAGGCATGGATTGAGCACGAGTGCTTAGTCAGCATTCGGTCCCAGCTGAATGCTGGAGCAGCGCTGGTGTCCAACCTGTGCCCCGGGCTGCCCTTTGGTAGGTGGCATAACAAATTCAGCACAACTGCCCGTTTATCTAAAGGGTGTCCCCCAAGAGAACCTTCTGCTGTAAAACAAACCGGAAAAATCGGCGCCGACACATAGAAAGTTCTGAGCAGGTCATTTTTACCATGTGAAAATTCAAGGAACAGTTCTCTTCCTGGAAAGCAAAAAATGTGTTGCAAACTGCTGGACAATCGCGTTACCCGTGAAACGTTTCGGTATCACTACGGAACGTTATTGAGCTCAGCGCTTACGCTAGTGGTGCTTTTCATCAGATAACTCAATACATGGCATATAAACTTGATAGCAGTTCCTGGAATGAAGATACTGGCGCTAGTCGGGTTTTAAAGCCCTGGCGGTTTTCCAGAACCTCCCATACTCACTGGAGTCAGCCAATCAGCGTTGATCGTGTGACCTTTTCACCAGCCAATCAGCATAGAGCTCCGCGGTCGATTTTTTGGGCTTCACTAAATCCGGTGAGCCTCCTGACAAGCCAAAGAACGTTTCACGTCGAAAGCTTGACAAAGTCAAAGTTGGACATGTTCGCAGACGACAAAGTTAGCGACGCTATTTACTTGCGGTGCCATCTTTTGATAGATACAGCAAGCAGACGACGCATTCTATTGTCTGCTCGCTGTGCCTATTGGCACAGCGTTATTTACTACAAGTAAATAACGTCACTAACTCCGCCGTTTGCGAATGCACCCAACCTTGACTTCGGTAAGTTTTTTTTGCTCTAATTTTTTACAGGAAGAGAACTGCGCTTTAAAATTTTACTTAGTGAAACTTACCCAATCAGTGCACATGCAGTGAAAGTTTGAGCTTTCTATGCGCCAGCAGCAATTTTTCCGGCTGGATTTACAGCGGAAGGTCCACCCTACAAAGGATGTAGGTTTGACGAGGTGTGCATTCTTGCCCTCATGCAAGCTACTCCTTGAACTGGTTACAACGCTTCATACTCATGTCATAAGCAGCCGTAAGTTCCCGTAACATAACACAACGTCAGCAGACGGTACTGTGTGAACGGGCCTTCAGCGTGACGTCATGCAGGAGAATAATCAGGCCTTGTCAGTATCTAGGTGGTGCCTCTCGTGTCCCCAAGTCGCTCTTCACCTCTGAAAAGCTTCCCCTTGTTCCCGAAGTGAGGAGATCTTCACCGGAGCGAGTCGCTGTGGAAGTGCTCGCTGCACGTGTCCGTCTCCAGGAGCAGCTGCACGGCCCGGTCGGACTGGCCCAGCAGGAGCAGACGACATGCACAGCGCTGCGTGTGGCTGTGCGTCGTCCGCCGGCTCTCGTGCAGCAGCAGTCGCTCCAACTGCAACGCCTGTGTGGGAACAGATGGAGCTCGGTTCCGCGGCTTCAAGATGCCCCCTGATCGCTAAAGCCACGAAATGTGCCCAGAGTGTGGTATCTTGTAGCGTCCGTCGAGGACAGCAACAGTGCTCAGTAGTGTTATGCGAATATTCGAATAGTAGCTTTGAATAATCCGCTATTTGATGTTCGCTTCGAGATGAACTGGAATATTCATACTTCGCTAAGTATTAATCGCGACGGGTTAGGCCCGTTGAGTGTGCTTCTCACAGAGCACCTGTGCACTGCGGGGAAGCAATACTTGCGGAGGTCGCGGGCTGCGCGGGTATTGCTTCCCCACAGTGCACAGGGGCTTGGTGAGAAGCACACTGAATGGGGCTAACCCGCCGCGATTATGTGAGTATATGGGCTAAACTATATGGAGCGAACTATGCGATGAATAACTGACAAATGCCGCCCGACAACATGCCCACTTTGCGTGCAACGTAGCACCCATTGTGCTGATGCCATGCGCAGAGCAAAGGCCGCCGGGTGAAATTTGTCAATTTTTCGCAGCATATTCATCCCATGGAGTCCAGACTTTAGGCAGCAATCTTTTGACAGCCTGCATTGATCAATCATGCTTGTCTTTTTTTTTTGTCAAGTTTGAAATAGAAGAATATATGCACATAGCAAGCAGATTTATAAATCCCATCGATAAGGATAGCTGCAACAAATAGGTAGTTTACATGGCACAGTTCATATACAGTAATCCCTCGTTATAACAAAGTCAACGGGATAGCAAAAAAACTCGATATAAGCGGTAATTCAATAAAAATGATAGAGCAAAAAAAACAGTGCCAGCAGCCTTGAAGGTAGATTGGGACACTGCAGAACGCTCAGACAGTATATTTAATCAAAAAAACTTTGGTTATGAACATCCTGCGGCAGCTTTACTGAGTAAAAAAATAATTAAGTGGAGTTAGCTGATAATTTCATCCGGGCATCAGTTCTCCTCAAACTGCTCCAGGCATCGCAAGAACACTTACCGCCGCTCCACTCCACTTTGTTTCGAAGTAGCCGTAGGATGTTTCGCTTCTCAACTGTCGTCCGTGTTTCCTGAGGTGCCTCTCCGACGTTGCTTCGTGTTTACCATGGCCGCACGCAAGGTCTACGATCGCAGCATCCGTGGCAGGAGCAACAACGGGAACGTCCACATCAACAAGTGCGAACGAGTCAAAGTTATCCTCGGTAACTTTGCCAACATGTTTTCACACACTCCTGTGGAGATCGTTGCAGCTATGGGAATCGTGTGCCGGCTCAGCAAGCATGCACACAAAAGAAAACTTGACGTGTGCGAAGCAGTTGGTGATTTTTCATCTTCGGGTCACGGGCGCGCTTTCTCCTGCATGAGAAACTTCTCGAACCCGTCCAATATGCCTCGCTTGTTCTGCAAAATAATGGACAATGTCGAACCGCCGATGCCGGAATGTCGAATTCTTCGGCGATTTTGGACTTGGGCCGGACACTTTTCTCAACCACAAGCGACTTTTGGTAAACACTCCCAATCTCACATGATGCACGTGTGCGTGTAGTATGCCGCAGGTGTGTGCGTCGGGGGCTCCTGAAGGGATGATCTCTTCCAGGCTCCATCACTCCCTTGAACTGATTCCGACAAGAGTCGGGCAGCACCAGCCGTGGGCACTGTAAGTAGCGTTGGAACGTTCACGCTGCTCCCTGCCCGCGTTCCCGCATCGGAAGTGGTGCTCTGCACGCTCTGTCCTCCATTATCTATTCACTCAGTTTTCTCAGTTTGCCGTTTGCCTTGGCGGAGAAGGGGGAGGGAATGCAAGGGTCTCCTGTGCACCTCCGTGTAGGCTTGCATGCTTTTGGCACGCAGCCTTCGTAATAAGCATGGTCGACCGCTAATACACTTAGAATTATCCGGTTAAAAATGCGTGCATTTCGGTTGGGACCCTGTTGAACTTCGATAAAAGCGCTAATTAAAAAATTGTGACTTCGTTATAATGAGGGATTACTGTAGTTATATTAAATTGAACTCAGTTTAGAAGTGGACAAGAGGAAAGTGGGGAACAACCTTCACAAGTTCAGCTGAATTTTTGTTCAAGCACGGTGCACGTTAGCAAAAGACTTCAAGAAACTATTCAATATTCTATTAGAAAATATTTGGCCAAAACAATTATTCGCTTCAAACTCAAAATCCACTATTCGCACACGCCTAGTGCTCCGTGATTGGTTGGCTCAGCTATACAGATGCGCCAAAGAGGTGTAAAGTGACGTCCATTCATCACATTATTCCTGGCATTCTATAGTATGTACTGTATAAAATTAGACACTAAGTGAACACTGCCAAAGATGCAGTGGGCACGCGAAGGAAGCACGAGGAGCGGCACGTGGGGCAAAGGCAGGGGACACAGAGCACGCGAATGGAACGTGGCACAGCCACTGCAATTTCAGCCACTGAACGCCGAGCTCCAGAAATGAACAGCTGTTTATCTCTGAACAAGCAGCGACGTAGGATACCACGTTGAGTGCCGCAACGTGGGGTTTGCTGCCCGTCTGGAATAGGCGTAGCCCAAAACCCGTACAACCGAGCCGAAACTACCGACCACCTTCGAGCTACCTTGCCGACCCGAGACCACAGCTCGGCCGGATGCTCCGAGCGCGAGCGCCACGAAGATGAGTGACTGCAGCCTCGAGAACCATGGACGGACACGCCCCCGACGACGACCAAAACTAAGAGATGCTATTGGACAAAAAGGACAGCCGACTTGGCTCTCCTTTACGTCCTCCTTTTTGTCCAACAGTGTCTCTTGGCCTTGGTCGTTGTTGGGGGCGTGTCCTCCCCACTTCTAGCTTCACCTTTGGCGGCCCCATGTTGTTTCCAGAAGCTTCCTATCTCCATGTCGAAGACTTTTGCCAGCCTGCTCACCTTGTAGAAGGGGTTGGGGCACCACAGGTCGTAGCAGGGGCCCAGGGTTGCCTCGGCCGCGGGAAGGTCGGGAGAGGCCCCTTCTGGCCGACGAGAAGCCAAATAGTGGAGCGCCACGCTCCAGAAGCGCAGGGCCTCCTCGTCTCCGAACCAACTGGACGGAACCAAACGGTAGAGGTGTGCAAATGTATGTATTTCGACTCTAAATTGCGCGGGAATATCGAGATGCTACTGCAAATAGAATCTGAATATTGTATAATGTGAATACCGAAGAAGAATTAGTTTTTTGACGGGCTCGATATTTTGCGAATTTCGGGAATATTTCGCGGGTACAAAACATTTTCGCGTCTTGGAGTGATATTTTGTGTATTTATAACTGTGGAATGATAAATTTGCGAGATCAATTTTCTGCTATATTTTTCGAGTCGCAAAATTAGAAAAAATTAGGCTGTTGCAAATAATAAGTCTTTTGCAGTATTTTACGTCTAATGCGAATTTATACAATACTTCTATAAATTATGGCTCGACGTCTTTTTAGAAAACATGCAAATAACAAACACCTAGGGGTATGCAAATACTCAAATCGAATAGCAAGTTCCCAAATAATTCAATTCCGTGAATTGAATCCCTAGTATTCGGTCACATGAATATTCAATATATTCAGCCAAAGACACGCGTCGGCGCGGAGCTGACAAAAGAGCTGTTTTTACTCCCGATGTTAGCGCCGTGATGTTCGACATAGCATGCGAGAAACACCTCTTGGCCGTACCTTTCCACAAAAATCTTACACACAGGTTCGAAAAAATAAAAGTAACGAATGCCACAAACTTTATAGCACGCAGATTTACCCATGATCGGAACGCAATTTAACCTTGAATCACTACCGAAACATCCCGTTTGCACCGCTTCCAGAGAGGAATTGTTGGGAGGCCGGAATTCCGCGTCATGCCTAATTCTTTTCAGGAGTAAAGCCCCTCGTCTAAATTGAAGCGCCGATGTAGAACACACTTGCCACACTCACAGAAATCGGCGACTGCAAGATCACAAAAAGAAAACCACTTTAACCATGCCAATGAAACCAGCCGAGTTGTTGTCGTTCCTTTGGAACCGCAAGCCACAAATTCTGATTCGGAACAGAACGGAATGGAAAAATAGTGTGCCTAGATTTGAGGGGGTTTCCAACAGTTTGATAGCCGCGTTTGAATTACGAACTGCGAGAAGATGACGAAAAGACGAAAGCCTCGGTCGGGCAGGCGTCGTCACTCTTCTGTTTGCGCGCCTCACCTTCTTTCCATGCGACAGCACCACACATGCGCACTTATGACCAATCTGCGCAGGAGGTATCTCCGTAGTTTCAGTTTCGATTGCTCCCTCTTTTAAATCTAGGCTCTCTAAAAGAGGATAGATGGATGGAGGAATGGATGCATAGTGGCAGTTGGATGGTGACTTGCGCCACCTAACCACATTTTTTTTTCTTACTTCAGATTATATTGTTTAAGACTGTTTACTCAGATTTAACAGCTATCTGTTATTTATATTAAAAAAAATCCCTGGTGCCCTTTTTCTTCTTTAAAATTGAGACCAAATGTTGCAAAATGCCCCTTTTCTGAGATATATAAATATAAAAAAAAGAATATGTCGTGGTGTTAGGTCGTGCTTTTAACGAGAAAAAAGGCATGCGTGGCTGTAACTTTGGGTTTCTTGTGACGCTTAGGGTAGATAGATCATGTTTGTGCCATAAAATTGGATCTTTAGTACCCAACGTCTATCAGCAGCTGCTTTTCTTTTCTTTTTCCACCAGAACTCCTATACATTTGAGCTTCTGTTCCGTACAAGATGTATATTCTGCACCAGGCGCATACTCTGCACATATAATAATCTCATTCACAGCAAACTTTGAAAATTTCCTACAGGTAAAATCACTATTCAATATTCGATTCGATATTCATCTTTTTTTTTTCTTAATTCGAATCGGTATTCAATTCGATAACTACTATTCGGTATTCGCATACACCTACAAATAACAGTTTTATTACACTATAACCATTTTACATACTTTCAGAGCCCATCAAGCCAACCAATATGTCAGTTGTTTCTCCTAGCATGTCGATGCAAAGCAGTGAAGCTTGATCTGGGCACACTTGAGTGATGCAGCAAAGCGTGATGCGCAAACACTCGTGTGAAGCAGTGAAGCTCGATGGGCATATGTTTGTGCGAAGCAGTGAAGCTTGATGTGCAGATGTTTGTGTGAAGCAGTGAAACTGACACCAGAGCACTGGCTCAAAGCAGTGGAGCTTGACACCACAGTGCTGGTGTGAAGCAGTGAAGCTTGACATCACAGCACTGGTGCAAAGCAGCGAAGGCTGCCAACAGAGCACTGGTGCAAAGCAGTGAAGCTTGACACGAGAAGTCGGGAAATTCTAAAGACATTATTAGTAACTTTCCAACGTTTGAAAAGCTCTCATACTTTGAACAACAAAAAAAAAGTACTACAAATATAATTGAAGAGCAAACCCCATTCGCAAATGATACGAAGCTTAGAATATTTGAGCACTTCTACCAACCACCTCGCGAGCAGTCGACCGCCCACCTGGCAACACTGAGGCTTCGTTCGGCTACCCCGGTGGCCAGGCTGTCGGAGGGTGCCCGCTGGGCGGCCCAGGCCTGCAGCAGCTTGTCGACGAGGGCGGTCTCGCCCGGCGCCCTCTCCGGCGTAACCAGCTCCGCCAGACCGGCCGGGGACAGGTGCTGCAGCTGGGACTTGAGTCTCAGGGTGGCCTTGGGGGGCAGCAGGTGGGGAACAAAGGGCACCCCTGAAATAGAGTTGGTCAAATAAATTTTTTAGCACACAATGTATTATATTTCAGGGTCCTGGCACTTTCCTAGGAACACGGAAATCGCCCCAAGAACCCTCAGGTGTTCCCCAAGCTCCCGATTTCCTTGGCTGTTCCTGCAACTAAGTAAAGTGTTCTCCCAGTTTAAGCACTATGTTAGAAGACGCGTTCCATCCATTGACCCATGGTAATATGGCTAACATTCCTTAGTACGCGTGTTACTATTTACACTATCTGTAGGCTTCTGAAGCGCTTTGTTACACGAATGCCGGGAACGGGAGGAGTTCTCCAGCTACCATTGGAGACAAATAGGCAAAGTTTGAGAGTCCCTGCTGTAACGGAAAAGCATCACACAAGTGCTGTGTCAGAGTTTGGCTGGAATTCGTGTCCTCGGCGAAGTGTGTAAACGTGAGTCCAAGCCAAATGCCGACGCAGCATTCATGCACAATTGGTGCTCCGTGCTGGTGCCCCGCAGGTGACATAGAAAATCCAGCACTACGAACTTGTAATCTGGGAGGTGTTAAAGGGACACTGACACATCAAAATCATTTTTTTTTTAATTATCCAAAACAATTGAAAACCATGCCCGGACATTACCTTCAAAATTAGAAACTTGGAAATTCAGTATTTGTGAAGTAAAAAAAAAAATATGACCGCATCTCCACGTGGTGAATGATGTTGATTGGGGCAAAGCTCTGGTGGTGCTGATGATACTGATTTTATTGATCATAGGTAATGCTGATGGTGCCGATTTTTTTTTATTGCTCATAGGTAGTGCTGAGTTCCGGGTTGCGTTTCAACTTCATTATTTATGCTTTATGGTCGGTGCAATGCAGAGGCAGTGGTTCTTCTAGTGGATCAGATTGGCTAAGCTAGAAGCCATGGAACGCATCTCCACCGCTTAAAGGAACCATGAAGGCAATTTAATTAAAAAAAAAAAAAAAGGTGTTTTAGGAAGCATTGGGGTCCTGGCATGCCACACAATTTTTTCTAGAACATTGTGACTCTTATTTCTGTACCTGCAAAATAAATTTGCGAAACCGAAACAAACATTTAGAATTCTTCCCTTTTTCGCCTCTGGAAAGAGAAGTGACGTCAGGGAGCACTGTCGGCATCGGTAGGATTTAGTGCAAACTCGGTGTGGTTCCCGTGGTTCGCTCTAGTGCACGGCGGTCTGTGAAGAAAACCTGGAAGAAATGGGCGACAACGCCGCGCTCGCAAACAAGTTTGAGCTCCTGTTCAGCGACCTCACGCCGACTGAACGGGAGATGCTGCTAAGGACGCAGAACTCTGGATTGGCGACCGATGCAGCAATGCGCAGCATTGCTGCATCGGTCGGCAGTTTATGCAAACTAACGTCGCCCGATCGACCGCACGTCTTTAGCCGACCTTTCGCGCAACCTACTACTGCACATAAATGCGGCATGATTGGTGAGACACCAGTTCGCAAACCGAACACGAGATGACGCACGAAACCAAAACCAAAAGTCCGCCGCCCCCGGCGCTCGTACCTCTTTTTCTTTTTTTTTTGTCCATGGTTGCTCGATGCTTGTTACGTGCCCGAGGTAGCAGTGCCGGATGCGTTCAACCAGTGACAAACGGAGGAATCGCTTCAGATTATGCTTTTATACACTGTATGAAACCTAGTAATTCCCAACTACAACTCCAAAAGGTTATCCAACGTTCAAATAAACTCTTTTCATCACATCTCACCACCGAAATCGAAACCAAGAGCACGTCTATCGTTTGAACCAATCGCCAGACGAGGAGCCCCTTGTCGTCACGCTTCGGCGCACTTTAGTTCACCTTTCTGGCGCCACCTCAATGGGGTCTCGGGCATCGTTCCCGGCGCTATTATTACAACGCCTGTTTGCTCGATTGGTGCGGCACCCAAACTTCTGTTCGGGCTAGAACTTGGTCAACAGTGTCTGAGACGTGCCTGACATCCATTTCAATCGTCGAATAAAACTTCAAAACTGCCTTCATGGTCCCTTTAAGTCAACGGTTCATGCCAGAAAGAAAATGTGTGGTATGGATCGTGGTTATTTACGCAGTTGAGCATTTGACCGCAGCGCCCTCTCGTCTATAAACATTGAGCCAATGCATGCAAAGTTTAACGCGATTATATACGCAAATGACCGCAGCGCTCTCTCCTGTATAGACGTTGAGCGGCTACATGCAACGTTTCATCCATGACATCCCATGCTCTTGAGTTAATACCACATCTCAGAGCCCCCTACTCGTCCCGCAGTCGTGGTTAAGGCGATGGACTAGAAATCCATTGGGGTCTCCCCGCACAGGTTCGAATCCTGTCGACTGCGCAAACATTTTTTCTTTTTATGTGAGCACGGACGCCGGCCGGACGGACGGACGGACAAGGCTAGACTCTAAAGAGCTTCGCCCATAAAAAACAATTTCCAAATGCCGAATTTGAAGTTCCCGCGCGATCCGCGCCAGTGCGGTGACGTCAAATATTGCAGAGTCCTGCGAGTCGACTTTCTTTCACGCCTCCACTCCAAACCACGCCATTGCCACCGCGATCCGGAGAAAGGAGGTAAGGAGCGGGAGAGAGGGGCGCCGGCATAGTGGGAAAAACCGGTTTGGTTTCCTCCGTGCGTGCAGTGCCGGCTGCCTATCGCGGCGAGCAGACGACGCTTGACGTCTGAAAGGCTGCCCCGGCTGAGTCAAAATCGAAACTACTATATACAAATTCCAAACCCAGTTGTTTTGAACGTTTGACGATTTCCTTTTCCAAGTCTGAGGCCGTCGGGCACCTAAAAAAGACTACTTTGTCCAATTCCCCGATCACCCTCTGCTATGTGCGTCGAGCGCCGCCATGTTTTCTGAGGGAGGTGACATCACACTGGACTCCGATTTTTGGTATTTCAAAAAGAAGGAAGGACTGTAGTGTATTCGCAATTGCGTTAAAAAACATGTCTTACGATCGCCATTATTAAATGTTATAGAAATGTCACCTTCAAAGCTTCTAAATTTCATGATTTTTTATGTCACGAATTAAAAGAAGCGAGGAGGTGAAATGCAGGAGAGAAGGGCGGCAAAAATAAAAAGGTTCGCTTGAGCGTAAAAAAATTTTTTTTTTGCGATGCAAATTTTTTTGCGTGTTTATGACTACAATTTGCATTGTTTTAGACAATAAAAAAAAAATGTGACCTTTGGGGTGTCAGTGCCCCTTTAAGCGACCGCACTCCCACTGTGGTGGGAAAGTGTACAGGAGGCGAAGGGGAAGGAACGAGGCAATAGGGAAATAGAGTGTTGATACTCTACGCATTGCTGATTTAGTGCTTCTAGTGCCGCCTGTTGGCGACTCCCTCATTGATGACGGTTCGAGGCACGAAGAGCAAAATACAAACGGCTCGTATCCAACTGGCTGGCCACAGGGGAAGAGCAGCCCTTGAGCTCCATGTCCACAATGCGGACGCATCCATCCAGAGTCGCCACCACCAGCTTGTCCGACTTTGCCCAGTCGACGTCTGAAACGCCCGGGAGATCCTGCGGACAGCGGGCCTGCACCGACAGCTGCACCTGCACGGTACAGTACAGTGTTGCCAGAGGATCCATTGTCCCAGGCGCGCAATTGCCTACAGACAACTAAACAAGCTTCGCCTAAAGTATTAAGGGGGAATCGGTAACCGAGTGTGACAATGCACCACAGCTCGGAGCATGTGGAGCAAAAGCTCGCGCTGCACAACCGAGGGATCCTGGGTTCAACCCTGCCTATTTCACCTGGATGAGCATCATACTGGTGTTTGGTCGTGCGTCACCAGTGCGTGATGCACACTAAAGACCTCGGGCTAAAAATTGCGATACACTGGCTAAATTTCTCATCTACAATGGAGACACCAGACGCCCAGTGTGACCGACTAACTTGCCACTGTCTAAATGTACCTACACACAATTACTTCTGCTTGTATTGAAACTTCATTCCTTGAGTGTCTTGTGGTTGCCGCCATTTTGTTGCCGGGTCCAGAGCGAGTGCAAATGGTGACAGTTACGATTAGAAGATGTGACTTCCTGAGCCTTACATGCAGTGTTAGAAAGGTTAGGTGACGCCATTTTAATTTGCCACGGACTGTACTAACATTTCTGAAGGACGGATAAGTGTTTCCCCCGATTCCAGATGTGGCTTTGAATGACTGGCAACGATGGCATTTAGCAACAAGGTAACCGAGGTGTCGCTACACCGAGGCGTTGCTTGTTTAGTCGCTCTACGGTCGCCCACTTGCCTCCTGGGCATCCCACACGTCCAGTCCGTCGGCGAACAAGGCCAAGACCTTCATGTTTCCCTTGCCGGGCCCAAACTTGAGCCTCTTGACGCAGCCCCTCTGCGTCGGCAACGTCCTGCAAGACGGTTCCAGTTTTGCTCATCGCCCCCACCGGTGTACCACCTTTGTGAGCACGTTGACTGGATGAATGGGAGTGTAAAGTTGCAGCGGCCACCGTAGCCGTAAGAAACGAAACACCGCCGTTGCGATACCTGAAGTGCATCTCCGACTAGAGCGTTTGCCGCGCCTTCATTTATGGTCCCTCGATTTCCTCCTGATGACATCAAACTTATGTCATGCAGTTTCCTGCCACGATCACACATCTGCCATGTTACAGCAGGAGACATGGAAGCGGCAGACGCCCATTCTCTTGTGGGTCTCTCTCCATTTTAACAGTCCACAGAGGCTTCGGCAGCCCCGAGTTGGGATGTCGCGACGATGGCAACACTCTTATTCGCTCCCCTTTACTGCCTAAATTTCTACGACCAACCGCCAGGGCTGTGGCATCCGACAGCATGAGGTGTCAGCTTCCGTGACGTGATCGGTTGCCACATCGGGACCCCCTTCGATGCATGGGTGGCGTAGGACGCCATACACACCAGTCGGAGACGCGTTCCAGGCATTGTAGTTGCGGAGCCCATTGAATCAGGGCGCCCTCTCTGGAGCCCACCTCAGCACTTTGCCCTTGAGGTCCCACACGGTCAGAGTCCCGTCGGCGTCTCCTAGCACTATGTAGTCGCTCTTCCAGGCGATGCTGGTGATGCTAGCCATGCCGGCCTGCACGAAAAAGACTCACCTTCGGTGCACCGTTTCTTTTCGGCGGGCGGTACGGGCGCACTCACCTCCGGAGGGTTGCGCGTGCAGTCCCTCACGACGTTTCCCTCCACGGTGAAGTAGTAGAGCTGCGCATCTGCGTCGGTGAAGACGAGCTGTTCCCGAAGCGGCGGGCCGGCCGACGGCAGGCTCCTGCAATGAAAGGATTGACCATCTGCAGATGGCTTCCGGACGAATTCAAGTTGCACGGCATCCGCATATTAGCGACTCTCAGCGCACTTGTCGTCTCACCTCGTCTTTCTGCGCCGTTCACATTTCACCGTACATCACCAACCCGTTGCGCGCTTCTCATTTCATCTATCCGTTCAAGCTTCTTATGACCATAGCGCTGCCACTGAGCCGTTAAGAAAATTCTCAATCTATGAGAGTACATAGGTTGCATTTATTGCAAAAATCGTGTCAGTTCAGCTGATTCTAATTCTTAGTTTCATCATTATCCGGAGTGTCATGATTAACACAAAGCAAGCAGTGTGTACGTAGGGCAAGTAGCAGCCGCCTGCGATAAGAATTAAAACCGAAGCCACAGTTATTTGGAGCCAGTTCTGGTGGGCAGTGAAGGAAATCAATGTGGAATTCTGGACCTAATGCAGCGTGACTCACGGCTGTCTCTCGAGCTGGTTGACAGCGCGGTCGCCGACAGAAGCGTCGGTGTCCTTGCGGCCGGACGCCTGGCGGGCACGCAGCTGGGCCTTGCCACTGACCAACGGTGACCACTCCTGCGTACGGAGGTCCCGAGGCTCGAACACTCCGGGACAAGCGCGGGTATGGTGCCTGGACGCGCATTCTACTGGTGTGCCCAGCGTTTAACGCTGCCCATGCACCGAAGGTTGCCCCTAAGTTTCAAGAAATTGTGCCACGGGAGCCAGCACCTCACAACCTCACGCTATCGGATGTTGCGATCCTGGCAGTTGGTCGTAGAAGTTCAGGCAAAAAGTAAGAGCGAAAGCGAGTGTCGCCGTTATTACGGTGTCCCTACTTGCGGTAGTTTCTGTGAAGCGTGAAGCCAGAAAGGGATGCGCAGCGGAACAAGCGTCTGCTGTATCCACCTCCACTGCCATGCTACTGCCAGGATCGCAGCAAGTAACGGCGCGACACTTTTACGACGTCGTTGGGCGGAAATCGAGAAACTGCAAATGAGGACGGGTAAACACACCAGTCGGAGACGCGTTCCAGGCACAATGGCGAGGCACTCACCAGGGACGTCACGCAGGGGAAGTTGTCTGGCATGGTGCGCAGCAAGGTGAGGGTCCGTAGGTCCCAGAGCTCAAAGGGCTGCTCTTTGAAGAGCACCACAAAGTATTGCCTGCAACACGAGGGCGCGTATCTCTTCCTCCAGCCGGTCGATTGGTGAAATCCCTTTGTACGACAACCCTAGTGTGTATTCAATATGCTGCCCATATTTTCCGGTCTAAGAAATATTTTTTCGTCAAAGACAATGAGCAAAGGGCAGCGAGAATCCGAGACGAAAATAAAAATGGTCGGAGTTAAAGTTGGTGTGGTATGCGAAACAAACACCATTTGTGTGTGGTGCCTTGAACCAAATTGTGAGAGCAAAGAATAACTATTTGAATTGGTCGATTGGTACTGTTGGGTCTACCTCCGCTTTCGGTTACAAGTACAAAATCAGACTTTCATAAACAGACACTGAACTCCCAAAAAAAAGAACATTTCTTTTAACACCTGCATAGCACAAAGAAAAAAAGTTTATTTATTGCACAACATTAAAGTTTCAAGACTCGTTACAGCAATTTTAAAACGTGCCTCTATTCTGGGGTTGATGTATCGAACTGGAAGCATGTTTCGGAATTGCTCGTAACTTAGAATGAGCCTCGCAATATAAAAAAAGAGGAATACTCAAATATATAGCGGGGTGAAAGTTCACTTTGTGACATTTATGTGCAATCCTAACACTTAAAAAAATGCCTTTTTGAATGTTCAGTGTCTCTTTAAAACGGCAAAGCTAAAACTGTCTCTTTGGTATGTTTTCTGGATGTTCGGTGTTTCTTTAAACCGGTAAAGCTAGAAGTGCCTCTTTGTATGTCTTAAAGGCACTCAACATTTACAAGTCCTCTGTGACATCATAGGATGTCACATGAACATAAGGAAGGCACGTGGTCGTGTGTCCCCACACCACATGACATCAGTGTCACATGACATCACTTGTTGTCATGGTGTCACATCGATGATGTCACCTGACATTATGTCACATGACCACATGACGTGACGTCACACGACAAGTCAGGACCATCACGTAACGATGTCGCACTAACGCTAGGACGCCATCGGCATGACGTCACCGTCGAGGCTACAACCCAAGCACATACACGACAGAGCTAAGCCCGATAAATGCAATGCATTTAAAAAACAACTCCGCTTCATTTTTGTTTTTGAAAAAACAATGCAGTCCTCTTTAGTATCATCTAGGAAGACCACACATCAAATATTACAACCTAGTTCTGTCTAAATGCTTCTTAAACAGTCCGGCAAACTTTGCAACTCGCCAAATTGCCGAAATCGGCTGACTTGAGCGGGCAAACCGAGGCGCGACCAACAGCGCAGGCAAGGCTGTGACGTGGGCATAGACAACATTGAGCTAAATGTCACCACCATTGCCCCTCTTTGCTTGTTTTTACTTCTCTGGGCAAGCGGAATGGGTGACGTCAGAAAGTTTCCTCTTGGTGCTCAGCGGTGTCCACGTGATTGGCGTATGCACCCGAGCAGTGCACTTCTTCGAAGCCATCCGGCCGTCTCGCCGTGGTCGTCTCACTGTTTGTGATTACCGTCTCTCGGAGTTTCGTTCACACTAAGGACACTACGTGTGCAGACTTATGTCGCAGTTGTGCAGACATCATGGAATGTTGTAGACACCAAAACGTGGTAAAGAGTGCGGGGCACACGACACTTGCGCCTGGTACACGCCCGTCCCAATTCCGCCCGTCGTTGCGTAGAGGATCACGCGACATCTCGTACCACGTAATAGTCATGTTCTTGGCAGCCCGACGCCAATGTTGCGGGACAAATCCGAAGTTTCGGTTTTGATTTCTGCTCGTGTTTAAAATTAGATTTAATGATAAAGATCCCATTTTTTGCGAAGCGTATGATGTAGTGTTTTTTACTGGTGCTTTTTAATGCGAAATCACTCATCATTCCGAAATCTTCGGAATTGAGCGGAGTTGCCATTTAACGCGCAGACAACAACTTCCGTTCGGACTGGTACACTTCCGGCGCTTGTTTCACCCACTTGAGGTGCGACACCCTGATGGCGCACACCGGCGACTCCTCGTTGGCGTCCGCGCGCACCTGCCGCACCCGGCCCGACCCGGTGCTCGTCAGGACGATCTCGTTCTTCACCTTGCCGCCCACGCCCGTGAGGTTGGCGTAGGCGAAGGACAGGAACGACGTCAGGCTCACCCACTCGATGCCCCTGGGCAGAATGGAAACGCGTCACGGCCTGGACGGCAACGGATGGCCGGCGCTCGCACCTTACGGGTGTCGCGTGCAGGTTGAACTCCTTCTCCAAGACGCCGGTGGACAGGTCAAACACCTGGACTCCACCCGCATTGTTTCCTGGGCACGAGAAAGCCTTGGTAATGACGTTACACCCCAAGGTAAAGGCCAATTCACACATTTGTGACTGCTTACGGCCAAGGGCCTTAAGACCCCTATCGGGTAGCTGTGGAACCTTTGCAATTTCTTTATATACTTCCTCAATTTCCCGTGCATCATCCTTTTTTTTTTTCTCTATAAACTTTCGACAACGTTATAAACAACCATTTCTTGTAAATAGTATGTATGTATAATCTTGCAAACACCGCGAAACCTTTGCTCTAGTGAAATGCAGCTCCAGTGTCACTTTGTAGGCGACACGAGCGTGATCTCTCGTTGTAAGAGCTCTGTCCTCGGCAAACACAAGTGTGTGAATGGGCCTTAAAGACTTGGCAGTTCTCTGCTTGGCTAGGAATTTATGTACATGAAAATTACAAATTCTCACCGCGGATGTAACGATTAGATTCCCAATGTTCTGGGACTGATTCAATCCCTCCTTCACGGGTGAGTCTCCAGTTAGGGCATGCACCGCTTTTATACCTTCGCGGATGTAAAGAGCTCTGGTGACGTCGGGCAACCCAGAAACATGGTTGCTGGGCAAGGTGCCTGAAAACGGTTTGCATTCACTTTCGTTTTGCAATTCTACAAAGAGGCGTTTTCTTGTATCCTCCTTTTCTAAAGTCAGTACGGCTCACGGGCGAGGCATGAACTGGTCCCAAAACGTCGGTAATCTGGTCATTAAATTTTGGGTTAGAGTTTGTAATTTTCGTCAAAGTTAAACCCTTTGAAGCACTGCAAGAAGCAGCATTTATGCGGCGACCGTAAAATACTCTACAAGTGGCTGCCAAAACTCGCGAGATTATAACGAAATTTGGGGGTTGACGCTTGAGTAAAATTTATGCATTACTTAGAAATTGCAGGTGACGCATGCTCCGTATTTTGTGGTTATGCACGCTTTCCTTTGCAGGTTTAACTGTGAATAGAAAACCTGTCCCAGCTATGTTGCTGATTAACTTAATTCAGCTTCACTTATCCATAACCAGACACTGAAGGCTTTGGAATCAAGGTATTCATGCGGCAGTTTCAAGTACCAATGGACCGTTGTGAGCACTCCATAACTAATCTATTTTAATCTCGTTCCCTTTTATTTTATTGCCAGCTTAGTTGGTTAACGCTGGCAATAAATGCATATTAACACTGGTTTCCCCATTTTTTAACACAGAATTTGTCACACGGCTGGCACCTAACCATATCTGGTTAGGTGCCAGGCAATGAAGTCGACAGACAGACTGCCAGCTGAGCGCCGAGGCAGCGCTCGTCTTCTCACCGATTGAACACCAGTATCTGAAAAACCTACTCCTTGAGAGCCTACGTGCTACTCCCGGAGGGGGCAAAACATCACGTGCTTAGATGTAGAATGGCACTCTGATCCGTCAAAAGAGTGTGCTCCAGGCTTCTCCAAAGAAAGAGTGAAAAATAGCAACAGAAAAGTGGAAAAAAAAAAAAAAGCGGATTCCTTTCCTGCAACGGGCTGAAGTAGTTTCGAGTGTTTGGTTCTCTTTTGCTGCGAGCTGGTGCCAAGGCTCCGCTCGGTGCAGCCGCGTTCCAATTGTTGTGTTTTCCGCACACTCAGTCTACTGCACATCACACCCTAACAGGCTTGTAGAAAGTTGCATTTACAGTGCAACCGCAGAAGATGGAAACCACAAGTAAGACATACACGCTCACGCGCTTACTCTGAACGACACAGGGCTGCTTTGTGCCATCCATATGTACACAGTTTTTCCACATTAACGCGTCATATTCTGCCTTACCACTGCTCTTGCCACGCCAGTACGGCAAAGGGGCAACTTTTTTATTAAGGCAAAAGCCTTTAATGTTTTATCGTTCAGTCGACCTTCAGAAAACACGTCGGCGACATAAAAGGTATGAAAATGAAAGGTACCAATGAAACAGTGCCAAAAGTGCGTCATCAGAGAGCGTGCAGTCTTTGGAGGTTCGCTATCACCAGGACCACAGCTGACGCCACGATCCGAGCGAGCCAATGAAACGGCGCCAAAAGTGCGCCATCAGAGAGCGCGCTGTCTTCGGAGGTTCGCTATCACATTTACATGAGTGCCTAGGCTTTCGCCTTCAAATCATCTTGGGGATAACGCAAGAGACCCTGTGTTTTTTCTGTGTTCCCTGTGCCAGACTATGTTGTGCACCTTAGAGGCAAGTTCACACATACAATGCAGCACTATCTCAGTGCTGAATCAACACTAGAAAAACAATGCTGTGAAAAAACATATTAGCAGTTATGCATGCAGTATCAGCACTCTGCACTAATACAGTGCAAAGGTAGTGTTGCATCAGCGCTAAGATCAGCAACATTTCCAGCACTGTGTGTGTAAATAGGCCCTTACGAGTGCCGTTGCTTACATTTTCTTCGCGGCTCAAATTATTTCTGCTCTTGTTGTGTTTCGTTATTGTAACCATTCCTGTCCACTCCCTGGGATTCAGACGGCAAGACAAACGGATGAAGTACATGGACGCACCCACGGCGAGGAGCGGTCGGTAGCTGCTCCAGTTGCCGAAGGTGACCGGGGGACACATGCGCGTCAGGTGGGGCCCTGGAGCCAGCGCTTCGAGAAGGCCGGACATTGGCAGTCGCAGCCCCACGTTGGGTGCCAGCAGCTCGGGCAGCGAGCCGCTCCTGCCCCCTCCGGGCTGTAAAACAACGAGGATCATCCCTCGCTAAACTGTTTCTCTAGACTGCGATAATTGGACCTTCCTGTCACTTGATGCTTCGAAATTCCCTAACTTTTTCACATACAGACCATTTCATTAAGGACTCTCTGGGCAGTGCAGTTTCGTTCGGGCACATCCAGGCATTTCAGTGGAATCGTCAGGGTAAAAGAGGGAAAGGGCACGCGCCCGATCCCAATTGCAGACGACAATCTGGCCGCCCTGCATGGTCATTTCAACCGTTGCTTGGGAGGTTCCGGTAGGCTGCTGTACTGTTGGAACTGCCCAAACATAAAGGCTCATTTCCCTCTCTCCTCTCACCCTGGTAGAATGGTCTATATAGTACCCATCCTGGTAACAACAATTTCTTACTAAATAATGATAACAATCTTGCTTTAAAATCTGTACAGTCACATCCTCATAAATTGCGACAAGCATGATTTCGTGGCTGATAAATTCTTGACTCGGAGCCGCTTTGCACAGCAGCTACGACAAGTCTTTTTAATATGTTCGCTTGTGCAAGACAAATGGTAAATAATGTGTGTTCCAGATTCTCTTCCCTGAAGCTAATTTCTAGTCGTTTTCTCTCAAACTCCTCCACTTCTCTAGGCATGCTAAAAGTCCCCTGATAAACGCAGGCTGTCACAGCTCTTCATCCAAGGAGACACCCTCCCTGGAAGTATGGATCATTCGATGAAGATCCTGCAGGATGCCTAATGTCCCAGGGATATCCTGGAAATGTGCTTAGGACATCAGTGCTGCCTGTGAAACATGCAACTACCGCCACGAGTTCCACAGGAAGGAGCAGTCACTCCTCAGACTGGGCTCCCACCTGCTTAGAAAACGCCAGCTCGAAGAAGAGGAGGCGGCCGTCACCAATGAGCAGGGCCATCCGGTGCTGTCCACTCCGACGCACCGCCAGCCCAAAGACCTTAGAGTGCTTGGTGAGCCGCAGAGCCTCCGAGATGCAGCGCATGGTGTAGTTCACTTGGTTCGTCCCGTGACCAAAGTCTCCTGGAAAGAGAACCCACGATGGCAACAGCCCACTGCAGTGGCAGTGAGGTCATCACCGCCTTGGTCTTGCATGGGACAACACGCATCATATAGCGAGGGAGGACTGCCACAAAAGACTGGCAAATGTCAACAGTGAAACAGAGTTTCTTTTTCTAGGTATGGGTTTGGGAGGAGGGGAGGGGGAAGGGGGGAGAAGCGGCACCTACTATACCCATTTTCACCTCAAAAACCGTAGTAAAAAAAGTATGGTTTCCCAGCGGAGCATTATTAATTTTTCTCTTTATGCTGAGAATTGAGATATATGTTGGTGCATTTTAGATTAGATACATGTTACCTTATTGAGACATACACGTTTCAAACGCCAAAAGCATCGCTTCTGCCTCCAACAACCAAATCTTGTAAGAACTACTTCGCGCGGCGTATGAACAAGGAGCAAAACGTCCTTTTTTCTTGAGGTGAAAAGAGGTATAGCCATGAAGACCGTCGTGATAAATTTTTTTTGTTAGTTACCGCAGGCTAGTGCAGGGCAAATTGGTCACGAGTTCTGCATCAGTGTTTGACTGGGACGTGTATACAATCAGTGAGAGCAAGCACCCCACCTAAAAACTGATGCAGCACTCGTGCCCAAACAGTGCTTCTGGTAGCTGACGTAGAAGAGCCAGCACTCCGCATCTAAGAGGTGTTGGGAGGAGGCACCTCATCTTCTTCACTGAGGCAGGACAGTCCACTGTTCAAACCCTTTTTCCTCTAGTGGTTAGTTGTTTGACTGTATATTGCAAAACAAAAAAATTGAGAGCCCTTCCACCCCGTGAAGAGGGAAGTTCAGCAAAGCTGGTGCTCTGGTGGGATTTGCTATGTTGAATTTGGCTATTATAAGTTGATTATTGGACGATTAAAGAGACATTTACTCAAAGATCCTGGTTATCTTCATTTATTTTGTGATCATTGTAATCATTGCCTTGTGATTACTCTGGTAGATGGCAAGTGGTTGGACTCTCACTGCCTCAATGTTCTTCCCGAAGGTTAGGTTGATGCACGACCGGTGACAAGTGGTGGGTAGGGTGGCGTCGGTGAAACACTCGAGGCCAAAGCGCTCTGCGCGGCATTGCGCAATGTCAGGGGGGAAAGACGTTTTATTATAGCGCGGCTACACGAATCACGGCACAGGTTCTAGTGCAGCACACAAGTTGCTGCCGAAGAGCGTGTGGCATTGCGCAATGTCGGGGGAGAGAGACGCCGCGCGTGGCGAGGAGTATACACAACTCAGGAAAGAGGCGGCGGCAGTGGAGAGGAGTATAAAGTGGGGCATACATTGTTGAGTTTCAAAATTGTTGGTCTATGCTCGGTCTGCCGCCGGAGATGATCCGCCAGAACCTAGCCATAGACAGCTTCACTGTAAACGTAACTTGAAAGTATTGAGCTAATTTTTTAGTACTCTGTTCAGATACCTCTTAGAATTTAACATTTAATCACTATTTTATCCGGTACTCAGTAACCTGGCTTATAGAAGATACCTTTTCCATTCATTTCATGCGTGTCGGTGCTGCACACGTGTGCCTCTCTGAAGCTTTGACTATCTTTCGACAGTGACCACTTTGGAGTCCTCAAGCTGATTGGTTCGCTATACGCTCTAGCTGTTGTGCTCGATCCTGTCCTGTCGCTATACTCTGTTCACCACCAAGATGACAGTGTGGTGGAATTAGTGAGCTCGTTGGTCAAGTCGTATGTTAATCTTTCGCCACATGATCATGCTACCCACGAGCAGAAAGCGGGGTTAGGTGATGAAAGCGAGGCAATTGACTGATTTGGCGAGCGCTTAGCTCGCACCGCAGCATCAGCTTGGCTGTGAACGAAGCGTAGCCAGGGTTGTGCCACACTCATGAGGCGGAGCCCCACACAGGCATGGGAGGGGCAAACGGACGTACCTCTGGCACAATGCTCCTCCTGGTCTCTTTGTCGCACGCGGGCGCTCACCGAACCGGACTCGTGAAGGCACAGGATCATGTCGTGCTGCCAGCATGGCTGGCACCGCACAAAGGGAGAGCCGTTGCGCTCCAGGGAAATCACACCCAGTGTCTGCGTGAGCAAGGGATGGCTTACTCCGCTGAGTTCGTCGTCAGCTGAATTGCACCTTTGCATGAGTCATGACAGACCACTGCTTTAGCTTGACAAGCAGCCTGTACCTTCATTCCATGCTGGTTGCATCCTTTGTAATATCATAACTCCATGCTCAGCGGATATAACGGATCCTTAGTGTGTTGCACTTGTGCCGTGCCTGCTCAGTTTTTATTTAGCCAAGCTGGTTCTTCAGGCAGTATGTCTTTTCACAGCTCACCTTAGGCTGGCAGCCATTTTCTGGTTTTCTCAGTTACCCCATAATAACTCCTCTCAGAACACAATGTCCTACATGGTGTTCTAGAAGGAGATATGCTGCATTAAAAGGACCCCAAAAATAAAATACAGTTCTAGTGCAAAGCACTACTACACACTTTTTCAGCACAACTTTGAAAACAACAAAGCCTACAGTGCACCATCATTACTACAGCAAAAAGTGCTGATTAAGATTAAAACATAGTCCTGGGGCTCAAAGTTTGTCATAAAATACTCTGCGGGGAAACACGCACCATCGGCAGGCAGAGATGATAAGCTATGTCACTGAAACAAGCTTTCTCCTCGCTCTTTTACACCTCTCTCTCTTACAAGAAGGGGGAGTGGAAATGTATCTGCGTTTCCCTCATATTGAGATGGTTGGCTCCGCTCTGTTGGTGTGAAAAAGTAGTGGGATTAGTTCAAAGTTTCACGTGCCACACCCTCAACCCTAAAAAATATTAAAAGCCACAAAAAATTTTTTATTTATTTATTTTTTTAACTTTTTTGTTGGGCACTCAGTTATTGCTGAGGTCTGCGATGTGACAGGCGGTGAGTGATTGGCACGGCTGAACTCCACAGTGTGAGGGGTGGGGATTTTTGGATGGTGGCATACTTCGTGAAGCAAGCGTGAACAGGGTCTTTTTTGAAGCGATAGTAAACGGCTCAAAACTGCCAACCTACCGTAAAATACCGCAGGAGCACCACTTCGTTCAAGCGCCCACTAATAACATTTCCAAAACTTGAAAATTCTGCAAATTATATGTTAAGCGCCTGATTTGATTGGACAAGCGCCCATGCCTAGATTAACCCAGTTTTCACTGAAATTGTGGTGGGTGCTCTTCCGGTATTTTACGGTATGCTGAGCAGCACTCGCTGCAGCATTGCCGGTAAAAACCAACTTTGGCAGTTACCTTACCTGCTGTATTTCTGTGTCCAAGACCATTAGCCTCTTGGGATACAGTAGCAGCAAGTGATACCGGAGTGCCCCATGGTAGCACAGCTGCAGGCATTCACTCAGAGGCTGTTCCTCGTCAGTGCTGAAAAGAGAATCCGGTACAAGCATTTCAGCTGCTAATATAAACTCTAAAATTCCAAAGAAACACGAACATCTGTACAAGCAAATACCAAGTCGAACCTGGTTGTAATGAAGTTGACGAGAACTGGAAATATACATTGGCTATTCTGCAAATTTAGTTATATCTAAAACTCATTAAAAACAACTGCTATCTTTTTAAGCACATGGCACATGATCATCAAATGACTTGCATGATAGCCTTAATTCTATTTTGGTGAATCTGGTGTTCTGCAGCAACGCAAATACTGAAGTCACATTGTTGTACGTATAAGTCGCACCCCTCTATTAATGCCTGTGTTCACAAAGAAGTTGGTACATGACTTGCACCTTTTATAAGCTGCATTTATATATTTAGAGGGTTGGCATGGCAAAACTGCACTAACATAAGCCTACATATCTATATAGTGATATACATGCAAACAGAAGCCAGTTTCAACGTTTTTGCCAAAGAAACAAACTAGAAATATGACCCCCGCAGCATATTCGCGCAGTTAAGGTCCATACTTATGCGGAAAGCAAGTCGTCAGAATGACAACGAGCTCTGATTGGATTAGATTGAAAGGGTAGTGGGAAGACCTCAATGCCAGATGCCTCGAGGTCTACCCACTATCTTTTTCAATTAGCCAATAAGAGCTCGGCGTTCGGACACCATTGCAACCCCTGTCCAAGCAGACAAACTTGTGCTCCGCATGAGAAGAAAACACATACAAGTCACCACAAATTTGACGTCCGTGTTTGCACGGCGTGAGGTCGTTCTGCCTCTGAGGTGCGGCGACACTGGTTTACATCATAGATGATAAGTTTAGCCAGTGCAGCACAACCGCTAGCCTGAGGTCTTTTAACATGTACCACGCAGTAGTGGTACATGACTGCACGCCGGTATGATGCTCATCCAGATCGAAACGGGCAGGGGTGGGGATTGAACCCAGGAGCCTAGGTTCTGCAGCGCGAGCTTTCGCTCCACGTGCTCCGAGCTGCGTTGCGCTAACATGCTCAGCCATCGGTCTCCTTATATCGGTCACACTTTTGTAATAAGACACACCCGATGAAATATTTGTAAAAAGACTGCGACTTATTCACTCTGTGCAATGCAACCGGCATGCCGCCGCACGGCCGTTACCGAAGGTGGGCAGTGAGAACGCCAGCGAAACGAAACTATGCTGAGTAGATTGGTACGCTCATGAATCTGGAGTGGTGCGGTTGTGCTGGGTTGACAGCATGATCTGTTGCGTCGTTAAGAGCCTCAATAGTTAGGTGTCGTGTCTCGTGGGGACAAGGCTTCATAGTTTTTCAACTCGCCGCTGTTTTGTGGGGCAGCGACAATGATGGACCCGTGCCGTACAATGCAAGGGATTTGGTCTCCCGATGATGTCTCCCACTGTATCGGCACCGATGACATATTCTACACTGCCGCGCTGTGTTTGGCTTTGTGCCAGTAACGCCTAAATAGGTATGTCAGCGCCAAGGGGACAAACTAAAATATCATCCCACACTCGCGGGTGTGCAGTGCCAATTTCGCTGGAAGGATGCCTACCGAAGACGTTTCGTCCCCATCGTATGTGATGATATTTCTTGACCAGTATGGCATGCAGTCTGTACTTCATGAAAAAGGATTCAAACGTACAAGAAGATCTGAATGGTACAAACAGTGGCAAATGGTAATCCAAACAAAATTACAATGAAACTTGGTGTCGCTGGACAATCAATGTTTGAGTATGGCAGTTCAAGTGGTGTGCTTTCTTTTTGGATCAGCCTCCTTTCGGACGTGGAAATCACCTTTTTTCACATATAGGGCTGCCGGTAGGCAGTAGGTGACTGCAAGACAAAGCACCAGAATTGTTTTTGATGAAATTAGTACAAGACAACTCTTTAAAATAATTTTAAAAATTCTCATAAAAAAAAAAATCAAATAAATTTTTTATTTTTTTTAAATTTAAATCAAATATATATATATATATATATATATATATAAATAATGGGAATGAGTGAAGATTGACAAGCGCAGCCGGGGTAATATTGTGAGCGAAGAGGGGAGAAGGTGATTATTGAATTTATTGCATTAAAGTTAGGGAAAGGGAAAGAGAGCTGGCGAAAAATTGGGCCAGGAGCGGGTATTGAACCCGCAACCTTCGCCTGTCCGGGGCGACGCCTTAACCAATTAGACCATCCCGGCCACTGGTTTCGGCGGACTCAATTTCTGACCAGCTCTCCGTGTACTGTTTAGTTTCGAATTCGCTTAACTTGGCAGACGACAACCGTTACTGATTTAAGGCCCGCGCTATATCCGACATGCGGCAGTGACGTGGCACGTCATTTCAGCTTGTAAATGTCGGAAAGGGCCCGTCTTCCAAGATGTCTAGGGAACCACACCTCCCCATAGGGATAGGCTGCACCTATATATAATGGGAACGAGTGAAGATTGACAAGTGCAGCCGTGGTAATACTGTGAACGAAGAGGGGAGAAGGTGAATATTGAATTTATTGCATTAAAGTTAGGGAAAGGGAAAGAGAAGGGAAATCCCCCGCTCCTGGCCCAATTTTTCGCCAGCTCTCTTTCCCTTTCCCTTTCCCTAACTTTAATGCAATAAATTCAATATTCACCTTCTCCCCTCTTCGTTCACAATATATATATATATATATACATATATATATATATGTATATATATTTTTCAAATCACTTTATCTAAAAAAAAGAAATTCGTTCTAGTCTTTTTGAGCACGGTAAATGGATTCTTCAATCCGCCCAATCACTGGAAACAGGGTAAAATAAAGATTCACTGTAAATTGAATCATACCGTAAAGTGCAGAAAAATTAAAAACATTTTTCTTGACATAAAACACGTCATGCTAAAACAAAAAGAGCTTGATTTGTTTGGTTATTGAAAATGCTTTATTTGCTATAATACTTCAGCAAAACAAAATAAGAATATCTGCTAGCTCCAGCCAAATTGTTTTCTATCAGCTTCATGAACGTGGTGCGACTGTTGCCATAGCTTCTGAGGTCGGTTCCAAACAAAGTATTAAAGATCTTTCAGGCGCACAAAAAGTGAAAAGAATATATATATATATATATATATATATATATATATATAATTAACGAAAGAAGTGGAAGATGGAAACAAAGCTCACCTCTCCTTCAGCGTAGAAAAGCACCGCATTTTGCTCGCGTTTAAGTGCTATACAATTTTATTCGCCTTGTGTTTGTTTTATTAATTAAAAACAATAAATTTACAAGGGCAGCATCAAAGTACAGGCAAACAACAATAAAAACTTATTTATGTCATTAGTTTTGTGGGAAATGATTTTTGGAAAAGGGTGTTCTCGTAGAAAATAATCATAGATGTTGGTGCAGCTTAAATCATGATTTAAATCATCTTGAGTTTCATTCTCCACCCTGAATTCAATAAATTTGTAATAGATTAATTTCAAGATGGCAATGCCTCGTCGATTTTTAGAAAAACTGCAGTGGTTGGACCTTCTAGAAGCAGAAAAGGTTCCTCGTTGGAAGCCAGCATACAGTCTGATTGATAGAAGATGTAAAATTTATTTCCTTAGATATATAAGAAGCTTCCTATATATGATGGGATATATAAGAAGTAAGATGAACTTCTTAGGTTTGCCCCAGCACTGATGCAACGTCACCCTCAACGTATCGGCTCAAAGAGCCAAAGTTCCGTCCGTCTGCTCTTTCGCCGCCACAGCTTAGCACGCAAAAGGCGCCGCAGGCTTCTCATTGTCGAATGCCAGCTCCTCCACTAGTGGCACTCCGCACGTTTTTCAAAGCGCCCCCTATAATTCCCGCACGGAGTGCATAGGCCAAAAAAAGTGAAAGCCGTTTACAACTCCCTGTAACGCTGAATTAGAGCGCAGCTCTTGAGGAGGAGGGGAAGGTACGGAGAGGGGGCTATGCCCCTCCTCCTTTCCTGCTCGGCTCCCATTTAGGAGAAAATTTTCCGCTAAATTTAGCGGAAAAAATATTCCGCTAAGTTTAGCAGAAAAAATGTCCCGCTAAATTTAGCGGAGAATTGTTCCCGCTAAATTTGTCGGGGAATTTTTTCCCGCTAAATTTGGCGAGGAATTTTTTCCGCTAACTTTAGCAGGGAAATCTTTCCGGTAAATTTAGCGGGGAAATATTTCCGCTAAATTTAGCGGGTAAAATTAAATTTCCCGCTAAATTTAATGGGTAAATATTTCTGCTAAATTTAGCGGGGAAGATTTTCCGCTAGATTTAGCAGGGAACTTTTTCTGCTGTGGGTAAATTTTCCCCTAGATTTAGCGGGGAAATTTTTCCGTTAAATTTAGCGGGTAAAATTTCCCGCTAAATTTAGCGGGGAAATTTTTTCACTAAATTTAGCGGGTAAACTTTTCCACTACATTTAGCGGGGAAATTGTTCCGCTAAATTTAGTGGGTAAAATTTCCTGCTAAATTTAGCGGGTAAAATTTTCCGCTAGATTTAGCGGGGAAATTTACCCATAATGCACAACGCGGTTACGCCGACACAACGCCGACGCCGCTCAAGCCGGAAACAGGCGCCTAAGATCTGTGCTCTAAAAACATGGATAATTCTCTTTAACATATTTTCCCGGATACGGCCGCTTTAGGTATGAGAAGCACGCACCCAATCCTGGAGTCGGCAGCCCGCATGAGCGACTTGACCCCGCTCAGTAGCCGGCTTTTGGATCGGTTCTTCTCGTCGTTGGCTGTACCACCCGGCTGACCCGAGACGTGCCACTTGCTGCCGACGCCGACTGGGGCCTGCTGCCCGCTCAGGTCTTCCACCAGGAGGAGGCAATCGGCCGCAAGAACTGAAACACGGGTTCGGCGAGCTGGATACACATCCGAAGCAACCGGAAAGAGTGCAAGAGCCAAAGCCAAACATAAACTCCGGCTCACAAACAATGTGACGAAGGGAACTTGTTCATGGAGCAATATGTTTGCCACAATCGGTCCCAATACCTACACTTACCGGCATAAATATCTTCTGTTCCAGAAGAAAACTGCTCCAACACCTCATCCACCATAAATTGAAATGAGGCTAAAAGAGTCACAACCAAATATGGTCGCGACTTTGGAGTGAGTGGCACTTGCTGATACGCCACAGAGGGGTCAACGATGCAGAACACCTTGCCTCCTGTGATAAAATTCTTCTTGCAAACAGAAGCTCAAAATCTGTTTGAGATGTTCATGCTCCAATGCCACAGATGAATGAAAGAGGAAAGAAGACAACGTAGGTGAGCAAAATATTACCAACAAGTTAGGGCATTTGCGTTCGCCTTTAGTTCTTTTAGTTTCGGTGTCAGCGTCATCGTGCGTGCCAGAATTTGAACAGAATTTTAGGTTACACAATGATTATCTACAATTTGATGAATTGTCACCATCGTAGCAATTTCTGACCATGTGTGGCACCATTCGTTAATAAGAGAACACATCTGAACTGAGTGCGTATCTCAACATGTCCTATGTATGACTATTTTGTCAGGTATGACCAAAGTACTGCAGAAATATTTTTTTTCTCGTTTCTTTGTTAGTTTCAGGCTCGCTAAGCTAGATCAGTACCTGTTTGTTTGTAAATGAGCCAAAAGAAAAGCTACCTGATGATGCCACCCTATTTGTCCCAGAGACTAGATCACCCATTAAAGGTTGAAGCTGTACCACACTGTTACTGATCATGTTTTGTGCATACTGCAAGAGATTGGAAACTGTTGCCATCCTCGCTATATTTCCTGCATCATATTCACTGTGTTCATTCAACTCTATATGTAACCCTCTCTTTGCTATATGTGTGTAAATAAATAAAAAAATTCCTGGCTTTGACATTCTGTCAGATTAAGGAATATGCGATAACACTTGGTGGAGCTTTAAAGGGATAGTGAACTGAAATTTCGAGCTCACAAAACAAGGCTGGACTGATTGGCGGAACGCTGCAAAACTCATAAACATCACTCATACGGCGATATCTCTAACGGATTGCCGTATTTTTGGAAAAGAAGTACGCGATTAAACACGGCCAACGAGGCAAGTCACGTCACAATTCTCATTCCCTCTCCTCCTCGCTACGTCTTGTCGAGCTGGTGAACCGAAGCGAGGAGGAGAGAAGTGAGGCCGCTTGCCCTCATTCTCAATTTTTCCAGGGGAACAATGACGTCATCGCCCTTGCTTGATCGCGCCCTTCTTTTCCAAAAGCACAGCTGCCCGTTTGAGATATCAATGTATGAGTGATGTTTTGGAGTTTGTAGCGTTCCGCGGCTTTAGTTTGCAAACTCCAAATTTCGGTTCAGTATCCCTTTAAATGAGCAGCACTTGCTTACGAAAGGTTATGCAACGTGACACATGGCAGAGGTATTGTGAATGTATGAAATACTTTTCTCCTTCATACATGCACCTCTCTTTGGGGACACTGCGTCATGTTCTCCGAAATGCCGCTGTGCACACAAACTGACAGTGAAATGCCTCCGTGCCCGCTAGATCATTTTTGAATACAGTTTAGCACTCAAAACATAAGGACACAAAGACGAGAATCAGACACCACAAGCACACTGTGGTGTCTGACTTTCGTCTTTGTGTCCTTGTGTTTTGAGCGCTAAAATGTATTCCAAGTTCCAAAACCAACTAGCCCAACAATCTACTCTACTAGATTAATTTACTATAATACACACAGCTGCGCTCTGCTGCTGAAACTCCCTCCCATGGCCTCGCTATGGTGTGACCAAAACCAACGTAGGCAAGCAAGATCCGTAAGAGTTCCGATAGAAAGCTATTGCTTTAATCTGCTGAATAGGCCTCTTGACTAAGCGGAACTTACAGCAGACGGCGTTCTCGCAGAAGGGGTCCAGGGAGAAGGACAGGAGGGCATCAGCATAGTTCTTCCGCCAGAGCTGTGCCCCGCTGTCAGCATGCCAGAGGACCAGAGTGCCCAGCGAGTACAGAGTCAGCAGGAGGTGGTGGCTGCTGTCTCCTCCCACCAGCCAGTTCATTTCTGCACAAGCGAAATCGAGTGTTGGCTAGGTCGTCCGAGCCCAGCCGTCTCAGCAAGGCTGGGTTGGCGAGTGTGGCAAGGCCGATGGTATGCAAACAAGCGTATGTTTCAAGACAGCAATTTAGCCAATTTTTGCTAGTCTCCCATTTGTCTGCAAGTTGGCACATCAATTCAATGAATTTGTTCGTAAATTGCGAGTCGAAATATTTTATGACCATACATTTTTTCCACTGTAATTGAACTTCATGTTCAATTACTCCAAATCGACTACTAATTGCCGCTCCTTGAAAGTGGCAAATAGTAGTAAGCAAGGCTGTTGCAAGTATGGGTGATACACATTCCTAACATATTCTGGGCTCTCACAAACACTTTGCTGCCCATCACTTTGTGAAAGCTGGAATAGAGACAACTATTTGAAAAACTTTCCTGTAAGGTCCCACATGTATTGCCATGAAATGTGCTCTGGTTAAATTTATTAGCCATACCCACAGAATCCTCTACGAGACAAGAGTGGTTGCATGAGTAGGACTAGGGTCACAAAATAAACTAAGTTTAAAGTATCGGCACTCCATTGCCTGACAGTCTTGTGGGCACTGCCACTATGTTGCCTAGTGCAAAGCAGATGCAATTTGCAATAGTCATACAATGATAAAATATTATCCCTTGAGCTTCAGATATACAATGTTACAATTTATAAAGCTTTAGATAACCAAAAACAATGATTTTTAGCAACAAGAAGGCTTAAGTGTCGTTACTCTGAAGTGCAGCCTATGTAGTGGCTTTAGGTAGGATCACTTGCAGCCCTGTTGGGGTTGCAGCATTCACTTGCCAAGCAGAGCACGGTCCGGCTCGGTCAGGGTGCTGCGCACAGTAGCCTGGGAGATGTCCCATACCAGCACCGTGCCTGAAGTGTCTGCGCTGGCCAGCTTCAGGTGGTATGGATTGACTAGATCGTGATAGTGCATGTGGCGCGACCACCGGACCTGCATAAGCAACAGATTAGCGCAACTCTGGCTTGAGCTCATCATCTAGCCGTAGATGGCGCACCTTGGTGACATTGTGGTTGTGTCCAGAAAGCGTCTGGAAGACCTGCAACAAAAGAAGACACTGGCGTATAAAATGTGAATCTGCTGCATGTTAGGATAGCAGGACAGGCCCCTCCCACAAAGCTCCCTGCTTGCAGCAACTGGTGGTTTCCTCGTCTCCAGCATTTGCTCTGCTAATGTGGCAAGAGTGGAGGGCTTCGTTGGAGGAGCTTATCCTGCTAAAGCATGACGATCAGCGTGTCCTCATATAACAGATCACTTACTTGCAGTCTTACACTTGGTGACATCCCCCTACCCAACGTCAGCAACAGCAAAATTCTCGCAGTTACATTCGATCAGCACCTAAATTTCATTAGACACGTGCACGAGACCACCTCCCGTGCAAGGCGCACATTGGGATTCATTACTCACATCACCCGCGGCATGCCGGCGGCATCACTTAGAGATCTATACACGGCTCTGGTGCTCCCTCAACTCGAGTTTTGTTCAGCTATATGGGATCCCCCCTCAACTGTCCTGAAGAGCTACCTTGAGGGTATCCAGCGGAGAGCAGCCTTCACGCTCTACAGACGCGTCTTCCCATCATCGTGCCACACGGCCTCGAGGGACCTCCCAACCGCAAGACTCCTACAGCACGCCAAGTGGCAGAGCCTACAACACCGTAGGGATGTGGCAACAATCAGGTTGCTCTGCCTCTTTATGGGCACTGGTCCGCCTGAAGTCCCCTTTTCACTGCGCCTCAACAAACGCACCGGCAGGCTGCAGCCCCCTCTATCGCGGACCCTGCACCACAGCAAGTTGTGGCTCATACGTGCTGCAATTCTCTGGAGGTCACTCCCCTCAAAGATGACAGAAACTTTCCCCGACCACCGTGATGACATTCGGGAGCTGTGCAGAGCAATCGCGTCCCCCATATAGTGTGTGTGTGTACATATATGTCCTCTTTAGGTACTGTACAGTATGTGTGCCTGGACCCTTTTGTCTGTCCCTGACCGATACTTATCTTCGTTCCCCCCCCCCCCTTTTTTTTTTTTTCTTCTAGTCTCAATTTATAGCGCCGCCCGGTCGGTGTCAGGGGCACTAAACGTGTATGGGCACACTGCCTTTCCCTGAATACCTGCACACCAGGCGGCACTGTACAATAAAAGTGCAATAAAAATACAATACAATACAATACAATTAACCTTGGCGAAAATGAACATTGTCGTGGGTTCACCAAGTGATGTACTCATTTCGTTAACAGGTGATGAGATTTTTTGCCCGTTCGTCTTCTGAACACCGTTTTCATCATTAGTCTAGTCAAGGTACATTCGTAAGAGTGGCCACAACAGGTGGCTTTTGTAGCACTGAGACTTTCCACGGCAAAACGTACCTTTGCATACTTCGTGTCGACGACGACGATATGCTTGTGGCACCCATATGCCAGTAAAGACTGGAATCCCCTGCAATTCGAGAAGATGACGTACTCCAGAATTATTAAGGCACATTGAGTGCACTTACATGGAAGGGGCACACAACCGTTTGTCTTTGCGGCCTTATACATGCTCCGAATTGTCGTGACATGCTTTAAGCGGTATCCGAATAATTCCACTAAACACAACGCCAGCAACTCACCACTCTATGGCATCTTTATTGGCTGGGGCAAGAGCACCGGGCAGGATCCTCGAAGAGATCTTTTTGATCACGGGATTCACCGTTCCGTCGTCGCTGCGTTTTTCGGAGGAATCCCGCGCTAGCGGTGACATCCCTCCGTCGGTTGCACCGACCATCGAAGCGTACGATGGGCGCAAATAGGAATGTAAAATGCCTTCACCTCACGAACTGTTTACACATACCAACACCCACAGCCAAAGAGCCTCATGAACTCATCCGACTGTTCATCACCACACGACCGCACAGACAACAGTGTCACAACACAGACTCCAGTCCATACCGTCCATACGTCCACACCAGTCCACACCTCATTGATCTGCGCATGACTGCGCATGACGTAAGGGGGTGGACAAATGCATAACAAACGCCACAAAACAGGCGGCGGCTTGCGCCATCTGGCTTGTGTTTTTATATCCGTGTGACGGAAGTACCCCTTCAGAACCGGGTATACGCACCTTCCGCCCAACAGATCGACAGGGAAATAAAATATTTCTTTCCAGAGTTCTGTCACCAGCCAGATAACCTTGATGATCTCCACCCTGCTAACATCCGCCATTTCCCCCCGAATTTCCTCACTAGGTCAGTCTCGTTTTTGCGAGATTTTGCGGATTTTGACTTATCACGGACATTAATAAAAGCATGGGCGTATGGGGGGGTGGCGGGGTTGGTTAGCTTCTCCACTCAAAAACAAGTTGGTACGCCACTGAATAAAAGTGTTCTTTTCTCCATTAATAACTTCTGTCAAAATTACTTACTGTGACAACTTGGTTTTACAGCTATGCTCTTCAGATATTTTTTAGATGCATTCTGAAACTTGATAACCAGCATTTCCACCAAAACATTATTCTGAGCCTGCCTAAAGCTTCAATTCATTGCATTGACCAGTACAGTAACACTGACAAACAGACGTACATGTTGCGTGGAGGGTTTCTATAGTTTCATGGACACACGTTTCGTTGACACAAACGTTTCACTGACACAAACGTTTCATCGACAATCACTACGCGAATTGCACGCTGCAGGGACATTTCATTACGCGTGCATCACTGCAGTGGGCGTTAACCCGTTCCCCCCGCCAGCGTTCACACCGGTTCCCGGCGACACTCTGCAGCGGCTCATTACAAAAATGCTAACCCACCTGGCTGACCCGTACACGCCGCTTTGAAACGGCAGTCTCATACAGCTTATTACAGAAAAAAGCTCATCTCAGCTGTTGATAAAACGATTTGTCAATGAAACATTGCATGTCAATGAAACTATCTGTTGATAAAATGTTGTTCCATGAAGTGATTGCCACCGATGAAAGCCTGTGCGCTAGATTTAAACATCACCACAGCGAGATCCAGCGCAGACATAAATTGGACACGAGTGCTGCAACAGCGTTCTGCTGCACCACACGTCCAGTCAACGCATTTGACTTGGGCCCAATTGCTAAGTTGGCACCATCCAAATGTGATGACATCAAGTAGAGGCAGAGGGTGCTGTTTACAATTTGATTATTCTAGCAGGTGTTAGCTGTAGTCGTTAACACATCCTGAACTTTTTCCCCATATTCAAAATAAAGAACTTTATGAAAACCCTCTTCCAACACCCTCCAAAATAGGCAAGAGGAAAGAATCTTTTGAGGCAAGCAATACTTGAGACCACCGAAAACGAAAGTTTTATTAAGCCACAGGTATTACAATACAATGTCATAAATAAAAATGCTCAGTTAGTTTTCCGCAAACATGGTGCCGAAAACGGGTGTTCACTTTTGTATGCAAATCATTATAAGCAATCCGCCCAGAGACGGTGTGTTGCACACAGTAATTGCACTAACCCATCGGTGCCAATGAGCCTAGTTCGGCTTCAAAGCGCCTGACGCGTGCACGCTGTGCGCCCGGGAAATACAAACCAAGATGTGGCAACTTCTCGCCCCCCGGCCAAAGTTCTTTCGCACCTGTTGGGGTATACTCTCGAAACAATTAAAATACAACTACTCCGCGACTGCTTCGAAGATTATAAATAACCGTTACGGAGCACAGTTTTAAAAAAAGATTACTACGCTACTAACGAAATGCGGGTATCAATCGAGAGTTGCACGCCAAAATCATACGGATAGCGTAGCGGCCCCAGTGTAGTTATACTCATTTTTGGTCCAAACAACTGCCAAGAAAACTCGAGCAAAAACAAAGACCCCTAAAATATATCACACAAAACGCTCCACTCACTCCTCTTCCTCCTCCACTTTCGCCAGCTTCCGTTTTCTCGTCTCGCTTCTGCACCGCCGCAACAAACCGATACGAAAAGGCACAACAAACTTCCGGGATACCATCGCGGCGGCTCTCGTCCAAAAATATACTGCCGTTTCTACCGTCACTCACGAAGGAAAGGAAAGGAAGGCAGGAGAGAAGGCGACCAAGCACAAAGCCAGCCGCCACCGTTGCCGGCAATCGCAGCGTCCCACCCAAAAGTATATACAGGCCGAGAAGACGGCAAAAGCAACCGCAAAACAAGCCAGAGTCCACCGCCGCCAGTTATAAGCGTGCAGGGGGTCGCAGCGCCACACTCGTCGGATAGCATCTGCATGCAGCAGATAGTTTCCACATATCGCGACAGTGGGCGGGGCCCCCAAAACTAGGGCGGGCACGGATCGGCTCGGCTAGGGGCTAGACAGCATACTTCAAAGAAAGTCAAACTAGAATAAGCAAAACACAAACCCTGCAAAACAAGTAAAAAAAAAAAAAAAAAAAAAGCAGCTTTGTAGTTATATTTTGTCCGCGATTGTATTCCTAAAAGGGAGAATGTTGAAAGAGGAAAAGCAGAGGGGGAGAGAGGGGGATGTTTCAGGCTCTGCCATATAATTGGCTCGCACCACCTTTCTGGGCTAACCTCCTCGCTCAGAGACAAACGGGAAGCGCCCCACTTTGTCCCGCACCGTGTGACAAAACCCGAATCTTCCGGAGCAGGTGTGCGTGTGCAACCGGGATGCTGCTGCATGTGCGTGTTGTTTCACTTTCTTTCGTTTCCCTAGCTTCGCGTTGCCAGTTCGCCACAAGGGGACGGAAACACTGGAAAGCAACAAAGAAAAATAGCAACAAAAACTGGAAGTGTCGAAGTGCCAAATTAAGACCCTGCGAGGAAAAGCGCGCACGTCTGATCCCTCGGCAGTGCTAGAAACACCAAGGTGTCCGAGCCAGCCGCTTCCATCCGGCATGCCATAAATAACCCCCAACAAAAGAAAAAAAAAATTAAAACACACTAAAAAAAGACTTAGTAGACACAAAATGTTCGTACCATAAAAAGAGCAGGGGACCATAAAACAACCTAGGTAGGCTTAACCATATGGACTGGTAGAATGCATCAAGCGGTTTGGTTCTATAAAGCACTTTGCCTTCTCTTTGGAAGCTGTTGTGCTGGTTTGCAGTATACAGTGCAGAAGAGAGATGTTCCAGGGAAAGCATGCATGAGCAAGACACAAGCAAGGCCTTCGGTTGGTTGTCTCTGTCATCCTCCTCGGCTGGGAGCTGCAGCGGCGGTCTGTGTAAGCGGCGGCTGCAAACAAACGGAAGAGACGGAAGTCATCGGGTCTGCCGGCAAACAACCGTCTTGCGGTCGCTACATGGGTAGAGTGACAAGTTGTTACATTGAAAACAGCCTGCCAGCCAGCATATAACTAGCAGCAATGTCTCAGACAAGCAGCTAGTCAGAGACATCGTAAAAAGGAAAGGAAGCAAGAACAAAGAAACTGCGTGGGAAGAGAGAGAGACTAAACGTGTAGAGGGAGAGTTTGACAATTTCTTTCAAGCACCAAATGAGCAACAATCTAAGACCTTGCTGATTTTATGGAGCGTGCCACAATAAACATGGACTTCATTATTATTTTTTTATTTTTATTTTTTTTTTTAATTTTGAGAATTGTATAAGTTTATTAAGGGGGACACTAGCCCCCAAAAAACAGACAATTTCTACCAAAAAAAGTCAATTTTGAAAAATGCCATATTTACATTCACCAACATCTAGAGAGCATTCCCAAAACGTTTCATTAGTTTACACTGCATAGTTCAATTTTATAGCTTATTTTCGACCCACCGATGCTAAAGGAAAGGTAGCGGTTGAAGCACTTCGAACACATTTTTCTATGTTCCACTTTTTGCCATAAATTTCACTTTAGGAAAACTATTGTTTTCCTATTACACAGCAGAAAATTACTCTTAGGTGGTTTTCTGAGATACAATTTTGTGAGGAACATGCCTGGCTGGTTAGTTTTTCTACTTTAACATTCTTTTATGCTAAAGAAAACTACATGTGTAAAAAAAAGCAGACATGAAATTTTTTTTTTTTAATCTTCTTATGGAGTTATACTTATGAAAAACAATGTAATATAGCAAAGTAACTAGCTGGGTATGTGCTATGGGTATTTCTATGATTATGTTAGAAATATTTATTTTATTTTAAAACGATGGATTTTTTAAACGAACACACTGTCTTCCATATTGTAACATTCAAAACAAGTTTCAGAATTGACATAGGACAATGAAATTTGGCAGGGATGGTCTTGCCACTCATATAAACTTCCACTGCACATTTGAATGAAATCCAGCAAGCGGTACAGAAGATGACTTTTCTGGGCTACCTCAACTAACCATATTTTCTGACTCCCCAACCTTTACCCTTTCCTGTATGCTATTTAGAATCGCAAAATTCATAATAGTTATAGTGAAATCGGCAAGTGAGAATGATGCGAAAACCAACGTTTAAAGATACCCGCACTTTTCAGTGCCGTGACGTCAGTGGCGGGCAGGCTTGCGAGTAGAGCAAGCGGCCTAAAGAATAGAACATGCCAATCATTTGTTCCGAGCTGAAGCGCGGGTACTGGAGCGAGCATCCAAAGCATTCATTTGACACCATGAAACTGCTTCGAATCAAATGGGCACAAATTCTAGTCCAAAAAGTGAGCCCCTGCGTTCCACTGATGTCACTTTTTCGTTGTTGCCAGTAGAGACTTTCAGTTTGAAAAACACGGGGAGGACCAAAACTGTAAATTCAATAACTTCGCGTGAAAAAAATATATTTTGACCTACGTAATATTTGGGATTCTATTTTAACAAAGTTTGTGGGCGAGCTTAGCGAAATTTCAAGAAAATCGGAGACCATGAAGAAATCGCCGGAGTACCCCTTTAGAGGCCGACGACCAGACTCGAGATTCTGCAAGGCAGAAGATCCTCCTCACCATGGGGAAGGAGGAAGCAAGCAACGGTGGACAGGGAGAAGGGGGGAGAGGAGGAAGCGAGGGAAACGTGGAAAGTGCGAACTGGTTGTCGGTCCTTAAAGCTCCTTAGAAGGAGAGTTGCAGGAGCCCTCAGAAAATTCACACTCTCGCAGTGCAGCAAAGCCACCTTAGCATAATCCTTGCAGACGCTATGTGAACTGCAGGACTAGTCGTTTCTCTGGATTCCTAGTGCCCACAGCTCCTTGTGACAGTCCTTGCACTGGTGACACGAGTTGTGTAAAACCACAACAAAGTCAGAGAGCTTCTTTTCAGGTACCACTGACTTTGCCGTCCATTCACTAGAACGATCCCAACCTCGGCAAAAACACCATGTATCCATGTAAACAAAGCTGTCCATTGCTCTCCCATGTCCCCATCCTTTAAGTACAAATAGTAGAAGCTATCCTCCCCACTCGCAAGTTGTGTGGAGAGGCATGGATACGACAGCATGAAATTGCACAAATGCTATCTCGGCAAGGAGCTACAGAAGAGACTACAAAAGGGACAGATGCTATATCGGCCAGGAACTACATAAAGGAGGAACTCCATAGGAACTACAGAAAGGTCTGTGGAAGGGACCATGGGAGGAACTAAAAGGGAACGGCACACTGGTACCTTAGACCCATGTTGTTGTAAAAAAAGGTATCTCCAAACTCCGGTCTAAAAACATGCTTTTCGTGCAAGGCTTGGCGGATTTTGAGGCATTGAAGAAAACCATCTTTTGCGTTAAGTCCTTATTCCAAACTCTTTTTGTTCGTGTTCCACCCACTGAAAAGCATGTGGGAAGGACCTCAGCACTCACCTTGTAACGCTGCATCGCAGTGTTTTTCCACAGCATAAAGGCTGTCTGCTTTCATTGCTGTCACTATGGCAATGAACGCCGATTTTTCCCAACGCCGTTTGCCAGCCATATTTTAAAAGTTTTGTAATGAGCCATAGACTGTCGCCGCAAAGCGGCGTGAACACAGGTGGGGGGAGGGGGGGGGGGGAGGGGGTGAACAGGCTCCCTAGTGATGCACGCGCCATCCGAAAAGGTCATTCGGTATTCATTGTCATGGTGATGGCGATGAAAGCAGACGGCTTTTGTGCTGCAGAAGAACATTGTGACGCAGCGATACGAGGTGCGTGCTGAGGCGCTTCCCACAGGCTTTTCAATGGGCGGAACATGAACAAAAAGAGTTCAAAATAAGGACTTAACACAGAAGGCTGGTTTTCTCCAGTGCCTCGTAATTTGACAAGCCTTACACGAAAAGCGTTTTTTTTTTTTTTTTGCCCTCCCGCGCCCTGTTTTTCTTAGCCGTAACATGGGTCTAAGGTATCACTCTGCCAAGGGAACTAGAGAGAAAACTAAAATAAAAACTAAACAAGGGACTACAGAAAGAACTCCAAAGGAACTCCAAAGGAATTACAGAGGGGACTACAGAGGGGACCACAGAGGGGACCACAGAGAGGACTTTTGCACTGGTGTGTTCCTCTTGCATGAGTAGTCACCTTAGGCCTTCTCCATAGCTGCACTGGGTGGCTGGTAGACCATGCCGCCGCCACGGATGGCCGCCCCAACTGGGGCATGTGGCTGCCCGGCTCGGATTGGCTTGGCTGGTGGGAATAATGTGGACACACACATGTTCAATCAGAAAAGACTGCATTTTAAAAAAAGTGAAAGCCGCTTACAACTTCCTGTAACGCCGAATTAGAGCGCAGCTCTTGAGGAGGAGGAGGGAAGGGCACTGGGGGGGGTTGAACTAACCAGGGGAGGGTCACGTGACCTTGGGGGGTCACGTGACCTTGGGGGTGACGTTACCCCCAATGCCGATGATGTCATCACTGACGTCACTGATGACGTCGTCAGTGACGATGACGATGCGGGTACCAATGACGTCATTAGTGACGTCACTGATGACTTCACCAGTGATGATGACGATGACGATGCGAATGTCGGTGACGTCATCAGTGACGTCGCTGATGACGTCATCAGTGACGTCACTAATGACGTCATTGACGTCTAATGACGTCACTAATGACGATGCGGATGGCGGTGACGGCATCAGTGACGTCACTGATGACGTCATCAGTGATGATGACGATGACGATGTCGGTAACGTCATCAGTGACGATGACGATGAGGATGCCGGTGACGTCATCAGTGATGATGACGATGACGATGTGGATGCCGGTGACGTCATCAGTGATGATGACGATGACGATGTGGATGCCGGTGACGTCATCAGTGATGATGACGATGACGATGTGGATGCCGGTGACGTCATCAGTGACGATGACGTCATCGGGGGGTCACGCGACATCGGCGGGGGCCACGTGACCTCGGGGGGTCACGTGACCTCAAGGAGGGGGTCACGTGACCTCGAGGAGGGGGTCACGTGACCTCAGGGGAGTCACGTGACCCCGGTGGGGGGCTCACGGGGTGCATTATGGGACATTTCCCATGATGCACCGCACGGTTACGCCGACGCCGCTCAAGCCGGAAACTGGCCCCTAAGAGCTGCGCTCTAAAAACGAGAGAAACAACTTTCCAACGAAATGCCACTCGACACTATCTGCTTGCTCGATGAGAGTAGCAAAAAAGCTTTCTATTACACTTTATCTGACAAGCCAAGCATGTTGCTGCTACAGCACTCATTTAATTCAAACCTGAAGTGACTGGCACATTTAATTATCAGAAGTGATCTGCACACCAGAGAATTTAAAACAAACTTCTACAGTTATGGATGTTGCAATGATGGGAGCAGATGTCTAGACTAAATGAACTGATCAGCATATTCACAAAATTTGCGCAACTTAAGGAGTGTACAGTTCTAAACCCGATTTTTCCAAGTGTAGACTCCCAAATGCTGGCCCTTAAAGCCCGACCTACAAAAAGTTTTTCTGCAGGGTGGGAAAGTCCTCCTTGCCAACCCTCACAATCCACCCCTCCCACTGCTATCTTTATGTTGGGGGACTCCTTTTGGTGTTGCCTCTTGGGGACTGGATAAGCCAGGATCTTCTCCCGGCTTAGCCAGCTCCAAGAGCCAGCAACAAAGGGCGTTCCCCGCCGTCAAGGTAGCAGTGGGAGAGGGGGAAATGTGAAGGGTGTCAAGAAGGGCCTTCCTAACCCGCTGAAAAACTTTTTGTAGGTAGGCCTTTAAAAGAGCTGTGCAGCGATTTTAACGTTGAAAGAATCGGCATCTTCTGCTTTTGATATTGTTCACCTTGTCACAAATGACAGAAAACACACCTCTTTTCATCAAAATATTGCGATTCTGCCGCGCAATAGCGAGGCAAAACTTGGAATATTCCCCGACCTGCAGCCGCGAGTGGCGGCCATGAGAAACATGCGGCGTGACGTCAATGGGGAATCTTGTAGAAAGATAGCAAGTTGTGCGAATACCTGCTCGATAAAAGGTAACTTTTCTATAAATCTTGTCATTCCAACATATATATAAATGCGTCAAAAACCTGGTATCATCGCCAAAACTTTTATTATACAGAGTTTTATTGGCGCCATCTATCCTAGGTCCACAAAACCCTCAGCTCTCTCTGCTACTGCGAACAGCCGCCAGAAGCCAAAGGGGGAGGGAGATAGGGCCGGACGGGTATAGCCGGACCCGCATGAGACTTTCCTCCTTTCACCTTATTGTTCGCGCGGCGCCCGCCAGCACGTGGTCACGCGGTCGCGAGCGGTTGAGTTCTTGCTGCTCACTGATGGCTCTAAGGAGAGAACTTTTCCGGAACCCCGCGCCTATGCCATCAACGTCACTGCGCACGTGACCCGGAAAACGACGTATGAGTTGAGAGGCAGCAAAAACCTGGATCTTTTTAATCTTTTTAAATAAAAACTAGGGTATCCAGGCAAAATCTGTTTTCTGTAGTTCACTTCAAAAGTGTCAGGCATCAACTTCCACAATAATTTAAGCAAAGCCCTGAAATTGTTGCACAGCTCCTTTAAGCACGAAGTCCACTTATGACAAGCTCTTCTGTTGAAGACTAGCACACCGTAAGTGGTTACGCTAAGCTGCGACGTTACCAGCGCTGCTTCCAGGCACAACCAACCTCTAAGTCTACTAGATGCATCTGGTAGGTTCCATTGGAAGAAAAGTAGTAGCAAGTATGAAAAAGCCACACCAAGCTTAGCTAATGCACACACATAGGCACACCGTTGTCTGTGCATTGGCTCGGGAACTATCACAGCTTTGTACTGCTGTGCATAATGCACACAATAAGATGGAAAAAAAAAAAAGAAAAAAAAAGATTGATGTCAGTTTAGGATGACATGTCCCTTCATTTAAAAGGCTCTTACCGATCTGGGCCATGTGAGTTCTCCTGGCCAAGTTCTTCTGCCTGACTGCCTCCTTGATGCGATCCACCTCATACTGGTAGCTGCAGTGGGAAAGACACGAGGCATTCAGAGATGCTTGGTTGAGCAACCCAGCAAAGCAGGCATGCTAACCAACCAGAAGATTTCGACAGAGCTTGTAAACCAACGTGGACTCCGGCATTAGTTGAAAGCGTGCCCGTATGGGCGTTCACAGGAATTTTTTTGGGAAGGAAAGGGCACAGCCCTATTTGTTTTCCTGATACAGGCAACCCTGTAATTGTGGAGCTTTACTGTTGGACCCTATTGGGGAGGAGGACAGACCGTGATGCCCCAAGCGGTTAACCTAACAACTACACGGATGGGGACAACAAATACAATGACGCAGCGTTCGGCCGACATAACCGAACGCGGCGTCAGCGTTCGGCTGGAGTTCCGTGTTCTCCGGCGAAGGGGAGGAGGGGCTCTTTTGTTTCCACTCGGCCCGCATGAACAATGCAGCATGCACGATCCCAGCTCATCACAAAAGCCGAAGTGGGTCAAGCTCGCATTTTTTGAGGATAGATCCGGCACTTAACGTCGCTTCGTCAATTGTTAGTATTTTTTTTATTAAACTGCACCCCGCGCTCTATAGTAGAAAATGACATGGCCATGCCCATAAGGCCTGTCGGCATGTGCACAGGCCTTGTGTTGAGTAAACACCAAGCGTGGGGAAAACAAACGGGTCAGAGCGCCCCCTATAGTCCGATCTCCTGCCCAATACCCCAGAAAATTCCAAGGGGGGGGGGGGGGCAACTGACCCCCTTGCAGTCCCTCTGGAGGCCAATGCACCCATGCATGCCCATACAAATCACTGAATTCTGCACGTTGTTCCTGATAGCATGACGGAATTCAAGGAGGGGCACTTTCACGCTGAAGTCCCTACACTTCATATCGTCATATGAACCCCATCCCTTATAAAAGCTTTGATAATCGCTTAGGACTCCACAGAAACATCATGGTATGCCGTCTTTGATGCTGCCATTCTTGAATCGAGTGTAGCAGCCATTCGAACATGCGAATATGTAAAAAATATGCAAATGCCAGAAACAGTACGAAAGGGAAAGCAAGTGAAAATGGCAGAAAAGGGCCACTGACCGCTTTCTGTCGCGCATGGCACTCTCCTTCGCTTCTTTCAGAGCAGTTTCCAGAGCCTTGACTCGCTCCATCGTTGCTCGCAAGCGCTTTTCCAGCTTAGGCAGTTCGCAGCGCAAGTCGGCGTTGTCACGCACCAACTGCACAGGAGAGGAAAACCGAGAAGTTGGGGAACTGCTTGGACAACTGCGGCAGCTCCTTGGCACGGACATAGGCAACACAAAACAAGACAGTTGCAGTGTATCGGGAACCAGCTAGGAGAAAGAACCTGCTTGCAATAGCCGCTCTATGAAGTGCTCTCTTCGAGAACCTACAGACAACCACAACTAATCGCCCACCCCAATTTATGGGCAAATATTGATTTCCAAAAAAACACAGAGTCATCGCCCCACCCCTACAAATTCCCCAACGCAAACTCTGCAATCTGCGAATACTCATCCTACCCGAATGACGCGAACCTTACAGTTGGAAGACGTCTGTTACAAAGTAAAACAAAGGAGGGAAAGATATCTCTTTGCTTACGCATTTCCTCCGCGAGCGACCCCAAAGTCGTAGTGCATTCGTGCAAAAAGAAAACAATGGAAATAACAAAATGAAACTTTGTTTTGCTTACAAAAAATTCGTCGGACAAAAAAAAAACAGTCGGAAAAATAACACAAGCAGTTACCCATTCAGGAATCGCGAGGTTAGCGAACGACCCATATTCTGGAATATAACTGCGGGGTCAAAGTCTGTCTCCGCCGAAGGTTGCTGCGGACCTGCTCCTTCTCCCGGCATGTAGCGACCACGGTTGTGCAATGTTTGAAGCAAAGCCAATGAGTAAGGTTTGCTGGAACGCTGAACACAGATGTTTGTAGAGCGTCCTATTTCGAGCTCCGTGTTCATGGTGCCGCAAAGCATCGCAAAGTATCGTTTTTCGTTGCTCCTTTTGTCTGCCCCCCATCCAAAGGGTTTGGCCGTACGTCCATACGTCCAAAAAGCAATGCACCCTGTCCCACCTGCTTGTGGACCTTGGTAAGCTGGTCCAGGTTGTTCTCGAGGAAGGCGATCTTCTGCTTTTGGGCCAGGCTGCCCCCCGAGGCATCCTCCGAATCCTCTCCGGCCGAGGCCTTCTTCACCCGGCTCTGCAGGTCCTGCACGAAGAGCTTGCGCAGGTTGTGCAGTGTCTGCAGCTCCTTGGACACAGTCTCCTCCAGGCCCTTCAGGTCCTGGCGGGCCTGCTCACGCCGGGCATTCAGGAATCTGCATTTGGTGCGGGAGGTGGTTACTCGGCATTTGCTGGATGCACTCTCAAGCAGGAGAGCAGGGTTTTGTAGTAGAAACAGTCTTTCTGCTAGAATAAAAGGAGCCGTGTTCTAGTATCGTTTAACGCAGAATGTGCTTTATGAGGCGTTTCGCGCGATGAAATCGTCATGAACAAGCGTCATAACGACCATCGTGAAGATTTTATATAAAGTTAATACATAAAGCTCAAACACTGGTGGGGCTCGAACCTGGGTCGATGCGATGGCAGCCGGATATCGTAGCCACTAAGCTATTAGCACAGCTGATCTGGACGGATAAATTACCGTAATATCCCGAGTCATTGCCCACCCCCCTACCGCCTGAAATTCATTAAAAAAGTGGGGTGGGCCATGTCTCGGTGGGTGAGCACAAACACTTAAAAAAAAGCGGAAAAAACCGCCTATTTTTCTCTGCGTATCTAGCGCTGATGCACAAAAGATACATCAAACTCAAAACTCGATTTAGCTTCATTGTTTTATAGAAAAAAAAATGCTCTATAGCGAAGTCCGTTGCTTGCATACGCGCTAGAAACACCGCCGATCTGCATATAGCGCGTACGTTTGTTCCGTGAAAGAATGTCACCACTATGTTCTCCTAGTTAGTAAAAAAAAAAAGAAAAGTCTACAAGAAAATAGAAAAACCAACCAGGCGCAACGAGCGAGCGAGCGGACCAAAGAAGCGACCAAGAGCAATGCTGGGAAAGCGGGAAAGCCGGCGGTCGCGTTGGCAAATACTTTGGCCTCGGGCCAAGTCGGGCGCCTTGTCAATTGCAAGCTCTTGCGCAACTTTCTTGTTTGGTGCGTACATACGTGCGTTCGTGCACGGCGGGCTATTAATGCACGGTGGGTACGCTCTGCAAACGTCTGTGTAGGGCGTTCCAGCAAAGCTTTATTTACGCGTTGGCTTTGCCTAAAATATTGCACAACCGCGGTCGCGACGGGCGGGAAGAAGGAGCGGGTTCGCGGTGACCTTACTTCGGCCGAGACAGACTTTGACCTAACACTCCGCGGTTACATTAACAAACTCTTATTTTGTTATCTCCATCGTTTTCTTTTCGCACGGATACACGACCACTTTGGGGTCGCTCATGGAGGAAATGCGTAAACAAAAAGAAGTGTCTTTCCCTCCTTCGTTTTACTTTGTCACGGACGTCCTCCAACTGTAAGGTCCGCGGCCGCGTCATTCGGGTAGGATGAGTGTTCGCGGATCGCAGAGTCCGCGCTGGGGTATTTGAAGGGGTGGGCGATGACTCGGTGTTTTTTCGGAAATCAATATTGGCCCCAAAACTGGGGTGGGCGATGGCTCGGGGATGGGCGATGACTCGGGATATTACGGTAATGATTTATTTGGAGGGATAAAATCTACACCATGCCTTGGCCTTCAAAAATTAACACAGAATCTTTAAAAAAATGTAAAAAAAAATGAATGCAAACGTGTTGGTTGGAACGGCAGGTTTTGGGTGAAAATATAATTTAAAACAAATAAAAACACAACCAAAATTAATCAGTAAAAATACAATACAAATAAAATAATAAAACAAATAACAGAATGAGAATAAAATTATAACAAAAAAATAATAAAACACCCGAAAAATACTTGGAATAAACAAAATAAAAATAGATAACAAAAAGATTGAAAAATCTTACACAAACGACACCACACTGAGTGTGGTTTGTGTGGGACACATTGTGTGCTCCCTGGTATTTGTCCGCATGATCAAGCCTGTACAATTTTCCTTGTAAGTAAGCTCACTATTTACTAGTACTATGTACTGTTCTGCCCGCCAAGAATCACCCTCACTGCATCTAGCCTCGCCGTACCCTTCAACTAGACACCAAATGTGGCGAGAATGACTCGGGGGCCTAACCCCATGGTTTGGTGTCTCGTTGACAACGAGTGAACCTAAAAAGCAATGGTGCCACCAACTCCAATGAACAAAAAAAATGTTTCCAGCAATGCGTCCTCCCTTCTGGATAAGACTCGAACTAAACTCGGTGCCACTCTTAAGACGACACGGAAGTCTGCACACAGCTGGGAGCAATGCATTACCAAACCCCAGCCCAAACTATGAGGTGATCGATAATTCTGGCAGTTGCTGAAGCTGCTATGCAAACACAATGTTAGGCAGACTCAAAGACGATCATGCTTTCTTGTTTCGCAGATCTGTCTCTTGTCTTTAAAACGGAGAGTAGGGACAAGATCTGGAAGGCCTCCAACTAAGGGCACAGAAAGGCTCGGGCAAAACAAAGCTGCTCTCATACTCACTGTAGTTCCTGCAGCTTCTGGCTCTTCTCCTGTTCCTCCTGCTTCAGCTTCTCATATTCTTGCTGCAGGCGGTCTTGTGCCAGGGACAACTTCTGGTTGGTGCTGCATCAACAGGCAATGCCGCCAGTCACACAAGGCATCTCTCAAAGCCGGCACTACAAGCTTCAGCAGATGCTCTGTTTACGGCAGTGAAGAAACGACTCACACCTCAACCTTTTGCTACCTGCAAGGAAATTCTGAAGAGGCATGCATCGTGGGAAAGAGCTAGCATTCCCAGTTCTAAGAAATAAAGAAATTTTACTAGGTGCTTCAATAAACCATTGCTGGTGGCTGGGAATTTTGAGGACAAGAGTCTAGCAAACACTTGTCAATCATAACTATTCCAATTTTCACATTGAGATATCTTTAGAGGTGCGCAAATACCAGTGGCTCGAATCATCTGAACGCAGGGTTCTCCTTGGAAATTTCCGAGATGTGGAGATACGACAATCCCCAGGGTGTTGGCAGGGACGAGGGGGCCATAACTGGACTTTTTGGTGCCGCTATGGCCCCCTCCTCCACCAGCGATCTTGTTTGCAGGGATTAGGCAGTTCAGATGCGTAGTGCCACACAAATCTGCCAAACTTAACAATCTGGTGCGTCGCGCATTTTCAAAATCGGCACTGTCTTGTCCAGCAGAGCTAAAATATAGAGGTGGGCTGGACATTGTAGAGATGGGCAGTCAGCCAGACTGGTGGGCAGCAAAACCACAGGTGCCCACAGTGAGGAGAGCCCTGTCTGGACGCCATCATCGAGAGCAGTGCCCTGGACAGCTGCCGAGTCGGCGCTTTTAAATGAAAACTCCTATTCTTGTGCTCCTTATATTATTTGGTTCATGGCAATTACACAAACAGTTGTTTAAAAGCTTTTAGAAAGCATGTTCACGGATAGAATAGACCGCAAAACCCAGTCAATGTGAGTGCAACATTTAGGTTTCGTTCAGGGGAGGTATTTTTCAACACCGAATTTTACTCCTTCAGTTGGTGCCTAAGATGGGCATGTATGTTTCACCACGCTAATAGTTTTAGTGACAGTCTCTGTCACTAGAAAAAAAAAGAAGAAAACCTTACATCACTTACTTGTTAAAACTGTATTGTGCTCTGTAAATGTTGCATGTATTTTCAACAAAAATTACATACGGTAAACAAATCTTTTTTTTCCAAACTCAATATTTTGTGAAAACTCGATATTCGTGAAAGCAATTATTTGCGACTTTGTTCAAGTCGCAAATGTCGCAAAGGACTTAAGTCCTCGCAAAAATTAAGTCGTTTGTAGAATATTGTCCTCCTACATGTAGGAGAGCATACACACCGTATGTTGACGGGGGGATCATCTCAATCGAGGAAGAGACCAGCCAAGTGAAACCACTGTGTCTCCAGGCTGACCGTCCTTAGGGCAAAAAGGGGAAGGGCCCAACTCACTCCTTGAGCTGGTCAATGTGGGTCATCTTGTCGGCGATCTCGTCCCGCAGCGAGGACAGCTGCTTCTGGTGGGCGTCCCTGTGCTTCTCGATCTGCTGCTCCAGGGCCTCTTTCATCTTCTCGGCAGAGTCCTTCTCCTTCTCCTTCTCCTTCGAGGCCATGATGTGCATCTCCTCTGCATTGCCGCAAACATGCAAAGACGGACATCACCGACTGCATCCAAGAGCGAGAGAATCTTGCCTCTCTATTGCAAGGGATGAAGAACCAGGCAGACTAAGCGCAAACGAAGTTCCAGACACAACTACTGTTTCCGCATCGGAAACAATAGTCATGGGCAAATCTATTTAAAGCCTACCCAATGAAGAACAAGCAAACTTGAGGTTAGCGCATCAGACCAACAAAGGTCATCTGGCACGCCCCAGCGGAGAGCTGAGGATTACTTTCGACCACCTGGGGATCTTTTGATGTGCAACCAAAATCTTGATTACATGGCGTCTTCTCCGCAATAAGCCTCTGTTAAGTGTAAGCAGCTCGGTCGGGATTCGAACCCGCCACCTGCGGATCCACAGGCCGGTGCTATTCCTCAGAGTCCACACGGGAATGGTGGCTTTTCCACACCACACGTGTCATAAAGGAAAAGCATGATATGACAAGAAGCCAACGTTTCATCTACCAATTCAGCATAGCTACTGCAAAAACTTCATTACATTAAACAATGTTGTTTAATGCAATGACATTACTGTTAGCTCTTAGGCGCACTTGAAAGCTACGCCTTCTCCATCTGCGGCCAACTCGAGCAAGTTTGCTCACCAGCTGCCTTGAGCTTGGAGCATTCTTCGTTGAGCTCGTCCAAAGACTCTTCTAGCGAGCGTCGCTTGTTCTCAATGTCCTTCATCGACTCCTGAAGAGACTTCATCTTGGCCTCGTACTGAAACACACAACCAGAAGGGTTTCCACAGGCAAAACAAAGCACCGTCGAAGTCGCCTTGCCACATGACCGCTTTTCAAAAACAGTTTCAACTGAATTCTAGTCTTTTCAAGGTATACAAGCTTTCCTTGTTGAAGTCGACATTTGTGAGATGTACAGCGCAGCTCGTCGTAATATGACGAAATGTATCTTTACGTTAGCTAGAGATGCATTAGATAGTCCATTCTCTGTAGTGCTGCTGTGAATTGATCAACAGAAATCTTTAATCTCAAAAATGACCTAAATCAATCTCAAATCATCTGATAAAAATTTGGCTAGAAATACCCACTTTCAAACTGGCTCGAGTGAAGCAAAACATTCCAAGCAACACAGAGTACCCTGAATAATGCAAATGACACTGAATTTAGGTTTGAAATTTATCGCCTCTGAAATATTTTTAAGGACTGCAAGACAGCTATCTATTCACTATTAGAAGAGTCATTTGGTTGTGTTATGAAGTTCGGCAACAAAGTAGATTATTATGCATTGCCAAACTCAAAACATTTGTGCGAGGCTGAGTTGCCTTCCTCTTTGAACAAAAAGCAGCAAGGAGTCACAGTCGCTACTCCATAATTCGACATAATTTGAACATACAAGAGGTTTCAGGAATGCGTATCAAGGAAAAGGCTGGCCACAACTTCAGAGCTTGCAGAGATGGATAAGCATTTGTGCAAATGCAGAAGAGACTCACCTGGCTGATAAGTAGCCTGCACTCTGCAAGGTCCTTTTCATTGGACTCAATCTTCTTGTTGCAATCCGACTGGAATGACTCAAGCTGGTGGCAACGCTGGGTATGACAAGACAACAAAGCCACTAGTGAGCCACACCCTTCCTTCCAACTAAAATAAAGCATCACCTTAAGCCGATGCTAAAACACTTCCCCTCAGCCATAAAAAAAAAAAAAAAAAGATATATATATATATATATATATATACAACACGGGCACTTCACGTCATCGTACGTGGTCTCCGAGGGGGATATATATACAGTCTAAGCTCATTACAACAGACCTGGTTACAACAGACATTTGGATATAACATAGGGATATTTGTGAAGTTTGGTTCGTTTTCCTCTACATACCTTTGACTCCACTTCATATCTACATACAACATACTCCTCTTATAACAGATTGAAATCTTGGTCAAAATCAAGGTGTGTTATAACGAGCTTAGACTGTATGTATGTATGTATGTATGTATATATATATATATACATATATATAAAGAAATACATAATATGTAAGAGTGCAGTGGCCTCACTGAAATTCTCACCAGCATACTTTAAAAGCATGGTAGTTCAAACATGCTCATACTGTTAAATTGACCTTCTGAACTTGTTCAGCCATCTTCTATGTATTAAATACAAGTGTCTTTGTAAGAAATCATGTCACAAACCGTCAAATTTTGTTAACAAACGCATAAACTCGAGATAAGGGCGAGAATATTTTGGCTCGCAGCAGATACATCGATGCATTGCAAAGCTGGGTATGCCTAAATTGAGAAGAGGCATTGTTTATCGGTATGCAAAAGTGAGAAACGTTAAGTTCTCAAGAAATGCCTTCGGGTACTACGGGGCTCCTCTGGGCTGCTGGGAACTAAGCGAACCCCACGGTTCAAAGAAACTGGATGAACACACGCAGGATGTTGCATTTCATCACATTTTTTTTTTTTCTTTTTAGCAGAGATTTCACAGCAGCAGTTACAAGGCACACAGCACAGTACGTTTCGGCGACCTTCAAGGCTGTCTCGTTCCTAAAAGACTTTTGCGAGGGGATGATCTACGACAGCCTGCGAGATGAGAAAACTTCGTGATCCAAATAAAAAGAAAAAGTGAGAGCTCACCTGAGCCAGGGCCTTCACTTCGGACTTCATCTTGCTGATGTAAAGGCGGGCGACCGTGAACTCCTCCTCGATCTTGCCGTTCATGTCTGTGCCTGGCTGCTGTCCACAAAGGAGACAGAAGAAGCACCCGCAACACATGAGGACACACTCGCGAGTCGACTTGTGGTCCTAAGAACCGCCTCTGCCGCAGGCCGGCATAGACACTCCAGTGGTCGCCTTCTGTGCACTGCCCCCTTTGTTTACAGGGCTATAAAATGTGTTTAACGCATGCAGAGGAGCTCTCTTCTGCATGCAAATTATCAGACGCAAGGCACCGATGCAGACCCCGGTGACTCTGCATTTTTCGCAGGCCGATAAGCACCGCAAAGATGTATGAACACGCTATGTTTCGACTCCCTAGAAATTCTAAATGTAATCCAAGAATGTGGTACAGCTGCATGCCTATGAAAGTGGACATTCTATTGGTATTACATCTGGGTGTCCAGTTAAACAATAAGTGCAGGCAGCACGGACACTGGATGTCAAGAATGATGGCGTTTCGATTCAAGCATGTTCAACCACGACAGAAAGGCAGACCTGTCAAACTAGAATCAAAACTAATCATGATCCTAATTATCCTTGCTGCGTATTCGCTACCTAGCGTGGCGGGAGCTGCCACGCCCTGCGTTTCTTAGGCAGTCGACAATCCCAGAAACGCGGTGCGCACCTTGACGTCGGCCGAGTTGCCTCCGAGCACGGTGCCGATCTCGCCGAGGTCCTTGAGCAGGCTGGTGAGCATCTCAGTGGTGCGCTTCTTCTGGTGCACACTGTGGTCCTTCATCTGCTGCAGCTCGTTCTGAGCGCTGTTCAGCTGGCTCAGCTTCTGGTTCAGCTCCTCGCTGAGCGTCTCAAACTCCCGGTTCTTGGTGTCCACCTCCTGGGACTTCTGGTCATAGTTGACGGCCAGCTCCTCCAGGGCCTGCAGCACCTCCTTCACCTCCTCCTTGGCAGACTCGTTCTCCTGCTGGATGCGCAGCATCTCTTGCTGCTGGCCCCCGTAGTCGCGCCGCATGGACGTGATCAGCTGCGTGGCGACGAAACAGGGCAAGTTACTCCACAGTCGAGAAACTACGCCCTATCAGCTGTGAAGGCTTGTCCACAGATTTGCGTACGAGTGTAATCGACTCTGGAGCTATTTATTTTTACCCTTTGAATACTTCCAACCTGCATATATTTCACGCTTCACTCTCTCACCGTGGGCTCGAAATAATCCTGATGATGTTAGAAGCCACCACTTCTCGTAGATAGTGCATGGATTTGATTTCGCACATACAGCAGAGCCCTAAAGGGGCACTAAAATGAATTTCAGATCCTTTTTTTACGGTGAAAACTCAAATCTATCTGCCCTAACTATCGTGGAAAACCTAAAATTACAACCTAGAGTGGTTTTTTTTTCCCCTATCAAAAACGCGACCAAACACCGCAACACGCCTTTTTTTCGAGATATCCCGGACAACAGGCGTGCAATGGTGTCCGGTTGTGTTTTTAAGGGCGAAAAAGGTCATGCACGATTGTGGTTTGGGCATTCATAGGACGCTTAAGGGTGCATAGATTGAGTATGTGCTATAAAAAGAAGGTTTCAACCACCTTAGTGCCCCTTTTAGACAAAACCTGCGAATTGCTCTCCACAATTTATTTATAACAGCTCAAATACACATTGCTCAAACATTTGGACAGAAAACAATTTAAATAAAACTGAAATTCCTTTTTTTGTCTTAGCTCACCAATTATAGCTTCACTAACATTGAAACTGAACATTTTGAGGCAACCCAAGACTGAGGAAATACGAGAATTGACACCAAGAGAAGAGAAGGTATGTCTTCTTATCGCTGTAATGCCCTCGGGCCCTGAAAGTATTTTTAAGTAAATACACCGGCTCACTTGCACCCTTATGCCCTGTACATTGAAATTCAATATAATTGAATTTCGATAAAACTAACGTGCTAACACAGCTGAAATGAATCTCTGCCCCCACCTCCTCCTGCTCCATCATCTGCTCCTTGAGCTTCTCGATGAGCTGGCTCTGGCGGTCAATCTCGTCATCCTTCTCGTCCAGTTGCGCATACAGGCGGCTGCGCTCCTCCCCCACCAGGGGGTCCGCCTTGGCACCGGCACCCCCGGCTGCGGGGGCGGCACCGGCGCCGGCTGCCGCGGCTAGAGCCGGCAGGTTGGCAGACGACGAGCTGGCAGACGCCGTCTCCGACAGGCTCAGGGTGCTGCTCTCCAGGTCTTTCAGTTGCTCCTCCGTGGGCACCGACTCTCCTGTGGGAGGAATCGGTAGCAGAGCGCATCAGCGCACCGCAGCTTATAGCCCGTAATGCGAAACCTTGAGCTGCAGGACCCCGGGAATTTGGGCTCTATCCCCACGCCTGCCCGTTTCAATCTGGATGAGCGTCATATCGGTGTGCGGTCGTGTATCCCTACTGCATGACACACGTTAAAGACCCCGGGCTAGCCGTGGTATTACTGCACTGGCTAAATTTCTTGTTGACAGCGTAAACTAGTGTCGCTGCTCCTCAAAGGCAGGCAGACTGACCTTACACTCTCTAAACACAAAACACAACTTTTTTTTGGAGGCGGAGGAGGAGAGGAGGAAGAGGAGGAGGGGGGGGGGAAACTTACACTTAGGCTTACACTATTGCGGAAAAACTTACACTTAGGCAACGAAAATCACTCGGGATTGTAGGTAATGGCTTGCCGGCAAAGTTGCAAAAAATAATAACTTGCAAGTTGTTTTCTGTGCCGGCAAAGGCATGGGCACAAGCGCGTGGCTTGCGAAAGTGCTTCCTTGCACGAGGGCTTGTGCAAACAAAGTATTCTGCAGAGTCACGCCCTTGTTCCCGCGCCTTTGCCGGCATGGAAGTCAACTTGTGAGACAGATTATAGTGTCCAACTGCTCTAGAGCCAGTTGAGCTACACTGGGACCACCGTGTTGGCGCAAAGAAGCACCCGGAGATCAATATTATTTTCAATAAAACACGCCTGGTTTTTGCAACAAAGCAGTTTTACTGGACGGAAGCCTGGTCTTATTGGAACGTTCCGCTTTTTTAGAGAATTGGACATATTTGTGTGACAGCACAGGCTCTGGATTATGGGGTGGCATGGCAAAGAGATGTCCCAATTGACTCCTTTACATGCTTCTTTTATTTAAGAATTTATAGAAGTAAAAGAAGACAAGGTCATGAGTCAATGCTCTGGACGTGACCTTCCTCTGCTTGCCCCCGTTTTTTTATGCCGTTTTCTAATATTTTACAACCGACGCGTTTGTAATTATGACTCCAGCCATTTTTCAAACGGCCGGAGTTGAGGACAAGAAAGACAATTCGGTCCGAACAATACTTCTTCCAAGTTCCCTTTCAGTTTTGCCCTGGACATAACACCGACGAAAAAACCGTGCCAGTACAACTAGGAAAGCTAAATTAGATGTCTAGAAGGTTCTGAAGACTACAGTGCTACAGTGTGTCTTTAGAGGGAGCAAGAGGCCATCCTACCATTCCGCCAGCGCCCCAGCTCGAACTCCGCTCTGCTGAGTTGACCCTTGAGCTTGGTGACTTTCTCCTTTTCCTTGTCGAAGCGCCGTTTCCACTCTTCGGCTGTCAGCTCCTCATTCACGATTACCGTGTTCTTGATCGTCTTGGCCCTGCAACCGTGGCGAACAGGCAACGGGTGAGGCTAGGCACTATCAAAGCCAGTCAAAGGTTATGCTAAGGCTGTCGACAACATTTTTCCTCGAGTGCAACGAGGCTGTCTTGTGTTACAGTGATGCTCTGACATATACCAAAAAAATGCTGAGCAAGTACCCATGTTGCATGAAGCGGCCACCTGCCGCTTTCTAAATGTTTGAAAAATAAGCAAAGGACATATCGGGTGCCCACCCCAGACTTCTCAGTCTGCTTAGGTAACCGAGATGCTCCTCCTTGTCATCCACTTCTCCAAGCACTCCGGTGCAAAGCGGTGAAGCCGAATCTATTATACGCCCCTTCTGTATTTCTGCAATCGAATCAAACAAATGCCCGTCCCCCAGTTTTTCAAGGTTATCTCCAAATAGTGGGTCGGCACTTGCTCGGTATTTTATGGTAGTTCCGAAATGTGACTATGCATTTCAGAATCGGTATTGGAAAGATACGGCACGAGCCAATTTGCTCGGTCGTCCACAGCTTTAATGACTGGGACAGAAAACACCTCCTGCATTCTCAGTTAGGTATGTCGGCAAAATCCGGTAACAAGTGGCAGCTCCGATGGTTTGCGGCAGTACGGCTCTCGCAATATTAGTCCTTGGAGCGTGGTCTACGCAGTGGCAACGAGCATGACCATCGTGTGGTCAACCAAGCACCCTTAAGGTTGAGTACAGCATTACCTCTTGCCAAACTCTAGCGTTGACTTTGTCTCGCACTCGTTGAAGGATGCAGGGGAACAGCAGATGATGATTGTGGTCCGCGAGTTGCCTCCCAGACTCTCCTGCAGGATTCTCGTCAACTTGCTGTCACGATATGGGATGTGGGACTTCTGCACGGGCAATGGAGCAACACAAATGCCGTGTCACTGCTCAAATGCCTCAACTTGAATCGTGCAAGGCACCTGAATCGACGTGAGGAGCCTGTGCTCCTCACGTCAATACCATCAAACCGTTCGTGCTTTACCGACAAAAAGAAAGGTGGCAGTAAACCCTAGTTTCTCTCGGAAGCTTTTTTTGTCCTTTCTTGCCTTCCCCACTGCCCAATGCCACCAACTTCGAACAATGATAATAGTAGATATAAAGTAAGGAATGTAACTTCACTGCTAACCACATATTAAAATATGTGCAACAATGAACTGCAACCACAACTCAAAGGAACCCTGACAATGGAGTAATGAAATAGTTCAAGTCACTACCGTCAACCATTTCAGGGGGACCAGGAACTACCGCAGAGTAAGGCACATTTAGCACAAGCAAGACCAGCTAGTTTGCACCCTGAATTTATGTTCGAAAATTGCAAAAGCTTTTTTAATTTTTTTATTATCTGAAGGGCTGTCATTGAAACTATATTACAACCCTCTTGTTCATCTCTACTATATCCAGATTTGAATATGTTCACCGACAAAAACATGCTGCCGTCCACAGGATATACGTGATTGTGGCACTGATTTCGCACCACAAACCTGAAAGTCGCAGAGCTACTTAGCCACCAAATGGTGTAGTGCAACTAAGCAAACACTGAAATAAAGTTGGTTTACCCAGAACTCAGAGACTAAGACAGGTTCAACTTACGTTTCCGTCAGCCAGTGCGGCGATCACATTGCCCAGGGCTGACAGCGACTTGTTGATGTTCTTAGCTTCGTCCAGCACCATGCCCTCGGCTCCTGTCTTGCTCACCTACAAGGTCAACAAAGAAGCCCCGAATAAATGTTCCAATGTTCCTATGGCTTGGCATTGTTAATGAGCAGTCCCACTTGGTTGTACACAAGATCTACAAAGAATAGACGAATCTAAAAGAAAACCCTACAAGTCGACGGTTTGGCAGAGGAAAGAGAAACTTTGCAAGAAGACAATTTCAACAGGTGTGGTTAGTGGATGACAATTTCACCAATTAATGTCGTAACTCAAAAGCTAGGCACAAATGCCTTAGGAACGTTTATGCTCACAAATAGTAGGTAAAGGTAAACATAGCCAATGATGGCTCTCACGCTTCACGGTTTTAATGCTCGCATTGCGAGGATTTCAGTAGTCAACAAATAAAGGCAGCTGCTAAAATTCCCGGCAGATTACAGTCAAACTCAATTATAACGAACAGCAGGAAATGCTATGATCAGTTCGATATAGCAAGTAGTTCGGTATAGCAAAAATCATTTACAACGAACTTCCACGACGCGTTCGTTGTAAAGCCAAGAGCTTCTCTTTCTTTCTCATCTCTTCACTTCCGCCTTGTAACAACGTGCTGAATTTTTTTATTTTTTTTTCTCGCATGCGTGCAATTTTTTTTTGGGGGGGGGGGGGGGGGGGGGGGGATTATCTTCCCTTCTGAATTGCTTCTCTTCGTGGGCAACCGCTTTGAGATGAAAAGTTTTTTCTTTTTTCTGTGTGTGCGTGTGGTGTTTTTTTTTTAGTTTTTTTTTTTAGTTTTCTCTCTTTCTGAATTTCCTCTCTTCGCTCAATTTTGTTTGCGGCATGAGCTTTTGGGATTTTCTTTCTTTCCTACCTTTTTTGGGGAAAAGGGACAGGCTTGAAGACGATTGTTTGCTCGTTTTTGGAAGCCTTCTCGGGGGGGAAAAGTTTGATATAGCCAATGTGCTGTTCGTTATAAAAAGTACATTTTACATGCATTTTTATTTAAATTTTCCGTCAGTTCGATATCGACAATAATTTGGTGTACGTGGGTTCGTTCTAAACGGGTCTCACTGTGTTTATAAAAAACATTCTACCTAAGCAGCATTCAACAACAATTTTTTTCAAATCTCGCATATCACTTTTTGTCTACATCCAATGTCGTTAGACAATGACTACGAATATAATCTAGAAACCTTCCACTTCCAGGATTTCACTGGCAAAAAAAAAAATAATTTTGAAAGTTTAACATATTACCAGCATTTTATGGGCCACTGAATAACTTAATGTACACTCTGTGACATCGTTAGTGCAAACATGAGATCGTCATTTTTCTCTTCGAACAGAAAAGCTTCCATCAAAACTACTAATCCGGTTGAAAGTACTAATTTGGGGCACTAAACTGAGGAGTAACAGTTGGTGCTTGCTACTAATAAAAAAGCGCCAATGTTGTGTTTGCGCTAACAGTGCCGCCAGTGGCATATCCAGGAGGGAGGCTGATAGAACTTCAAGCCCACCCCCCCACCCCCCCCCCCCAACCCTATAATATACATGTGCATTTTGGACCCCCCTCCCCTCCTCCGCACCCCAATCCATGGACATGTCAGTACATGTCAGTCACCTCGGCACCCCCTGAAAAGAATTCCTGGCTGCACCACTGAGCGTCGTGCAGTACAGATCAAGAAGAAGCTTTAAAAGGCATTAGGGAACGGGTCAACCTATTTTAGTAATGCTGTAATTTTAAAACAATTACGACATCACTGCAAGCATTATCAAGTGGGACACAAAGCAACATGAGTGGGTGGAAGATAAAGCGATAGACATCTGCAAGCAACTTTGCAGTATGAACCCTCCAGATAAAGATAACATTCTCCTCCAAAACGCTGTGGATGTAAAGCTCAGTTTCCTGGCCCTGTATCTGACACTCTACCGTACAGATAAAATTCAAAAATAGGTCTCGGAAAATTACGGTCCCACAATTTCAGGAGCTATCATCCAAATAGGTCCAACCACAACACAAGAGTGAGTGTTTCGCAGTGCCTTTAACCTATCCAAACCTATCTCTCCTCGACTGCACCGAAAGCACAGCAGACATTAGAGCAGAACTGTTTTCACGACTGCCTGAAATGTAAAGTCAAGTAGCTGAGGCAGGAAAACGGCACTTTTTTTCTACTCACAATAACAATCAACTACACCTTTAAAAAAAACTAAAAAAACTTTCAGTTTTTTTTTTATTTTGGTGAACAAGGAAGACCAGGAGAAGCTGTACTATGGTGGAAATGAAGTTATGGACGGCCGCAAGTCAGCAAGCCAGAGTGGAAAGACTGGAAAGGTTGCCGCAATCTATGAGCGATGGCGCAACCAGACAACCGGCAAACACAACACTCTGGACAGCTACCGCCATCTATGAGCGACGGCGGCAACCAGAGTGTTGTGTCGACATTTCTTTGCAGACGGACACGATCCTGGGGAAAATAGCCATTAACAGCTCCTTTGTAAAAAGAGAAAGAACTTTAGATGACACTAAAGTGCAGAGAAGATGAACAGGATCACAAGAATGAGGAAATAAAACGGAGGAAATACGCCTTACTTTATGTTAGGAGCTAGAAGAAAAGAACTAATTTAACAATACTAAAAGTAAATATTCCACCTCAACCAAATAGATTTGGTCCTAGTACTGCCTTAGACCACAATATAAACTTGCTTTACTGTATCTAGCATAAAAGCAGAGGAAGTATTTTGGTCTCAAGTATAAAGGTATGCTAGAATGAGTGACATAGCCTAAAAGCAGGTCGGCACTCAGAGAAAACCTGCTCTGGCAAAATAGTAGAAGCCTATGTAGGGTGTTTCACGAAATGCTGGCCAAAATTTTCTCGCAAAAACTATGCAGCGCGTGAAAGAAACAATTGCTGTTGCATTCATCACTGCCGAGGGGGCAATTTAAAGACAAACAATGTTTCAGCTAATGAAGTTTTTAATTAGTTTTCTATTAATGATTTAATTAGTAAACATAAACATAATTTTAATTAGAAACTTGCTGGGAATCATAAAAGGAACCCTAAAATGCTCGAAAACTTGAAACGTGCGAGAAGTGTGGTGGTGTGCAAAAGAAACAGTTAGTGCTACAGGCGCAAGGCTGGTGCAGCAAAAACACTGATAAGAAACTGATAAACCGGGAGAGAACAGGGATTAAATAGTGCACCTCGTGGCTTACGACAGCAAAAGTTTCAGTTCGTCCTTCTGTTTAAGGAAAGGTTGTATGCAAAATATTTTACTTTATGGGAAACAAACGACAAAGGGTCATTAGTTTATACAACTAGAGCCGAGATTAGACACCACCCTGAAGTCTTCAGAACTGAATGGTGTCACCCTTTAAAACCTGCTTAAGATTGCTGCAGTCTCAGCGCAGGCGTGTACTCAGAAAAGCTTGTGAAGTAAACCAGGCGACGCGACGTCCACGAAACGCTGATAAGAGCGCAGAAATCTGCCTGTTGACAAACTTTTCCGAATACACCCACACAGGCATGCTTTAAAGCTATGCTTTACTGTCATTTGCAGCTTTGCAGAAAGTTGCCCCCACTGGCATCCCAGCACACCGTCCTGCAAATAGAACCGGATGCCCCTTTCGAACGAAGCAAAGCAAATGCACCTTTTCGCTGCCCGCAAGGTCGACCAAATACAGCTTCCCGCTGAGCTTCTTCTGGTCATCCAGGTTTTCTTGCTTGACGTTGATCAGGAACACACTGTGGCTCCTCGAGCTGTGCTCGTTCATGTCTGCAGCAAAATTCAAAAGGATTCGTCCCAAGCTGGTGTATGCGAATTTTGCCACAGACCCCCACGAGAAACCTTAACACTGTTTCGTTCTCGAGGTTCACCAACGATGGACTAAGTGCCTCAGTTGCATAGACTGTAAGCCGGTTTATGGTTCTCATTCGTATGTCACCCTAGCTCCCTAGAGATACTAACCAATAAAAAACTGTCCTAAAGTCTGTCACTGTTTTTTCTCCTTGGTTATGTCCACAGCCTGGAGAGCGAAGCGCAGTGGACTGTAGCAGCAATACTGCACATAAAGTGCAGTATTGATTAAAAAATAATTAAGCGGTCTCATGCGAAATCCACTCACTTGCAATCTGGGTTTAACTTAAATGTTAAAGTTTCCAAGCATAAGCTTTAGGAAAGACACACACTATTTCTAGTAGTTTCAACAATCTTTTTTTAGCATTCGAGGCATGGTGGGTATTTTTTGACAGCACTAATTTCAGTTCGAACAAGTGATACAGATACCTATTCCAGCTAGCAGCAAGACCTTGTAAAAATTTATCAGGGACATAAAACTATGAAGAACAAATATGTAAACAGACAAGCAAATGCCTAGCTATGTAGACTGTATAAAAGCATTTCAAGCATGAACACTGCTTCTGATGCAACCAAAGACTTGTAGAAGTAGAGCAACAAATTTAAATAAAATTTATTTAAATTTGTTGCTCTACTTCTTGATTTATTTAATTAAAATTAAATAAATTAAATTTTCTACAGTCTAGGTATCTGGAAATTAACCATTATGACTAAGAACAGTAGTTGAGTTGACAGAAAAAGACAAATTTTCATGTATGGCAGGGGTTGCCTTGCCTGCTGGTCTGCCCAAAATGTGAAAGGGAAGACTAGGGGAAAAAACAAAATAAACATACTTGTGACGGCGATGTGTCTGTTAGATTTTCCCTCGTCAATGACTTCCATCACTTCCTCTGGACTGGTGACGAACCTCTCGGTTGCACCCTACAGAGAGGCGAATAATTAATGGCCATTAACGATGGGTTAATGATTGACTGAGGAATGCACCACATGAACATAACAAGCAAAACAGTTTAGAAGGCAGCACCAAAACTAAACCTACCTTGACGAAGGGAACTCTGTTCTTGTCCTCATGAACGGAGAGGTTAGTTTTTGTTACTGAAACAGAGCAAAACAAACGTGCAGCGTGATGAGCATGCCACTAACGGATTTAACACTCAGCAAAGGTTTTTATGATTCATGTCGCATTAAATTGTGAAATTATTATTCATGTCGCATGAAATTATACCAGAAATTCTGTTACCTTGCCCCTGTTGGAATTCCAAATATTTAAAACAGAATAGAAAACATTATTTCTATCACATGACTATTTAATGGGATTACAATTTTTCTCTTGCAACGAGAGGGTAATCATTTTGTGCTTGAAGGTGTTTTAATGTAATACAAGTTTCCATGAGTGAAGAAAAAAAAAGGACAGTAAACCTCTTTGAAATAATTATTTATTACAGCTTAAATCTATCATTAAAAAAGACTCAAAAACATGATGAGGTAAAATACTGACATATTAGTGACGAAGAGCATCTGTTGGAAAGAATGGTGTGTCACACCCGGAATAGCCACTAGTCTACGACAAGTGAAAAAGAAGAAGCACGCAGGCTCACCGTCTAAGAGATCACGTATCTTGTCTAAATAAATTTCATAGTACGAAACCTGGAACAATCCCAAACGAACCACCATCAGACAGCAGCAAAGCATAAAAAAGAGACACAACAAAGACACTGATTCGGCAATCATTAACAACAAGGAGAGACGAAATGGGCCAACTGACCTTTATGTGGAACTCAATATTTTCATCCATTGAATAAATGTGATTAAAAATATCGTTAATGATGCGGGGGATAATGCCCTGGCTGTAGGAGTCTCCGAGAACGCCCTGCAGAAAAAAAAAAAAAAAATTACGAAAAAGAAAAAAAAAAAAAAAACAGCACAAAAGAAAACAAAGAACAACGAGGAAGACCGCCAAAAGAGAGCACACTTCTATTCAGCACTGCTTTTCTTCTCGAGACAGTCCCAGAAAGATAAGCTCTGCTAATGGCAGACGCACCTCCATTGTGTGGGTCTTCCCACTGGATGTCTGGCCGTAGGCAAATATGGTTCCATTGTAGCCCATGAGGACATCTGAAAAGAGAGAAGAGTGCAGTCAACGAAGGAACAGACAGGCCACGCGTTAGACGAGGTTATTAGCCAAATTCTGCCTTCGCTTGCTCTTACGATAAGGGACGCGCTTTACAAACATGCTTTACAAGAGTGTGTGGGGAGCACGCTGATGCTGCTTAACGTGTCAAAGACGACTGATGTGTTTGCTCGTTGACAACTTGTTGCTTACGCGCCTTTGTCGTTTGAACCTTCGGTGCCTCGTAACAAGCCTTTGCTTTGTTCGAAGCGTAGCAGCTCAATCTCCTATAGCCTGAAAGCTTTGTTGACAGTGAACTATGTTTAGCAGGCTGTCCTAATATGGCCTTGATCGCAATAAGGTCAAAACTGTCCCAAGTGCTCCTATAGGATGCAGTTCAACCATTTTCTAATGGGGCAAGACGCAAGGATGAATAGCTCCACACTAAGAGAGCCGAAGATAGAACCACACGACATAATGCACTTGGTGTCATATAGTAAGATGCCTCTCTTTATGATGCTGAGCCATTAACAGGGAAGGCAAAATCAAACATAGGTAACGGTGTGCTTATCACAGTTTCTTATTTCCAAGGAAAGTTTTGCATCCACCTTAAGCCATGCAATAATTTCTAAAACACAACATCATGTAATGTATTCCTGCAAGGTTCTGAGGGGAACTGATGTCCTCATAAATCACACACGGGGACAAGCCTATTCCTATTCGGACACTATCAAGACTCAACAATCGCAGGGCCCAAATAGCTGCTCTGTGCAGGTGAAGCCGGGATAGAAATAGGTCTAATGCCCTCAGGCCTTGTGACCCCAAAGCTCGGGAGGACGCTTGAGCTGGAACAACAAACTTTGAAAGTGGCAGAGTTTACCATGAGGATTATGGTACAAAGCCGCGCAAACTGCCTCTTCTAAATCAGTTGTGTTAGATACCGAACAGCTCTAACGCAAAGGAAAGAGAGCAGCCGCCCAAGCAAAGCTTCCTCAGAACAAAGTTTACTTAACGTTCCTGCCCCAGATCTCAACGAGGCACTGTGTGAATCGGAGCGTAGAGAGTTTGGCCAGCCAAAGTGCGAATTCCACCGTCTATTAAACACCGAGGCGCCAGGCTACGTGCATAACTTTGGGCAGAACTACCTTTGGCCTATTGCATTCAACGCAAGTAAAAAAAAGACGAAATGTCATTCGCTTTTTAAAATTTTCAGGCACAATAAAAAATATTTTCTGTTGCACATTGGACTAGAAAAATTCCACAGTAAAAAAAAAGTAAGCAAAGAAATGAGGGAGACAAGAAAAAACAAAACAAAAGAAAGACTAACATCAAATAAGATACCCAAAAAGTAAGGTTCATAAAGTTATCTCAATTACCGTAAAACACCAAGCATCCGCCCATTCCATACTAAGCGCCCACACCCAAATTCGCAACATATTAAAAAATGGGCACAGTGGATATATAGGTAAAATTGATGACCTAACAGGCGGCCATTCCCCAATTTTCGCGATTATTTCCATTATTTGAGAGGGCGCTTGCTCGGAATTTTACGGTAGATAGAACCCAATGAAAGAATGAAAACAGCAAATTTCAGGTTGATAAATCATATTGGTAGCCAAATTGAAATAGATCTAATTCAAATATTGTCCCTGCTTAAAGCTGCTAATAATAATAATAGTAATAATAATAAAAAATGACTTCAAAACTCAAACAATTCCAAAAACACTAAATCTTCAAAGGAACAGAATTAAAAACCAAACACATTATAGGAGTATTGTTAATGATATAAATGCCTTCTTTATGTTACAGACATCCCAGCATGGGTTCCATAAGGACTTGCCATGGGTATCTCAGCAGAATTTGCTCATCGTTCGGCCAAAACATCTGACAGATGCTCTGCCAATTCAATGTTTCTCAACCTCAGCAGAGCCTTAAAACTAGAGCTAAATTGCTTATTAATTTTTAAACTGGATGTGTAGAGCGTGGATTCTGGAGCTATTCCGTGGTATGTGGATATTTATTTGTCGGGTGTCAGTGCGTGGCTATTAACGGTCGTTAGTTCATCTTTGCTGATGATACTTCTGAACTTCCCAGGGATCCATTTAAAGGGATACCGAAAACCCCTTGCATTAAGAAATAAGCTAAACATGATCAACTCTATCTGCTAGTGACAATCCCACGCTTGTATTTTGAATGGATGGCTATATTGTCCGTTCCAAACGACCGGTTAAAGCAAGCGCTCGAAGATCAGCCATCGAAGAGCCCGATGCATCACGGGAGCTGGACCAATAGACCAATCTCACAAACCAGTTTGGCTATGCCACCGCTGCCGCAATGCATCGAGGGAACTTTAGTTGGAGCTCTGCGCATGCAGCGCACGAGAAGGCACGAGCTGTCTAGGGACGTGACGTCCATTGGTCCAGCACGGGCAAAGCCATTTGGGGGCTGGCATGGTCATGAGCTCCGCCACCTGGTGTCGCCAACAAGTTACAACCTGGGCGTTTTCAGTTGCGTCTCCCCGCTCCACGCAAGGGTTGAATACGCCGGGAGAGAAGGGAAATCCGGTTCAACAAAGCTGACGCAGACGCAGCTTGCCGGTGCACTTCCGCAGAGCAGCGCTGCTTTTAAGTGAGTAGTGACGTAACATTTGGTTTATTTATTTTAAATAATGTTTTCGTATCTTTTCAAGAAAAAGATTGGTGCATCCATGGCGTGGCCAGAACGTGGCAGACATTTAGACAATAAAGAAGGCACTAGAATTTCGTTACACTATCCCCTTAAGATCAATTTGGTTTCACTGAAATATTGCGAAAAATGTCTGCTCTAAGATGCAACTGGTTGTTTAGAATTTTGTTTTGTGCAGATTAATGAAAAAAGATGAGGCTTGTAACGTTTCTCAAGCTTGTCTAGAAACTATATCCTGCTAAGTGCCAAAAATGGGACACAGTTCTGATGCTGCAAAATCTACATGTCAAAACCTAGAAACCTAGCCAGACACTCTCTTCAGTGTAATTACGATAAATATATAAGTACCTGTTCCACCTAATTTGATTTACATTTAACATGGAAAGTGCTCGATACACAGAGAAGGTGGTGCCTCCAACTTACATTTGTAATATTTTCAATTATCATAACCTCTACTTTTAGAGCCAAAACAATGAATATATGAGAGCTCCTCATTTTGTTTCTTTCCGTATGATCAAATGCAAACGAAATGGAAAATTTCCCGCAGTGGTGACATCTTTGGTCATTTTTCTTCAAACTCAATGAATGGGACTACTATAACCAATTAACAGCATTCATGACTTAATGACATGATTGTTTTATATTCTTTATCCATATGGACTAAGTTGCATACATTTTCTTCCCACCCCCGGCGGTTGTACTGCCAGCAATTTGAGTCTTCAGCTCGTTGCTCGCCCTCGCCTTTGCCCCCCCTTCCCCCCCCCTCTCTCTCTCCCCCCTCCCTCCCTCCTCCTTCTCCTCCTCCTCTCCTCTCTCCCCCTCCCCCTCCCCCTCCCCCCCACGGCGGAAACAGGAAACGAGGAGCGCTCTACTGAGGGTCCCCTGGTTCTCCTGCTCACTGGGCACGGCGGAACTGCTCGCGATCATGGCTCGCGAAATGTCATTTCCGAATGCAAACAGCACTCTTCACTGTCCTAATGTAGTGCTGCAGCTGGTATGGGATTGTACCTTATTAGGGAGTTTTAGTTTTGCGTTTGGACGCAAGCGCTGTGCATTTGTGTTAGAGTTGTGTGCTCCACGCATGCGCACGCGCGCTGCTGCCGTGCTCCAATTCAAGATCGCAATTTTGGGCTCCACACACGCGCAGTGTAGAACATGCAAACACAGAGCCTGCATTCGCTTGTATATGCAATACTAAAACTCAATACTGTTTCACCAGTTTCCAATGCCAACGCAACGTGCTGCAGTGGGCAGAAGTGCCAGCAGGTAGGCGTTCCTTTGAATTGCAAAGGATGAGATTGGCAAAACGACGGTGTATAAAAATTGAGGGAACTAAATGTTCTAAATCCAATTAAATAAATAAAAAATATAAATTTTTCTTATTTATTTGGACTGGAAGGACTTTGGAAGTTTTTGCCGATTGTCAGAAGTCACAACTTTGATAGAACCATATGCTTTACCCAGAATTAATGTAATTTTACATGGATTTCTCAGATTAGCTGGAATGTTTTTATTGATTTGAGGCTATTTTTATTTTATAACTTGGTAATTAGAAATGCTGTAATTGGCACCAATGATGATAATTTGCACACTTCTGATTGCCATGCTTGTTTGTGCACATGAAATTATATCGTAACCAACAAATTATATCAGAGCTTGAAAATCTATGCATTAAATATATTAATTGTATTATTATCATCAATAAAAATTGCAGCAATGTAGGCTTCCAATAAATGTCACGATCACAAAATTAGTCTTTCCAAAAAGGTCTCATTTTGTTTTCCTTTTAGCATATGAAAAACTGCCATTGTTATCAAGATAGACAAACAGTCAAACACTGGATGTAATATAAAGTCCTATGCATCACGTATTGCTTTAATTAAGAATATACACACGCTTCTGCTGTCTGACTCGAATTCGGTCTTTGGGTTTTTGTAGTGAGAACAATGTTTCTTAATTGATATGTTATGCGAAAAAATTTTAAACTCGTCACCCATGGAGATATGTTGCAAAATTTGGATCAATTCTGTTTTGCCCGTCTAAATATCTCAAAATCCATTAAAAGACCCACAGTTCACTGTTTCACACAACAATCATCTCAGCAAGAAAAGGCAGCAAGATCATGCAAATATCAGCGCCAATTTTTTCTACAAATACAGTATTTTATTTTACCTCTAGGCTGTATGAAGGACCCTGTCTTCAAAGGGACACTGAGCTCTCCAAAAAGTTTGAAGTGCCTGGATCGGATATGTACGTAACAAAATAAAGTTTCTAAGAACAACTTTAGCTCAATAATTATGCTGTGAGACACATCTTGAGT